TTTTTTTTTTTTTTTTACTTTTTGGGTTTTTTTTTTTTTCTTTTCTTCCCTTTTTTTTCTTTTTTTTTTTTTTTTTTTTTGTGTTTTTTTTACTTTCTAGCAAAGTAAGTTATCCAGGCACCCATCTCCCTTTTACCCGTCTTCTCATGGCCGGGCAGCCCACAACGACTTGGTGTGCCGCTTTTTTTGGCCATAGCGAGCTAGATTTCTAGCGGGGTTGAGGGTGTGGGATATTACCCAGTGGTATGTATGTGTAGGAGTCGAGTGGTACGAATACAGTGGGGGTGTATGTATGTGTAAGGGGTGATTAGGATATACGATACCTCAGTAGGTAACTTACGTTTTTGCAACGTCCGAGTTCACTGTATTACGCATCGACGTTGCCAAAGCACAGTCTGTTCATTACGACTTGGTTCTGCGTGGTCCAAACTCGAAATACTCAGCCCGTGAATCCATGATGAGGAGATAACGACGTCCACAAAACCGTGCCAATCCATTAAACAACCACCCCCCTTATTACGTAGTCCACCATCCACCCCCCCAAGACAATCTCACATAACACAACATAACACCACAGAAGTACAAAACCAAACTCGAAATCAAAAAACAATCCTCCTCTCATTCCCCCCCAAGCAAAACCTCCAAACAACGCACCACACTCTGCACCACCTCCGGCGTGCGACTCTTCTTGGCACAAACCGTCAACGCTTCCACAGCCCCAGCCCTGGCCAACTTCTCCCTTGCCAACAGCCCCAGTTCCCCCTCCTGCGATAACAAATTCGCCACTACCACGGCCCCGCGGTGTCGGATCCCTTCCGCCTCGGCTGGTCCCGCGCTTTCTCCTCCTCCTTCTTCCTGGCCCTCGCGACACAGACCTAGGATGTGGTCTAGCCCGCGCGGTTGAGCAGCGGTGGTGAGGATCGTGCGGGCGATGGAGGCGTGGGCTGTCAGGCTGGCGAGGGCGCCGCCGGCTGCGCTGCGGGTTTTGGGGCTGTCGGCGTCGGCGAGGGCGAGGATGACTTTGGTGCGGTTTGTGGCTTGGGCTTGGGCTTGGGCCTTGGTTTTGGTTTCGGGGGGTTGTTGGGTGGGGGTAGATGAAGAAGAAGAAGCCGAAGTGAGAGTGGCGATGGTAAAGGAAGGGTCGTTGCCGAATAGGGCGAGGGCGACAGCCGGGCTTTGGACCAGATTACAGAGTAGCTCGGCGGCTGCCGTGGAGACGCGGGTGTTGGTGCTGAAGAGCTGTTCCTCGATGTCATCCCAGGCTGTGCGTACAATGACCCGCCGCGTGGTGTCGGCGTCGTCGTCTGTTGAGGCGAGGTTGGTTAGGGCAAGGAGGGATTCAAAGGTCGGGAGGAGATCCCGCGTCTCGGCTGTCGGGTCAGCCGGCGCGATCAGCGTAGCCAGTGGCCGGATGGCGGCGGTCTGCGGCGTCTGGCGGAAGACGAGGGCCGGGTTGGTGGAAATGAGGATGCGGGCTAGGCCGTGGGCGGCGGTGCGCCGCGCGGTGTCCTCCGTCTCGGCCGGAAGGGCATTCCAGGCGGCGAGCAGGACACGCACACCGCCCTGTTGGGCGAGGGAGCCGCGCAGGGTGGGAGTGGCGGAAAGGGAGAACAAAATGGAAATGATGAGGGAGAGAGAAGCAAGGGACGCGGATTTGCAGTGCTTGACGAGAACGGGCACGACGCCTGCGGCAAAGACGAGCTTGCAGCGCTCCGTCACGCGGGCGTCATCGCTCAGGGGGTTGGGCTGGGACTTCCCGGCCGCGTTGGCGTACGCCTTGAGTTGCCTCAGTCTCTTTTGTTCCTCCGACTCATGAGGACGGTACCGCGTCAGGTGGGTGAATATACTGAGGACCCCATACGTGAGAGGCGACTTAGGCGCTGCTGAATCAAGAACTGTGACAAGGCGTTTGAGTGTTTCTGTGTTGCGAGAAAGCCGCTCTTGGATGTTCGGCCTGAGGCTTGCATAGGCCAAAGCTTCCACGGCGTACTGCACATACTCTGGGTTCTCTGGGTTGTCCTCCACAATCATTTTGGCAAATCGGTTGCAAAGAATCTCAATTTTGTCTGTTGCTGGTTTTCTGGGCTCGGTGCCCAGGCCTTGAGAGGCCGATACGGGAACTGCCTTTACGTGTAATTCATGGTTAGTCGTCGTCAAACTTAGAGAGCCCGGAGCTAGAGAACCACTTCGACTTCTCGTACGCCCGAAGCTTGCCCAGGGTAAATTCGCTAACCGAGATCTTCATATAGACGACGCCAGCGAGGTTCCTGACTTGCTTGCAGTGCCGTCGGAGTTCGTCAGCGCCCTCTTTCTCCACCTCAAGATCAGTGTCAAGGTGCCAGACGGTGTCGAGACGAGCTTCGATGTCATCTGAGATGATGTCGTCCAGCCACTCGTTGCAGTACTTGTAGATGGCCGCGTGGCACTTGATCTTCATGGCGGCGGCGTTGAGCATCTTAAGGCACGCCATCTCAATCTTTTTGCTCTTCCACTTGCGGGTCATGAGCGATCCGAGGCTAGGGAGAAAGCCCTCGATGTGGAACAGCTCGGCCATGAGGTCGTACTCGAGAGGGAAGATCGCAGTCGCGGCGCAAAAGGCGACAATGTAGTCATCGTATGTGGCTCGCTGCATTTTGGCGTGGAAGAAGTCGGTGACCTTCCTCTTACCCTCTAGGCCCGAGGCGTTGAGGTAGGCTGCCGTGCAGAGCGTGGCCTGGGTGCGGACTGCTTCGGGCTGCCTCATATCGAGGCACCCAAACAACGTGTCCAGGCAGTCGGCGTCGATGACGGGGACAATGGGCTCCTTGCCTTGCTTGGTCAGCTCGGGTTCCTCAACAAGAAGCTTGGTCAACTTGGCAAGGTCAGCGGTCGTCTCCTCGTCCTCTTTCCCGCCTTCCATGACACGGGCAAAGAGAAGCATGGTTCTGTCCTGCCGGGAACCGGTCTCTGGCACAGGTGTCGTGGGATTGACACTCTCATCCGCGGTAATCTCGGATTTGATAACCACGGGGATCTTGATTCCGCCCATCTTCGACGCGGGGGCATCTTCGGCATCTTCGGCAGCTTCTTTGGGGAGGTTGTCCCAGGCGGGATCCACCTGATCCCACGGGCCAGAGCAGGTTTCCTCAGGGTACCAAGGAAAGACGACAGGACAGGCTTTGAAGTTGGCGGCGCGCCAGATAGCGACTTCGGGCGATATTGGGTCAGTGGGCTCGATTTCCATGGTTGACATTGGGTCGGTAGGCTTGGACCCATCAACCTCAGCTTCGGACTTGGCCTTGAAATCCACGGGGTTGTTCTCCTTGGGTGCAGCATCACCCGGCTTGGACTCATCAGAGTTGGAGCCGGAGAGTTTAGGGGCTGTCGCTGTGGATTTGGTAGGCTTGGACTTATCAACCTCAGCTTTGGACTCGGGCCCTGGGCGACCTGGCTCCGTTGATTTAGGCTCGGTAGGCTTAGAGCCCGCCAATGTCGATGAGACGGAAGACCCCTTCTCTTGAACGCCGGCCGGCTTGACCTCGGGACCGGTAGCATCCGCCTCCTCCGCCTTGGTAACACGGTCGTAGAATCCGGGAGGGGGCGGAGGCCCGGAAACGGGTTTGGGAGCTGTATCGGTCACCTCATCCTTCGATGCCCCCAACAACGCCGCCGTACTGAAGGCGCCATGGGGCGAATCCGTTCGAGGTGGGCTGTCCTGGGGAGAGCTCTCCAGCGGGGTGATGGGCCCGGAGGTGCTCGCCCCGGAGATAATGGCTTCGGGATCGGAGACCTCGGGGATAATAGGCGAGGGGGTATGATGAACGGACGGGGCGGGGACATCGGTATTGGAATGATCCGAGTCCGTGTCCTGAGCCCGTGGAGCTGCGGGATCGCCGAAGGAGGAATCCATGATGATTTGGTGGTATGGAAAGGTGGGTAAAGTCAAGAAAGGAGTAGTGGACCTTCGGGTCGGGTTGTATCCAAAGGAGGATAGCGTTCCAGGGTTTGGAGATGCCGCCACAGGGCGTGTATGCTTTGGACCGAGACTCGAAATTCACTGAGAACAATAACATGAAAGGAAAGAGTACTTAGCTTGGGGAGAGGGAGGCCACAGCCTTTATGGCCGCCTGGTTCGGGTTTTGCAATGCGCAATGCACTGAACATGAAAAAAGAAATCCAAAGGGGCGAGCGCAAGGTAAGTTTCGGCGGGTGTTGACATCAGATAGTGCTTTGGTGTTGAGCGTTACTTGACGCAACAATGGCAGCTCAGGTCGATATTCTGCCCCTCCATGGAGCGTGTAAATGCCCCACCGAAGCAACCCCCCACGCGAAGTTCCCGAGCAGCCCCCCCAAGTAGGAATGGTGTAACCTAATTTGGGTAAGGCTAGGTGGGGTTCGAGGCCAAGACGCCTACACTAGCAACTCACGTGGGGCCGCGCCTTCAAGCCCGTGTCTTCAAAATTTGGGAGAGCGCGCGTCATTCTTGCAGCGGGTCGACCTTAATTAGCCACTCAAGCACTCAACTAAACCCATCACGATAGTCACAACCTCCCCGATTGCAGGCGAAGCGGGCAACACATACCTGGACGGTACGTCGTTGGCCTGTAACCCAATTACCCGGATTTGGAACTCCATGAGCCCATACCATCTCATCCCGACATAACATACCTGGTGTAGTGGGCGGCACTCGGGGATCGGACACGGCGTGGGGCACGCGAGCCCATTTCGTTAGGTCTCGTGTCGCTGCTGCCCGTATTGCCGCCCAATTTTGAAAGAGGGGGACGGGACGCCGGCCTACGGGACCTTTGACCGACAGTGAACCGGGCTTGTAGAGCCACTTGACAGCCAGCACATTCACGATGAGCGTTCAGGATGCGGTCGATGCCTCCGAGCACTACGAGGTGTACAATACCGACGATATTCCATCGCTTTGCACCATTATTATCGACACCAACCCGCGCGCGTGGTCTGCCATCGCCGATGTCCTCCCCATTTCCAAGGCCATCGCAAACATTCTCGTATTTGTCAATGCGCATCTCGCCTTCAGCAACTCGAACCAAGTCGCCCTGATCGCAGCCCATACCAACCGCGCCGTATGGCTCTACCCAACACCACCACAACCCGCGCCGTCCCAGCAGGATGTCGATATGCAAGACGCCGGCCACGGCGCCAAGTTGGCCTCGGCGAACAAGTACCCGCAGTTTGCGCAGATCGAGAATTCGCTGTTGACCTCCCTCCGAGCCCTTGTCCACGACACCGTCGACGCCGACCTCTCCTCGACGACCACCCAAATATCAGGGGCCCTCACCCTTGCCCTCGCACACATCAACAAGACCGCTCTCTCCTTCACCGCCTCCTCAACTGCCGCGAATGCGGTCAACACCACCGGCACCGCGATGATCGCAGGTTCAACTGTCGGCCCGACACCCGTAGCCAGCACATCGACCTCCGGCGGGGGCTTGGCTGGCGTGCACGCGCGCATCCTGATCCTCTCTGTCAGCGATAGCGCCCCTGAGCAATACATCCCCACGATGAACGCCGTGTTTGCGGCCTCCCACGCCCGCATCGCTATCGATACCTTATCATTACGCGGGAGCGCCACCTTCCTCGAACAAGCCAGCTTCATCACGCGCGGGACCTTCATACGCGCCACCGAGCCCCGCGGCCTCCTCCAATACCTCATGTTTGGCTTTGGCAGCGGTTCGGCCCCCTCCAACCCAACCAGCCACAGCGAGGCCGACGCAGGCAAAGGCCCTGACAAATCCAAATCCGCCACCGCTACCGCCACCGGTTCCGGAACCACCACCGCCAACAACAAAAACAACAACAACAGCAGCAGCACCACCAACCAACCCCCCAGCGCCCGACTCGGCCTCGGCGCCAGCGTCTCCGAGCTTCTCTACACACCAAGCGCCGACGCCGTCGACTTCCGCGCCGCCTGCTTCTGCCACCGCAACGTCGTCGACACAGGCTTCGTCTGCTCCGTTTGCCTCAGCATCTTCTGCAGCGTGCCCGATGGCGCCGAGTGTCTGACCTGCGGCACGGTGCTGGTACTAGGCGAGTATGGGAAGGCGCCTGTTGTGGCGGTTGGGGGGCCAGCGGCGGCGAAAGATGTTGGTGCAGGTGGTGGGGATGGTGTTGGGAAAGGGGGGAAGAGGAAGGCGGGTGTTAATGGGGAGGTGTAGGGAACCTTTGATTCGAGTCAACGTGCCCACCGAAATTGGGTTGGGCTCTGGTTGGAGGGACTGAGGAAGCCGAGATAGTAAGCTAAGTTGCGTACGTGGTTCTTTTGGGGGTTCTTTTTCCCTCGTACGGCATTTTCATGGGTTTAACATGGCGTTAAAAATACGCCGTACTGGGTCAGGTAGGCGTGGCGTCAACGGAGCAAGGTCAGGTAACGCACAGTTTAGAGCGTGTTAGAGAAGCAAAAAGTACATTATACGGTTGATTTACACATTTATAGCCTGCCTTACCCGTACGGGTTTCTGGAACTTACACCGTTATTACACATGCCGCACTGCGTATTCGAAGTTATGGCCTTTATTGGTATCTCTCAAGTCTACTCTAACAAGGTACAGTACAGGGCATATCGACCATCAGTCAAGGTGTAGTATCTAGGTTTTCGGTTTTCGTACGGGCATGCCCCTTTCATCATTCCCATCCCGAGCCGCCCCAGGAAGAATCTCAACACCACATTTCTCCGCACCGTTGGTGGAGTGAGGATCACCACCCGCCTATTCCAACCTCACCTTCCGCCCACCTAGCGCGACACGCCCGGTCTTACCAAGGCGCGACATGACGCAGAGCGGTTCCTTCTCCGTTGACGCCATCGATGCTAGGGCGAACGAATCCGTGTTGTGCGCAAAATAGAAATACGCCCCTGTGCGGTCCTTCTTGACTGCCATGATACCGATCGCCCCGTCCGTCGGCTGGTCGCGCACACCCGGGTGGTTCATAAAGTCATCGGTAATAAAGGACTCCATGATGGCATGTTCGTCCTCCTCGGCAATGTCACGCCCGCCCGGGCCGCGGCGCGTGCCTTGAAATAGGCGTTCTGCGCACTTGCCCGAGGCGAGACAGGTCGCCATGTGCTCACCTGTGCCACTTGTGACAGCCGCGACAGAAGTGGCGAGGTCATCATCGGGGTCCTCAGGCACAACCGCGGTGCCAACGCCAACTAGTGCCGCGGGGCCGGTGCGGCCGCGGTGCTTCATGCCAATGCCGCCGGAGGACGAGCCCGCCGATATGTTGCCGTAAAGATCAATGGCGATGGCGCCGACTGTGTCCGTCACCATGTCATCGGGATGATTAGGAAGAGGCAGGTTTAGCATGGTGGGGTTGGTTGAAGTGGTTGTGTCGCTCGGCGAGCCAATTCCGTATGCTTCGGAATAGTCAAAAGCATCGGCCGGACGCGTCTCAGTACTATCGAAGCTCCTTAGACCATCATTTCCCGACAGTGAGGACGAGGACACGGGCGCGAGATATGGCGGCTTGGCGGTCGATTCTACTGGTAACGATGGGGAGCCTTTATGAGACTGCAATGGTTCGCTCGCGGCATTGGTCAAGTAGCGCTCCGGCGTCTTGGGCGGAGCAAAGCGTTGTACTGGAGTGGGTGTCGTGGGAGCTGTCGAAAAGAATCCATGGTCGTCAATGGGTGAGCGGCCTGGCGAGTCAGGTTGGCCCTCGTTCCAAGTGCCAGTGAGAATGGCACTAGTATGGTCTCGAAGCTGAGCATTGTTCGAGGGACTCGCTGCCTTGTCATAAGCGCTAGGCGATGGTGTTCTCCGGGTCGCAGCGTGGTTGTCGAAGAAGGTTGTTTTGAGCCTCCTTTTCGTTTCGGCCTTCTTTAAGTCCTCGCTCCAACGTAGGTAGCGGTCTTTCGCGTTTCTCGAAACTAGAAACTCGTTCCGAACGGTCTTGAGCGAGTGCTCTTCTGCAAATTCCGTTGCTCCAGGGCCGACGAGGATGTTGGGCGGCACTCTACGGAGTGACAATGGCTGACTACTCGTATCGAGGATCGTTTTAGCCAGTGTGATGGGATTTTTGACACCTGGAAAAGGGGGGTTAGTTGGGTCTTCTGAGGGTGAGGTAGGTGCTCGACACTGAGAGCGGTTTATTTCATGCCTACCTGCAACAGCACCGCAAGCACCACTTCTTCCGAGATGATCAACGATGGTAGCATCACATTCAACAACCCCGTGGATGTTCAAGTTGCTCCCGTAGCCGGAGTTTGTAATTTCTTTGTCCTCAAGACACCTGATGGCCGCTTCGACGGCTTGGGGAGCAGTCGCCCCAGCCTTGAGGAAACTCATGGCAATCCGCGCGGCACTGCGAAACGTATTAGTTAGATTCGCCTATATCCGGTACGTATTCAAGAACCCACTCGGTACAGGCTTGAATGTGGATCCTTTCGTTCATCAGACTGTGGTATCCGGCCCCGGCATGGACATAAATCGACGCAACTGGCTTCCGATAAGTCCGTCTCCGCGGGCTTTCGGCGGGGCTATCGCCCTCAGACGGGATGGCGGAGAAATTGGAAGCGGCCGACATTGTTCTGTATGACAGACTCTCCTTCTTCGCCGTCTAAGGACTGAGGGTAGATCGGGAGTAGGGGGGAGTTGTGAGGTGAGTTTAGGTTAGAGCTAGAACAAAGCGGTCGGTGGTGTCGTTGCTTAGAGTTGGCGGTCCAGAACTGATACAATCAACACAAAATTCGGAGAATACGACTATTTCTAGGTCGGGACCGGCAAACCGTGGGCGAGTCGTTGGCCGGGACAGCAGGAGGGCTTCTGGGCCCTAAAGAAAACGACTTCTACCCAGTGACACGGAATAAACGAGTGAATTGCTTGAGTTCGTAAAAAGAACAAATACGACTAGTTTAGCCCCGGCTAGTGGGAATGTTTCCTTAGGAGTGGAAGGCGCCGAGACGGTATGGCCAAACCGCGGGCCGGGGGCGGGGGGAGGAGAGTTAACGAGTGACAAGGAGATAAATCGTGAAGTTGTGTCGAGAAGGGAATTGACGGGAGCTGGCGGTTCTGAGAGATATCGATTTATTAGGAAGTTGGGGTTTGGCACGGTGGCTAATGAGGTAGTTAGAAATTTGGTGGTAGATATTTGAAGGAAAGAGCGAGTCCGGACTGTCTTCTGTCACGACTAGGAGTTCTCATCTTTGGGTTGCTTCATCATTTCAGGCACAAAAACACACTGTGAGAACCCTTGTTAGGGGGGTCGAGTTTTGGTACCTCAATTAACGGTCGGGTTAAATAAAGCCTTTAAACAATTTGTGAGATGATTTTCCTAGATAGGGCTTCATAGTAACGCCACGTGCATTTTCTTGGAAATTCTTCTTGACCCTTTCCCCTAGAGCTTTGCGAGAAAAGGGATGCTCTCCTTGTGGCATGAATTATTTTGTCCTACAGCAGAGAATCTGCGCAAAGTCCGGGTTTGAACCTCCGTAGTTGGCGGGGCACCACTCGTTGGTCTTGGCACACAGCCGCAACGTGGGTCCCTCGCTGGGGGAGCTCATGAGACGTAATCTTGGACCTCAACAACTCCACTGCCTGCTTGGACGCAGACGCAACACCCTCGACATCCCGCTCCTTGGGCCACCGCTTTCCAGTTTGACCGCGGGAATACACGAACAGAAGCTACGCGCCGCGGCACCCCTTTGCGACAATGGCCAACCAAACCCCAGCCGTTGTCATGGACAAGTACGTTGTAGCGCCTCCCTGGCCCCGCTCCCCACGAGACGAGGGAGATCGGCCGCCAGTTTGCTAGCTTGCCTTTAAAGCCCGTTACTGACCACGCCACCGCAGCGGCACGGGGTTTTCGAAACTAGGTGCGTGTCTTTACTTTGGAGCTTGTTCCGCCTTTTGTTTTGTGTGGCCATGTGGCTGACCGACCCCCTGCTTAGGTTTTGCCGGAAACGACTCCCCCTCCTTCGTCTTCCCGACAGCGATCGCGACTAAGGCCGCCGCGGGTGGCGGTGGTGGTACAGGTGCCGGACGCCCCGCGGTAGCGAACAAACCGTCGTTCCTCACCGGCGGGGCTGGGCCGACGGGTCACCTTTCAGGGAAACGCGGGACGGAGGACCTCGACTTCTTCATCGGCGACGAGGCCGTTTCGGCTTCATCGGGGCCGGGTGCGTTGCTATTCCGCTAAAGAGGAGAAGAAAACATAGGCTAACGATGGCTAGGATATGGGCTACACTATCCGATTCGGCACGGGCAGATTGAGAACTGGGTTGGTGGGACCGGGTTCCTTGTGTTCGAGAGGAGGCTAATTGGTTGCTGTAGGATCACATGGAAAGGTTCTGGTCCAACTCGATCTTCAAATACCTCCGCGTCGAGCCCGAGGACCATTACTTCCTCCTTACCGAACCGGTTAGACCTTTTCCTAGCTGCCCTACGCGACGCATACGAGAGCTGACACCCTATAGCCCCTAAACCCGCCTGAGAACCGCGAGAACACCGCAGAAATCTTTTTCGAGTCCTTCAACTGCGCCGGTCTGTACATTGCGGTCCAAGCCGTCCTGGCGCTCGCTGCCTCGTGGACATCTTCCAAGGTCACGGACCGGTCGTTGACGGGTACGGTCATCGACTCCGGTGATGGTGTGACCCACGTCATCCCCGTTGCTGAGGGTTACGTGATCGGCTCATCGATCAAATCTATTCCCATTGCCGGTCGCGACATCACCTACTTTGTCCAGTCACTGCTCCGTGACCGCGGCGAGCCCGACTCGTCCCTCAAGACGGCGCAGGAGATCAAGGAGGAGTACTGCTACGTTTGCCCGGATATCGTCAACGAGTTCGGCAAATACGACCGCGACCGCAGTCGTTTCCTGAAGCACGTGGTCGCGCAGCCGGGTGGCCGTCAGGTCAACGTCGACGTGGGTTACGAGCGCTTCTTGGCGCCCGAGATCTTCTTCAACCCAGAAATTTACTCGTCCGATTTCCTGACGCCGCTGCCCGTGGTCGTCGACGGCGTCATCCAGTCATCGCCCATTGACGTGCGCCGCGGCCTGTACAAGAACATTGTCTTGTCGGGCGGCAGCACGTTATACAAGGACTTTGGCCGCAGGTTACAGCGCGACATAAAGCAGCTAGTTGATGCTCGTATCCGCCAAAGTGAGGTGCGCAGTGGAGGTGCCAAGAGTGGCGGGTTGGAGGTCCAGGTCATTACCCACAAGAGGCAGCGGCACGGGCCCTGGTTCGGCGGCAGCTTGCTCGGCCAGACACCCGAGTTCCGGTCCTATTGCCACACCAAGGCCGAGGTATGTTTTGTCTTGATCCCCTTTCTCCGCTACGTTGAGTGCCATTTACCTTTGGGCATGACTAACTGTTGAGTAGTACCAAGAATACGGGCCCGGCATCGTGCGGAGATTTGCGCTCTTGGGCGGCCCCGGTGGTTCGTAAACGGGTTGGCTGGGATAACTAGTAGATAGCAAGCGATTATTTTGGGGGCAGCTGGGGGTGGTGGCTGGGACATAGGGGATGGAGCCGGGCGGCAGTGCTTTCATAGGCGGCGCCAAAAAGAGAGGGAATGAAATTGAGTTGATAAACTTGTGTTGCTTTACTGAAAGGTTGTGGTTTCATGCTGTGAGTTATAGCCTACTGAGGTATACAGGGTAAGAGGTGCTTCCTCTTAACCGTCGAGGGTTAGGGTTCCACCCACATTGTGCTTTTTCATTAACACAGCTTTGCGCGACCACCAATGGCTGCAATATATTTAGGTTGGTCGTGATTCTACACACCGTCATTATACGCATTGTTAGCGAGCTCAAACTTTTGTTTATCACTTTGAAGAACGCCAGTGGATGTTCTCCGTTCATTTTATTCCCACACTTCGTACTACGCACCTGAGCGGCGTATAAACCCGTGATGGTTACGCCTGGGGAGCCGAAAGTGGATTTTGTCTCCTTAATGTCCGCGAGAGCTGGCCCTGCACCTCTGTCTTGGTAGATGCAACACGAGCGTCCACGGTTCGTGTAATCTAGACCGTGGTGCGGTAAGTAGATGAAGCCAGTGCGTAAGTTTGGCAAGAGTGCTTGTGCCTGATGGCTTTAGAACATCATTTCGCTAATCAAAATAGGTACCTAGTAGTATGACGATACTTTCTGTTATGGCACATGTAACTAATCATCTCAGCCCTACCCCAAGCCTAACTAACTCCGCACAACAACCCCATTCACATTAATCAGGAATCACTACTCCCCCGCCCGCCGATATCTATCATCATTCGCCGCCAGATACGGGACAAACCCCGGTATCTCCTCGGGCTCAGGCCGCGGCCTGTCCCTGTACATGTAGGCCAAAGCCTCGGCGTAACCGTTCTCGGTGGCTGGTCTTACACGCCGTAATTCATGCGGGCGGGTGGTGGTGGAGTTGGGTCCGTCGCGGGCGACAGGGCGAGGGAGGATTGCGGCGGGAATGGTGACTGAGATAGGTCGTGATTGGGGCTGTGATGGGACCGTTTTGTTAGTAGCCTTTTCGATATTGTCCGCTTCGACTTCGTCTTCGGTTTCCAGCTCATTCTTCGACCCAGACCGTGATATCGGTCTTGGCCCCGCCCCTGACGGCTGTGAGGGCCCGGGTTCCTGAGGAACTTCTAGCACACCCGGTAAAGGGTAAGAAATGGGCGCAGCCGGTCCCAAAATACCGGGGTGTCGCCGTAGGGCAAACGCCCTGCGGTGCGCGGCAGACTCGGCGTCCCACAGGTAGGACGCTACGCTCTGGCCGTCTGTCTCGTCACCGTCGAGGCGGTAGTGTTCGGGGATGTTGTCCCAGGAGCTGAGGCGGGAGTGGGCTGGTTGGTCGGGTTCGTCTGGGACGGTGGGCGGGTCGTCGTCATTTTTGGCTGGGGGAGCAGGATTAGCGGCGGGCTTCTTTATTAGTTTCTTTCGGATTATTGTTCGTTTCTTCTTCTTTACTGGCTCGGGGGCTCCTTGGGGATCCCCTTCCTCAATATGTGCTTCTTGGGTATGGGCTTCTTGGGGACGGACTGGTTGGGAGGTTGTGACGGAGGTGATATTGCTGATGGGTCCGTCGTTATTTTCCAGGCCCGAAACGTGCTCATGAGTTTCCGTGTCACTCTCTATGCTTGCCGACAAGCTTTGGGCCTCTTCTTCAAAAAGCTGTTGGTTTTCTGCCTTGGGGTTCGGTGCGCGCAATTTGGAGAGCGTAGTGGCCGTGTTCAAGGGTGGTTTCTTGTCTCTCGTTTCCCATGGCTGCATGTCGTCCCGTTGGATGAGGGCGGTCGGAAGTTCAGGAACCGTGAGGTTCGTCTTGATTTTGGGGATATCACTTGGGCCAGTTCCTGCTACCGGATGGCCCGCGGGCGGGGTCGAGCTGGGAGGACTTGGGCTAGGGCGATTGCTCGATTCAAGCTGTTCGTCCCGAGGTTTGACCGAAAATCGAGAGCCTGCCCGCGACTTCCTGGCCCGGTTTACGCTGTCCGGTATTTTTTTGTGCGCTCCGTTGCCTTCTGGCCGATATTTCTCTCCTCCATTGTTATGTTCCCAACCACCGTGTTGTGAATAACTCTCTGTTTCTTTTTGCCCCTCTTCTGTCATTCCGGATGCAGGTGCACTCTCGCTCGCTATCCCGACACCTATAGCCGTTTTGACGGCCCCCTCAGTAGTCTCCCGAGACGTTTTCATCTTTTCCAAACCGTTGACCCTTGTGGTAGGGATATCTGCGGGAACGTCCTCAACGCTGTCCAGGTTTAGACCTTTGGCAGAGACTGTCTGACCCGCGTCCGTAATCGCCCCCGAGACCGAAGGCGCGTTGACGAGCGGCTCTGGTGTACTGCCCTTGATATCGGAGGGGACATATGGCCGCTTCCTCGAAGTTGACTCATCCTCGTAAACATACGACAGACCGAGATAGAGGAGCACCAGCGCGCCGGCCACGACGGCGTACAAGATGAAGAAGACTTGGGCTGCTCCGTAGAGGCACAGCCCTAGTGGCACCTGGGCTAAGCCAAGCAACGTTGTCAAGCGGCCGAGCCATTGGTGAATCTAGAAAACATTAGTTATCGACATGGCCAATACAGTTAACTTATTCAGGAAAGGAAGACCATCCCGTACCCAGGTCCCAAGCATCGACGGTCTCCCACCCTCAGTCCTTGGCCGTACCCAGCACGCGCCAAGGACAAACCTCACCAGCAGCATTACATACAAGGCCACACCAATGATATGATGGGGGTTCGTCAGCATCCGTCGGCGTCCCACGGCCTCGAAACAGAGAACGAAAGTCGCAGTAGCAACTATCACGGAAGCTAAATCAAGCCGGGCTTGCAGCCACTCTCGTCGTCCTTGTCGCTGTCCTCGCCGTGGTCGACCCCGTTGTTGCCGTCGCCCTCGGGGTCCATAGTTTCTTCCGCGGCGGAACTGGCCCATCATCACGGCAATAGGAACGAGAAAGAGAAAGGCCACGGCAGCGAGCGCGCCATGGGCTTGGATAAGCTGTTTGTAACGTTCTTGGGACGCGAAGCGATTCCCCATGCCTATTGCACACATACGCCCGCAAATATAGGCACAGTGTTAGCAAGCAGCTACGCCCGACCTAAAGTCGCGTTGATACGACACGTTGGTTGACTTACCGTTATACTGCATAGTGTTGATATCGAGCCCTACAAGATTGGGCTTGAGGTGAGGATTGTGGCCATTGTTGCCAGCGCTTAATAACCAGGCATCATCGCCCACGTCCGGCCCTTTTCCATCCCAGTACACCGGATGAATAGGCGGAGCCATGGCGACTATCTGTTGTCCGGATGCCGATGCCTCGTTTTACCCCGAACAGAGATATTTACAAAATATTATCCATCGGCGGATGAAGCTCTGGTTTTCTTCATAGAGCCCCCTCCAAAAAAATCAAGGTGGCCGGAAATGCCGAGTTGAAGCAAGCCTCGCGCATAACGCCACGAACCCATTCGTCTGCCCCTCGTCGTGCGGGCGGCCAACGGGAACGCAGCGCGGGTGCTGACTATCGTATGCACTGCTACGCTCGCTTCCCGGCCACACCGGCCGGGGGTCGGTCGGTCGGTGAAGTCACACAAACCGATTGGTGATTTTCGGTGAGTTATCTTCCCATCCGCCGGTTGCGGACTCCGCCACCTTGATACAGCATGGTTAGACGCGCAGATTGGGGATATGTTTTCTGTGCTTATGTAGTTAAGTAATGGCCGTCGCCACATACCTCCCTGACTGGCTAGCTACCGCTTATACCATAACAGACAAAACCGATGGCAGCCCCCCGTACTCTGCCTCCCGTCCCACAACGCACGCTCGTCTCCCCCTCCGACTTCGACTCCAACCGCGAAGCCCTCCGCCTGCTCTTAACTGGATCCACCGACCCCGACTCCAAAGCCAGCCAACACAGCCGCCGCGCAAGCGTCCTCCGTCAAGCCTACGAGCATGACCCGACCGCACAGAATGCGCTCCTCCTCCTAGAGGAGGCCGTTGAGGCCGCCCGAGCCGCCGTGAAGCACACGTCCCCGCGGGATAGATTTTATCGCCCGGCGCGGCTCAGTGACTTGTCCCGGCTCCTGCAGATGCTTTATGAGCACTACCCGGTTGTGCCCACCACCACTACCGACCAAGAAGCTCAAGGAGGAACACGAGCCTCCCTCGCATTTGAAGCCATCTCCATCGCTCGCGAAGCCGCCGAACTGACCCCCGCTGATCCCAACAGCGGCAGCCGTGCGGCGCGATACTCCCAGCTTGCCCGTCTGCACATGCAGCTGCGGTTCAAAGCGACAACCACCAAGGACCTCGCATCGTTGGACGACGCTATCGTGGCCGCCCGAATAGCAGTCGATGCCACCCCGCCGGGCTACATCCACGACGCTGCTGCGCGCCGCGGTGTACTTGCCCACGCGCTGGAGACACGATTCCGGCAGGTGCATCGGGAGGGAGACCTGCGCGAGGCTATCCAGGAGGTGGAACGGGCCGTGGCCGTCACGGGTGGTAGTGGGGTTCCCGGGTCGGTTCACATACCACAGGGTGACCATGCTGGCCTGGTAGGACACCTGGCGTTGATGTGCGGCCGGCTGTGGCTGCTGCGCCGTGACGCGGGCGATATTCGTTTGCTGGACGATGCGGTGCGGTATGGCAGTTTGGCGGAGAGCTTGACGCCAGACTCGGACCTTGACAAGAAGGCGGCTAGGCTACGGAACGCGAGCATGATGCTGCTTAGACGATACGAGGCGCAGCGGGCCCCGTTACGGAAGAGGGTGGACTTAGACGAGGCTGTGCGGCTGGCGCAGGACAGCTTGAACCGTACAGTGTCGTTGTCCGATCATCAGGACCGGGACAAGAAGCTGGGCTCTCGGCGGGCTCATCTCGCGCGGGTGCAGCTGGCACGGTACGAGTACCTGCGGGACGACGAAGCCGACCTTGAGCGCGCTGTTGAGAACGCCCGGCGGGCGTTGACAGCCCCGGGAACCAAATGGCACAGGTGCGCGGCGCTGACTATACTGGGGACCGCGCATCAACTGCTTTTCCGAAGCAGACTTGACAGCAAGTACCTTGAACTGGCGATCGATTTTGCCCAGGACGCCGTCGAAGAGATGCCGAAACCCGCCGCAGGGATGCTGAGCAACTTCGCGAACGCGCTGCTGTTGGGCTTTCGACGGTTCCGGGAATCGCCGTATCTCGACGCTGCCCTGTTGTACGCCGAAAAGGCCCTCGAGGTGTCCAGTGGTTCTCAGTACAACGACTCGGACCGCGCCGCCCGGCACTCGGATCTTGCTGACATCTACGGGGCGAAAGCGAGAAAGGCAGCGGATGGTGACGGTAGCGGTGTCGATGGAAATAAAAGTGTTGAGTTACTGCACATGGCGCTGCACCACGCGCTCGCGGCACTCCGGCTCACGCAGCCCTCAGATCCCCATCGGCTCCGGCGGCTGAGCATCTACGGCAGCGCCGTGGCTGTTTTCCGCCAGGAGGTCCCCGAGGCCGGCGTCCCCTCGTTGGACCGGACCATCCAAGAGGTTGAGGAGATGGTCGGCTCCGGGGCGGGCGTTATCACAGGGGGCGCAATAGAGGGCCACGACCTGGGTGCGCTCCGGAGTAATCTCGGACGCATGCTCGAGGCGCAGGGCCAGCTGAGCCGGGCGCGGGATGTTTATGAACAGGTGGGAATGTCGGCCGCTTCGCTGCCCATGACGCGCATCCTGGCGCTGCGCAAGGCCGGCATCCTGTATGCCAACGAGGCTAAGTGGTCGGACGCGCTCACCATGTTCCGCGAGGCTATCTCGTTGCTTTCCCGGGGTCAGGCGCTGCAGTCGCTTCGCCTCGACGACCATGAGGACACCCTCTCGCATCTTTCTGGCCTGGCCTCACTATCTCCGGTCGCGGCCCTTTATGCGGGCGAGTCGCCCCGGGAGGCGCTTGTCTGGGCGGAAAGGGGCCGGGGCATCATTGCTAAACTTGCCGTGAACGCTCCACTTCAACTGATTCAAGACCACCGAAGTGGCAACGGCAAAGGGCAAAATCCAACCGGCAGCAGTATCTTTGGACATGTCAAACAACTGTTCACCGCCACATCCAGGGCCACCTGGCGGAGCTGGCGCGGCCTGATGCCTCCTCTCCCAGCCCTCCAAGAACACGAGGCACCCCCATCCGCACCCCCAGTCGGCGGTCTCCTCTCCGACGTTGAAACCAAGCTGACCGACGCTGAACTGCGCAAGCTCGCCGAGCCGGGGCCCATCATATCATACACGACCTCCCGATACGGCAGCACCAACGGTAACGGCGCCTTCATTATCACGGCCCAGCACGGCGTCCAGTTTCTGCCCCTGCCCGCCCTCCATCACATCGACGTCGAGCGCAGGACCCGCATCCTCCACAGCATCCGAAACAGTGCCCGTTTCCGCCGCCGAGACAACACGGCGTTGAACGAGGACATCCTCCCGTGGCTGTGGCATACGGCTGTTGAGCCTGTGTTGCACCAGCTGGATGCGACACTAACCTTGCGTACCACCAGATCCAGCCAAGATCAAGACGGCCAGCGGTTGCTCCCGCGGGTGTGGTGGGTGTCTGGTGGTCTGTTGGGCTCGTTCCCACTGCATGCGGCGGGGACGGATTGGGGGCCGACATCACGAGACTGTGCTATGCGACGGGTCGTGTCGTCGTATGTGCCGTCAGTCATGGGGTTGTGGCTGGCGCGGACGGTAACAGCAGACTTACCACCGCCAGAAGTAAAACCAGACGACCCTGACTCCAAATCGAACATCAAGCAACTTCTCTTCATCGCCGTGCCACAACCCGCAGACGGAAGGATGCCCGAGCTAAACGTCAAAGCGGAGCTGAAGGCCCTCGAAGAGAGCGCCGATGGCGTCCTGGACATAGAACCACTATGGAACCCAGACAAACGCATCGTGTTGGACCGCCTGGCCGGTGATGACGCCACCGTCGTGCATTTTGCATGTCACGGGACGTCGGAGCAGGAGCAGCCGTCGAAGAGCGCGTTGTTGCTACGGGAGGAGCGACTTACAGCCGGCGAGCTGATGACTCTATACGTAGGATCCGGGGCAGGGAAACAGCCAGGGTTAGTGACAGAGGAAAGACAGCGACGCGTGGTAAGGGCCGGGTTAGCGTATCTATCGGCATGTTCGGTAGCTAAGAACGGAAGTCCGGAGCTAGTGGACGAGGCTATTCACCTTGCCAGCGCGTTGTTTTGGTTTGGGTTCCCAAATGTGGTGGGGCCGTTGTGGGAGGTGCTGGACCGAGCGGCGCGGCAGGTCACGGGGGACTTTTATGAGCACCTTGCGAAGAGCGTTTTTCTTTTTGAGGCGGGAGGTGATGGGAAGGGGAAGAGGAACAAAAAGGGACGGGAATTACCGCCGAGAGCGGTTGCGGATGCGTTGCATGAGGCTATCCTTGCGCGTCTCCAGGACAGTACGGCGAGGTTGGACTATGCGAGTTGGGCGTCGTTTGTTCATGTTGGGATTTGATTGTGTGGAGATGAAAGAGGACAATAAAAACAGTGAAGCGTCCTCTCGTGAGATTCTACGCCGCTAATTACCGAATTAATTATGGTCCAAGCTTGCTGTTATTTTCTTTCCCACAAGGCAACTGCGACTGTCTGCCGCTTTCTGTGGAGGCATGGGGCTCAATTGCCGCTAATTCTCGGTCTTGCCACGCGGTTTGATATTGTCCTCCTCGTCCTCCTCGTCCTCTTCTTCCTCCTCAACTTCCTCTTCTACTTCTTCGTACTCCCCCTCGCTCTCCTCAGCGTCCTCGCCACCACATCCTACCTCCTCCCCCTCATCATCGTCCTCCACGTCCGCCTCGACCATGACTTCCCCTTCCCCATCCGGGTCGTCACCCTCTCCCCGCGACACAAGCAGTGACTTCCAGCGAGCCCCCATCTTCATCGTGGGTTTCACCGCTGCCGTCTCCTCGCTGTCCGCCTCACCATCCGCCTGACCGGCCTGCTCCTTCTCAGCCGCGGCGGACACAACAGCAAAGCGCAGCTTCACCTTGCGAAATTTGATCTTGTAAATCCGCTCGCCCAGCGCCGTCAGGTTCTCCCCCTCGCTTGACCCGCTCCTGTGGCCCCCCCCTGCGCCGGCATACTTAGTGGTGCCGTCTGTCACAGGCACCTGGCCGGCATACACACTCCCCTTGCCCCCAGCGTGCTCCAGCCTCGGGTCAACCAGCGTCCATAACTCGGTAACCATGTAGATGGACCGGATGCCAGCGGCGTCTTCGAGCCACTCCTTGGCCTTCGTGTCGCGGCAGATATCGCGCAGCACGCGCTTCGGGTCGGCGAGGTGGTAGACGAAACCCGAGTCGGCCGTCACGCGCAGGTGGCTAGACTTGGCGCGGCTTAGCACCGCTTTCAGCCAGCTTAGGACCTGCACGCGGAACCATGACTCGGAGAAGGCGTCCACGCGGAGCACGATGTTGGCGTTCTGCTTTACTGAGTAGTCTTTGTCCTTGGTTAGGTCTGTGGGTTTCCAGCTGTCTTCGTGTGCTTGCTCAATGTCGAGGACGAGACTGCCTAATGGCACGTCGGCTGTGTTCCAGAGGCTTCCGAAGTTGATGCCGTCTGACATGGTTGCGCTGGGAGGTGTTATGAACGGGACGGGACTTGTTCCTCTTGTGTTTAGTCCTCGGGAAAAGAGTCGGGTTCACGCCTTAGTTGGGTGAAGAGAAGATAGTCCGGGGAGCCCAAAACTCCGGAGACCCGGGTCTCACCACATAAATACACGAATATAAGGTTGATTATAGCCCGATGAAAGAGGGGTGCGGTGGAAGAGCGGGGATGCGGCTCTGCCGTCCCTCCGGCGGCTAGACAAGCCCCTCGGCGATTAGGAAGCCGATTCGGAGGTTACATGGCCCTATTCCCATTTACAGAATCGTAATTCGTATCCAATACGACCTACACCGAAAACTGCACAACCACCTCATGTTACACAGGTATCTTGTCTGTTGACTGGCGCATACCCCGCATCGCTTAGCTGATAACCCCAAACGGTTCTGCAGAGGTCTTTCTGCAGCGCTGACTGGACGTCACGATCCGAAGAGAACCCCTCCTGGGGTTCCAGGCTTCCATTCATGAGTCGCTCCCCCGATTTCGGTGCTCACGAAACTGTAATCAACTTCGCGAGTCAACGTTTGGACGCTCCATAATATGCCATCTTAGAGAGATATGGCAACTCGGGCATGCGCTGGGAACTTGGGTTGTGATGGGGAGAAGGTGGGATGATTAAATGATAGGTAAGGAATAAGAACAGGAGGGAAGTAAATATTTCGGAGACTAAATTCAGGGCATGAGAAACAAACATTAATTAACAGCAACCACAAACAACAAACACAATAATTACACAACGTAAGGAGCCGAATAAGTCTTATAAGTAGTACGATCCAACGACAACATGAATTGGCTAATTATACCGGCTCTATCGCCAAACCCTTCTTTTTTGCCATCCGCTCCCTCCGCTGCTTTATCTATCAAAGTATCGTGCACCCATCACAGGATTGCGGATGCGGCATAGCATCTGACTCGGCATCCCTTGGCCACGGCCAAAGCCCACTCATTGGCATATCGTCGTATATGCAGTTATACGACTTGTTTGGATCCGCCGCGTTGTACCTGTACACCGAATATCCCTGATAATTAGTAGCTTTCATCGTGACTACGTTCTCGTACGACAAATCCTCCAACCGTACTGAGGTAGCGATGTTTTCCGCACCGCTAGTGAGCTCCAATTCGCCCTTCCAGAGCGCGGGCGAACCATTGGTATTGTCCCCGAGAAACCGTGTCCGCGTATAGCGGCCTCCCGGCTGTCTCCGGGCGTGCCGGGTCTCCTCCCGGACGTAACCTTTCTCGGGCAGAGCGTTGTAGTATGGGGAGATGAACAGTCCTTCACGCATGAGACGCGCGATGTCGTTGCATTGGACGGTTAGCAAGGCGCCCCAGGACTGCCGGAGGTCTGGCGCGGGGTCCGCTGTTGTTTCCGCTATGGGGCGGAGCCGGACCACCACATAGCCGCCGTTGGTGCCGGACTAGGAGAAAACGATCGAGCCGGGAGTGGACTTTACTTGGCGAGAGCGACGGGTCAAGACGATATTTTTCTTGTCTTGCTCTGATGTTGACTCGTCGTGAATGTTTGTATCAGATCCCGTGGGCGTGGCGGACCCAGAGTCGGTATTTGTATCGGATCCCGCGCGGGTGGCGGTCTCAGAGTCGGTGTTTCTGAGGGGCTCCTAGCGGAGAGGGGTATCGCTGGTCGTCATTTTGGATTGGTCTACCGAAATCAAGTTGACTTGGGAGTGAAGTACACAATGGCCGTAGAGAAAGACTGGGTGTCAGGGGAGAAAACTGAAGATAAAAGCAGGACGAAGAATTCTAAGGTTTTGACCCCCAAGCAACCGGTCGGGTTTTTGTAAGGCCCTAGCAATTCCACATCACAATGTTGTCATGCGTTTACGGTTTTGGTGCTCGTGTATCCTAACGGGACCGTGGCTCTGCGCTTGAGCGCTTGAAACGAAAGACCTGATCATAAAACGACCCCTAAAAGAAATAACAAAACTTTATCGCAAGAGTGAGGTCAAGTTGAGGCGTGGAAGGCTCACTTTCTCCGGGATTATGTAAAAGGCCTAGTTAATCGTAGTCCTGGCCACGAACCGAGCTCACTGCAAACCCAAGCCTTTCTTGGTGACGCACTCGTTCCAGTATTTGACCTCATTCGTCAAGTCTATCGGCTGCGCACCTCCACGTCCCCGTTCTGCTAATGTTTCCCCCTTCTTGCCGTTTGTGGGCGGGCATGAGCAAGTGTTTAGCACTGGCCCTGCTGCAGGATGCGAATGCGCCTTCCACACCTCAATGCCCGCTACCGGCTTCTCGCCCCCAACCGCTCGCGACGCAAACCCCGTATTATTTGTAATGATATTTTGTAACGACGAGAAAGTGTAAACAGCAGACAGGAAAGTAGCATAATTCATGGGACAGCAAAAAGCGATACCTCCTGTACGAGGCTTAGAACACTTCAAGCCCGTTTCTCACTCTTATTATGTCGGTAATATGTCACCGTATCATAATTACAGGCCCAACGCTACCGTCATGTCTCATTCCCAGTCCTAATTACAACGTGCCCCGGTCTGAGGACACTTCCGTTGACGCGTCCGAGTCGTACAGCCCCCGTGCAGCCGAAGAAGTCAAAGCACGTAGAATAAGCACGATGATCACCGCGGCAGCCACAAAAGACGTAGTAGCCGTCACAGCCGCCTTGATCCCATTGGTTAGTGGGGCGGTCCAAATGGCCGCTATCACAGCTGCCTCGATGATTAATGTGAGCAAGAGGCCGATGACCAGCGGCCAGGGGATGTTGGGGTGGTCCTGGGGGAGGCTTTTGTTGAAGACACTAGAGATCCAGTTTGTTGCAGATTTTAGCCAGGTTGTGATTCGTGAGAGGTTGAAGGCGAGGAGGACCAGCGGGGTGGTTATGGCTAGGCTGATGGCGACTGTGGTTGTTCGGATGAAGGGATGAAAGGTCAGCCACAGCCAGTGTTGGGGCCTCGTAGGTAATTGACGGAGCAGAGTGGGGTTTCATACAAAGATATTTGAGGAAATAGTCAAACGGTAGCTTGTCGTTGTCATTCCAGGGGAAAACATCGAGGTTGATGGCGAATACGGCAGCCATGAATGACGAGGGCAGCTAACCAGACACACATAGATCGTTAGCCGGAACGCTCAGGTTACTGAGGATATGGTACCTATACACGTAGCAAAAACGGCCAGGTAATTTGGTACATACAAAGATGATCGTCACAACCGTAAACACCATCAGTGTCTTGGTCTGCCGGCCTGATTCCGTGGCCTGGTTCGCCATCATCTTTAGCTGTTGAGCGGTGAGGCTGGAATTGTCCGCGACGAGCTGAGTTTGCTCTGCGGTTGCTTCGGCTTGCTTGCGCGCATCGATGGCAACAGAGAAACCGGCTTGCTTCTGTTTGAGATCCAGGAGATGGTAGAGCTAGTAAATGATTGAATCATTGCCACGGGGTTAGTCGGAGATGCTGCCACTGCAAGGTACCTAAGGAGTGACTAATTATAAAAGGGGACAATGGCCAACCGATTTCTTGGTCCCCTTGGCAATCTGCTTGAGTCTGCCTGCTCGCTCTGTGTGCAGCATAGTCGAACGACTACCTTTCCATGGCTTATCCCTGTTCTTGGCGGAGGAGATAATGTCACTTAATTCCGTCACGGAGTTGTTCTGGTCTGCGAATATCTTTTGGAGGATCTCGAGCTCGTCGCAGATGTCTTGTACTTCGACCAACAGCTTGACTTCCCTTTGGATGTCCATCGAGTAATCGTTACTTGCAGCGGTTCCCGTCCGTCCAAGCCGGCTCTTAAACTCCTCCAGCATTTGTATCGCAGTGTCACTCTGTATTTCCACGGGTGGATGTATTAGTGTTTAGTCTTTCGCCTTTCGCCTGCGTAGGAGGAAGGATGAGTGTCCCTTACCACACGTGCGATCTCGCGCTCGAAGAAATCCAGAAACTGGAATCCGCCTTGGACGTCATCTCGGTCTAAGAAGCCAGTGCAGGTATCTGTGACGAGACATACGAGATCATGGGCTGAGGTAATGGGCTGTCGATTAGGGCTTCTCAGCCGTCGGAGGACCTGTTGATGTACGTTCATGGGGTCCTCTCGGGTTAAACTATGTGGTGTGCTCCTGAACTTTCCCTTCACCTCCACCAGTGGCCCCTGGACCCAGGAATCCCAGTGGAGTGAGGAGCATGTGATGGCAGTATCTGTGGTTGGTTGGTTTCACTTAATTAGATGTTTCTTCGCTTCTATCCGCAGCTGAGAGACAAAGGGGCAGGGCTTGTAGACTTACCGTCCCCAAGAATCCATATCCACAGTTGATCTACCATGATGATGCGGGGTGGGAGACCATTGTCTCTCGCGTACCGGAGAACGACTTGGTCCCCATCTCGCGTTGTCGTGCTTGAGAGATGGTCGTAGAAATATCCGTCGAGAGAACGTCGAGGTTGCCATCTTCCTCCCCGGAAGTAACCTCGAGATAGATGTACATGCGGGTGTGTGGCCGTCCGTGATGGGTTCTCCGCTGGGGGAGCGGGGTATCCGGGGCCTGGCGTGGTTCTCGGGCCTGGGTCTGTTGCCCTTTCTTCGTTCCCCGGCGGCCCCCGGGGGCTTCGTGGCGGGAGACCTGACGGGAATGCAGTTGGTGTCATCCCTGAGGGCGGTGGAGGAGCTGGAAACCCTTGGGGCGGAGGAGGAGATGGAAACCCTGGGGGTGGCGGGGGGTATGAAAACCCCGGCGGCGGCGGTGGTCCTGGTGGTCGCGGGGGTGGCGGAATTGCACCAAGTTGTTGGGGCTCATCACCACGTTGCCTGCTACCCGCGGGGATTTCATGGTGGGATAATCGATGGTGGTCGTAGAGTTCGAAGTGGAGGTACGGGATATGTGTACTGTTAGTGATGCAGTCTCTTGACCAAACCAGTGATCTTGACGACCTACGAAAGCAAACATCGAAGATTCCGCATCTGGAACTGGGGAATCTCTGGAATCTCCTTTTCCGTGCGTCCGGTGCTACATATGTCCAAGCATTCAGTTCACAGAACCCAGGGTTAGGGATAGGTTTGGGTTATCGTGTCTCACCTTCACTTCCTTCGAATGCGATCTCATGAATGAGGGCCGAGCTGTTTGGTTGGCCCCATGTTCCTGGAGAGGTCTAATACCAATTTGGTCTCTAAATTCTCTCTCGGCCGCTCTATCCTCGATCCGTGAGAAGCGGAGCCTTTCCATTAAACCCTTTTGGCTTCCATTAGCTCAACGGCGGCAAGAACGAACGATCATCTTAGTCAGGCCTAGAACTTACCTCTACCCATTCCATCTGTAAAGCACAAGTCAGCATATAACGGAGGACGGGGAATATCGATCAGAGGTGGTTACGTTGTTTGCCGGCAGATGGTACCACGTAAAAGTGGGAGTCTTGCCAGTCACGCTCTCCGGTCGTCCAGCCTTGAGAATCGCCTCAGGACCTTTTTTGTACAGCAAATCGTAGATTGAAGCTGACTGTTGATATCGTTGCTCCCTATTCTCACTGTAGAACTCCACGATGGTCGCCTGAAAGGTCCGGCACGCCGCCATCTTCGCCCGGTTATCCCGAGGAGGCGGAAACGCCCGTGGCACCACGACGGGCGGTGCTCGCGACTTCTCCTTTTCTTGCCCAATCGCGGGACCCTCTAGCAGCAGGCCATCACGCAGCAACGCGCGCACTTCGCCGAGGTGCTGCTCATCAGCAACCTGCCTCGCGGATCGCCCGTCTTTCCCTGGCGCGTCCTTTTCTGCACCGTGCTGAAGAAGAAGCTTGACTACTTCCGGATCGCCATTCGAGACGGCCCGGTGTAGAGGTGACTCCCAAATTGTTATTGGCAGACCAGCCCACGCGGGAACACCCTTTCCCCCAGGCCACATGGGAACACCCCTTCCCCCCGTGTACTTTGGTGGGGGAGCCGGGGCCAGCGCAAGAGGGCGGTGATGACGTGAAGGGCCAGCTGGGTGCACGATGATCGGAGCCTGGTGATTCGACTCCCCAGGCGCTGCGCCGGAGGGAATGTCGTTCTTGTCCTCATCATCGTCTTCGCTCGAGCTGGAGGCCATTTGCGCGTGTCGGCGTATGGGCCGACGAAAGCCTTTTCCAGGTTTTCCGGGGGGTGGCTCGGAGACCGCCTTCCCCGGCATCCATCCCAGCATCGGTACGTTTGCCTTCTTGTTCTTATGATGGCGATGAGTACCACCTTTCTTGGCTGGCCGAACCTCCACCACCATGGGACCTTGACCAGCAGCCGCCGGTGGGAGCTGTGGGACAGGCGGTGGGTGAGGCGGCATAGCCGAAGGAGGTCTGACAGAAACATCGCCCAGGTCTAACCGCCTCGCGTCAACGTCGGCGCCGCTGCGAAGAAGCAGCTTGACAAGCTCGATGTGTCCTCCACCGACCGCCTCAAACAACGCTGTCGTACCAGCCACCGGGTTCAAGGATTCCACGCTAGCATTGCATTGTAGCAATAACTGTGCCAGGACTTCATAGCCTTGCCTGGCCGCTATCCACAGCGGCTTTTCTCCGTTTCGTGCCGGGAGCTCAAGGTCAGCGCCGCGTTCGAGAAGGAGTGTCACGGTCGGCACGTCGTTGAGGCGCACAGCTTCTGTCAACAGGGTGCGGCCTGCGGTGTCCACAGCGTTAACGTTGGCGCCATGGTCCAACAGATACGAGAGGAGAGAGAACTGCTTGTGTTCCGCGGCGAGATGGAGAGCAGTGCGCCCGCTGGGACCAACGGCTTCTGCGATGTCTATGTCGGTGTCGGCGTTCAAATTGCCTAGAAGCTCTCGCGCGAGGCTTTCATCCCCGGCGACTATTGCTTGATGCAAGCGTGAGACGAGGTCGCTATTCGCGGGCTCAGCAGGCTCTCCAAGCTCCATGGCTTCGGGGCACCGGGGGGGGCGGCAGGGCGGGTAGTCGGTTGTGTGATTGATGAAAGAACTAATTGATGAGGTTGAGCCATGATCCGAGAGAATTCAAGAGTTGTACCACAGCAAGCCTTAGCTGCAAGTCTGCCTTGTGTTCGCAAAGCAGCAGGGCTGAATTCGGAATTTCAGCTCAATTATCGTCGCATTCACTCAATTACCTCCCTGCAACTCAGCCGCTGCAGGATTATCAATTGTCCGCTGCAGGTCCAGGGTGGCTGGGGGGAGACTAGTAAACTGCAGGCAGTTTGCTAGGCAGTTCATTTCCCCTCTCAAGTAAATTATGAAGTTCAACTCACCCACTTGTTTGGAATTACAGGGAAACTCGAGACAGTCAAAGCTTCGACCTCGACCGACTTAACAATCTGCGAGGTCTGTCCTGGGTGATATCCTGGCCGACGGCTAGTAAAAGCAAGGGGCTAGACGGGCCAATTAAACATGAACCTATCTCATGCTGCCCGGAGGTTAACGGCAGGGTTGCCTTACATTGGGTACCAACATCCTTTGATGGTTTTGTTGGTTCTTTCTGTTCTCTTACTTTGTAAGGCATAACTACCGGATATTGGACATCTCATCACCTACCCAGTTCAACTGCTAACGGCCATCATAACTAATTATAATCTGGCAGCCATTTTACTAGCAGGATGTACAGCAAATGGTTTAAGCAATTTTCATCTTCTTTCGCTATCATATAACGCCAGCGGCGCGCTGCCAATCATCGACGATACTATCACCAGCCCCAACACATCCTCCTCCATCGCCACTTTACTCGGCAAAGGGGCCGCATTCCAGATACGGGTGGGCTACTTCGGATACTGTCTACTCAACAATGGCACAACCTTCTGTTCTACGGACTTGCCCTCCTTGGCCTCCTTAATACGACAGAGCAACTCGAGTGATCCCGGAAACCTCTTCTACATTGCTAAAAGATTTCACGATGACACAATCTTTAGCGGACTGATGTTAGTTGCACTTCATTACAATTGCATTCCTTTTGACATCTTTGTTTTGCGGGCTGCGGTTAATTAAGTCTAATTAAATAATTAACAAACGGCTACAGACTCATCAGCATCATCTTCAGTGCGATGTGTTTCATGTTGCTAAGCACATTCCCCAGCTGGCACACCGAAGAGGACTCAGACGACGGATCGGAGCGCGAGGTCAAACCGTTCCCATCTAGGGTAGTCTCGGACATTTCCTTGCTGCTGGTCCTGGTATCGTCACTTCTCGCTCTGGTCGCTGCGCTGTGGCAGCACCTTTCGACCGCAGCCACATCGACCATGATTGGCACACTGACTTATGGGAGTGTGTCTGGGGAAGTCGGGGTCGGGGCAACCGTCTTGGGCTGGGTTTCTACCGGCCTTTTGTGCGTTGTTACGGTGGCCCTGCTTGTCATGGTCTTGAGTATCAGGATTCTCAACCAAATAGTTGCTTGATGCCTGGAGAGTGCCAACAAATTTGGTTCAGGAAAGATGTGATGTAATTACCTAATTAATTACCCAGGCTCGTTGTGGCCAAAAAAGCGGCAACCTAAAACCGATTCCTTAAGTCCAATCCATTAACATTCGATCAAATCTTAACAGATTTTGATTGATTTACTCTTTTTTGTCTTTTTTCACTTTTTTATTTAGTCTTTTTTATCTTCTTTCTTTTTTTTATTTTCTCTTTTTGGTCTTTTTTCAGTTTCGTAGAAAAGTAAGACTTGGTCTGCCGCTTTTTTTTGGCCACAGCGAGTCGGGGACTGACGAGCTATTGATACATGTGTTGGATGTTGAGTCCTAGTAAATACCTACAGTACCCTACTGCATAAGTAAAGTATTGTAATGCTAGGGAAGGGACACAATGATCCGCGAAACCGAACTTTCAAAACTGTAGCTTGCCAACATTCTCACAGGATTTAGCCCCCATGGTTTCCATAAAAGCTGCATGTCAGCTTAAATGTCTTTTCCGGGCTTGTTCAATCATCTACTAGTTGCGTGATTGATAGTCCTGTTTCAGCAAATAATTACCTAATTACAATTAATTATCCTCAGCATCAACCACAACTTACAAAATTCTACATGGCAAGGCCCCTTCCATTTCCGCTTCATGCTCTCTCTTCCTGAACGGATTAATGTTTCAATTCAAATTTCTTGGCAGTGACACTTCCCGATGGGCCATCCATGAATTGTTTGTTTGGTTTGTCTCGTTTCACCATTGGCACCAGGATCAGGGGCTGAGGGGAGGGTATGATTGGCGCGCTTCGATCCCAGGTTGGGAACGCGACGTCGCTTGGGGGGTGACTACCGGCCGTTGGAACGTCTCGGCGACGACATGGATGGTGAGTGGTGATTGTCAGGCAGTGGGATCCGGTGAATTCATGAAAACGAAACTTGCGTCGTCCGTGAGCCACCCAGGCAAGCAGGGTGCTGGAGATCGTACGCATTTTCGGCGCTTGATCCCCGAGCCGCCCGGGTTTGGTACGCGAACCAAGGGGAGTTAATCGTGCGTTGAGTGGAGATGTCATGTCGGCAGTTTTGGTATGGCCTCGTGGTGCGACCTGTCAAGCCTGTGCTCGATAGCGTATGATTATGAACAAGGAGATGGGGTTGGGAATGTACCCTGTCAATGTGAGTTCCCTGGTTCGTGGAGCCGATGTTGGATTGGTGTTGTCAAGTCATGCTGGAGGTGTTGTAAACAAAAGCACAATTGGAGGAAATCGACACTTTTCTTTCCCGGAATCACCACAATAACTGAATAAATTAGCTTCCCAGAGGAAAAGCCGTTTTACTCATGCTCATACCATAAGCCTTGCTTCGGCCAGTGCCACATCGGGCACGGTCGAGAGGCCGTCCGACTTTTAGAAACCACTTCTCCCATCTCAAGTCCCATCCTCAGCAAGGGAAAGCAAAACTTTCCTTTCCCAAGATCAGATCGCACTTTCTCATATCTGTAAGAAAAGCGAGTCGGTTATCTCGGACTCTCAGGTTGGGAACGGGCCCTCACATCGTCAACAGGACCGCATCCAACGGCCGAGAGAAGGCTACCAAGGCACCATGTCGACGCCGCAAGACTGTAACGGTTTCCCCGGACGCTGTCCCTTTGCCCAGACCTTGGCACTCGAGCAACCGCATTCCTTCCTCTTCTGTCAAGGGCAGGCGTCCATCCGCTTTAAGTTGGTTTGCAGATATCTCGGTTCCCGACTCTCAACCTGGATTCCCTCCAGCGGTGACTACGGAAGGGTTCCTTTTCAGTCATGATTTCTGCGTTGCATGTTAGCCGCCCGGGCCGACTTCCTCCATGCCGAAGGTCTCACAGGTATAAGAGCGCGTGGAGAACCCTCAACCGTGAAAATGTCGCTCTCTTCTCCCCATCAGCGTCAATTCCTCCCCAGCCAGCCAGCCGTCTGACCACCTCCCTTTCCCCTCAAGATGCATCTCTCCTCCATCACCGCCGGAGCGCTTGCTCTGGCTCCCCAGCTCGCCTCGGCCCACTTTCTCTTCCCACATCTGATGCTCAACGGCGTCAAAACCGAGGCCTATGAGTACGTGCGTGAGCACGACTTTGGCTTCAACCCCCACAAGACCGACTGGATCAACAGCGAGGACTTCCGCTGCAACGAGGGGTCGTGGAACCACCGCAACGACCCCAAGACCGCCGAGGTCACGGCCGGTCAGGATGTCGTCGGCTTCAACCTCCACTTGGACTTTGCCATCTACCACCCCGGCCCGGTCACTGTATGATCCCCCACTCTCCCCCCTTTTTCCCCTTTCCCCTCCGAACCATCTAAAGAAACAGGGCTTATGCTGACCCCCACCAAGATCTACCTCTCCAAAGCCCCCGGCGACGTCCGCGAATACGACGGTTCAGGCGACTGGTTCAAGGTGTACCAGCTGGGCACGCAGATCCCCTGGAACGGCACAGATCAGGGCTGGTTGACGTGGGATCAAAAGAACTTCCAGTTCACGCTCCCCAACGAGATCCCGGCGGGCGAGTACCTCATGCGCATTGAGCAGATGAGCGTGCATCAGCCGTACCGCGAGAAGGAGTGGTACGTGCAGTGCGCTCACCTCAAGATTGCGAGCAGCTATGATGGGCCCGACCCGAGCCCTACTATCAAGTTCCCTGGCGGCTACAATATCAATGATGAGGCTATTCAACTGGATAGCTGGGCCCAGCCGCCGCCTACTTATGCTGCTATGCCTGGTCCGGAGCAATGGCCTAACTAAGAAAGGGGCTTTTTTTGGTCAATGAGGGATGATTGAGGGTCGGAGGACTATTATTCTAAGGACTAGTCACTCGCCAATGAGAAAAAGTCTACCCCGTTGAACTAAGTCCACCTTCGTACTACGAATCGGTTCTTTGATAAAGCCGAGAGTAAGATCTTGCGAGCTTGGATCCGTGACGATGAAAAAAGCGGGTGGAATTTTTGTAAACTTGGGAGACCACAAGGGGGAGGTTGGGAACTGGCCTGCTGAGTTATTCAAGAGTAAATATAAACGTTAACGTATGAATATTAAACCAGTGAGCAAGTAGGACCTGGGAAGGAAGCAACGTGATGGATTTAGCTGCCTGGAATTAGTCTGAACATGAGATCATACATGGGTCTAAGCACCCAGCAGTAGCACTTTACGATCCGCATGGTACCCGAGAAGGTACAGGGCGGGCACCCGTGAGCTGTGACACATACTGTATATGTGACATTGAAACCTACCCTCCCACACTTGGCCTCTGTTCGCTAGACCCGGACACAACAACACAACAAACTCACCCACTTTCCACCTTTCCATCTCCACCAATCCCACGCCCCAGAACAAACAATTCCGTCCCCCCCTTCCCCATCCTTGCTTCCACAACCAAAACTTTCCTCACCATATCTTCCTCCCCCAATTCCCGCTGCTGTTCAACCAACACTTGGCTATGCGTAATCACTACTATCCACTCAACCACCGCTCGCGACATGGCACCACACCACCGAACAACAGCCGCCTGCCCGGCCCGGTCCAAACTGTCAAACACTTCATCGACGAGCACGTAGTGTGCGCGATGTGGACTTCTCGCCCGCGCGAGCTGCAATAGCGCAAAGAATAGAGCGAGGTCGAGGCGCTTGCGCTCGCCGCTAGAGCGTTTGGGGTAGGAGAGGGCGGGGTGGATGGTGAGTCTGGAGTTGAGGATGGGTATGGTGGATTCCTCCTCTGTGAGCGACGGGGATACAGTGCCAGTGGAAGACTCAGCGGATGAGTCGAGTAGTGAGTGCAACATAGTCATCATCATCCCCGGCGACGGTTCCATCTCGGCGTGCTGCGCGCGTGTCTCGTCATCGTACAGCATGGTAACGGCCTGCATGAGAAGCGTGTTGAGCTGTGACAAAGACTTTGCGAGAATGTCCTCGCGGAAGTTGTTTGTCGTCGTCGTCGTCGCCTTTTTTGCGGAGCTGGGCAGTGGTGAAGAGCCGCGACGGGTGCGCTTCGCGAGGGCGGTAAACCAAAAGACAAAGAGCTCACGATGAGCGGCAAGCGCTTGAAGCTGGGTGGCCACCGCGGACTTCTTCAGGTCTAGAGAGTTTAGGGCGGACTGCTCTTTTTCGGCCAGGTGCTTATATGTGGCTGCGTCGCTTTGCTTGATTGCGGCGCGTTGTTGCAAGGCTTCGCAGGCCTTTTGTGTCTGTCTGGCCTGGTCGCGCTGGTCGCTGATGATGCGAGCGTGGTTGATATTCTGCTTTTCTTCGTTCCTCAGGCCCTGTAGTCGTGATGTGTTGTTCTCAATGTCTCGGCGGAGACCGTTGATGGCCGCCTCTTGGTTAGCCATCTCTTGTTTCTCCATCTCTTGTTTCTCCATCTCTTGTTTCTCCATCTCTTGTTTCTCCATCTCTTTGCTATCCAACTCCGGAACTTGGATACCTAGCACTCGGCTATCCACCTCTTGCTTCTCCATTTGCTGATTATCCCCCTCTTGGTCCTCGGCCTCTTGGTTATCCACTTCATGGTTGCCCACCATTTGTTCATTTTTATCATTCTCTGCACTGGTTGTTCCCTGGGCGCTGTCATCGTTTGGAACCCTAAACATGCACCGCAGGCGCCGGATGGCCATTAGCAGGAATGATAAAATGGAGGTTTCCGTGACGTGGAGGCGCTTGCGCAGGCCTGTTGGGTGGACCGCAGGCATTGCCTCGAGTCTTTGACTTAGTTGTTGCTCTAGCTGGCCCAGCCATGAAGTCGACTCGGCATGCTTCAGCTGCGTATTAGCATGGGCGCTCTCAAGCCGTTCCTTCTCCAACCGTTTCTTCTCCAATCGCTCCTTTTCCAATTGTTCCCTCTCCAGCCGTTCCTTCTCCAGCCGTTCCTTCTCCAGCCGTTCCTTCTCCAGCCGTTCCTTCTCCACCCGTTGCTTCTCCAGCCGTTCCTTCTCCACCCGTTGCTTCTCCAGCAGTTGCATCTCTCGCCGTTTAGTCTCCAGCCGTCGAATCTCCCTCCCCAGCTGTTCCAAATCCGCCAGCTCAGCCTGGATTTGCTTCTGCAACATTAAACGTTCAGCGCGCAAATCCACGTCCTTGAGCTCCAAGGCTTGAATTTCCTTGCTTGTACGCTCCTGGTCTTGCATGGCTGCGTCCAAAGCCACGACAGCTTCCTCTGCCTCATTATCAAGTCGCTTTTGTGTACGGCGCAGATCCCGAAGCCGTCGTTCAGTATCTTCCATCTTTCGAACCAAGCTTCCCAGATCGACTTCCACCTTGGTCATATTGGCCTCGATGTCCTTGAGCAGCAGCCTCGACAGGTTCCCACACCGATCCAACATCGACAGCCCGAGTGACGCTTCGATAAGTTCGCGCCGCTGCGTCGGCGTCGAGTTCAAAAAGCTTGCCGCACTCTCGTGGCTTAGCACAACCGTCCTGATATATGTCTCATAGTCGGTGCCAAGCAGCTCGTTGATGGCCGCCTGTGTCGTGCGCGTCTCTGCGTGCTCGAGCTGCGGCTGCGGCTCGCCGTGTAGCGAGACTACGACGCGGTTTTTTTCTCTCTTGTGCTTGCGGTATCGGGAAATGGCGTATCCGTTGGCGAACTCCGCCGTGACGGAGCAGTTTTTGCCTGCCTTGTCGTTGATGACATCGTTGGCTGCGAGTCCGCTGCGAATGCACTGGCCGAACTGGCACCATACCATGGCTTCGACAATTGTGCTTTTTCCGGAGCCATTGTCACCTACCAGGAAGGTCAATCCGCGGGGGAGGTCCTTCTGGAAGTCGATGTGGATGGTGTTTTGCACCCCGAGGAAATTGGTGATTGTAAGTGAGCGCGGCTCCGCGACGAAGATGTGGGTAGAGGGACCAGCTAGTTCAGTGGCGGTTCTTGCGCCGATTACTTGAGAGGAAGCAGCAAGGAAATCTCCGTACTTTACTTTGACGCCATCGTCATCCTGATTAGCGGTATCGCGAGAGCCTTGGATTATGTGTTGTCCAACCCGCACTAACTCGTCCCGTCGCGAAGAAAGAGACTCATCTAGATCCAGTGACTCGACATATCCGCGAACCTCCGCGATGAGGTCGAGACTTTCAGCCAGAGGCTCGGCCACGTCGGCACTAGGGTCAGAGCCCGGTGCATCGTCGGTTGTGCCTAGACCCGTCTCATCCCCAATAGGTTCCTCCTCCAAGGGCTGGACAGATGCATCGCTCGCTGGAACCGACCCGCCGAGACCGCCAAATGAAGATCGTTCTGCACGCAAAGTAAGGCCTTTAGGGGTCCAGCTCCGCACGCTCCGCACACCGAGCGAAAGAAGCTTATCCCGAGCCGTGGCGTACTTGAAATGGGTAAGCTTGCCGGTGAGCATCACGTGCTTATCTGCCACAGCATTTTGGTTGACTTGATCATCGAGAATCTGCTGAAGATCGGCCGTTATGTAGTTGATGGCGTGCGGGTTGATGAGCAGTTTGTGCTCGAGTGTTTCTGGATTGAACAAAACGACACCCCGCTGCTCGTCATAGAGGTCGGCCCAGCTTAGCTGTAAGGGTGAGCCGAGGTAGGTGACGCTCCCCCCGAGATCGATACCGTCGGTACCGGGTTGTTCCTGGATCATGGTCTGATGACTGTGGAAATGTCCCGTGAAGGTCCGGGCCAAAGAGGCAAACTGACCCGGCCCCGTCAAGCCGTGGTGTGTAATGGAGTTTATTGCGCGAGGATTATCGAGGCCACCAGCACCAACGACATATCGCTGCGTGATAGCCTTGTTGATTGCGAGATGGGCAAAGGCAACCGTATCACCCGCCTCGTCGGGATTAAGAGCAGCCACGGCCTCTGTCAACACGTTCTGCTCCTCGCGAAACGGCAGTAGCAAAACGCGTCGGCCATCCCACTCGTGGCGAGAGACGGCGCTATGTAACGACACGAATGGGGCTAGGCGTTTGATATTGAGGGCGTTAAGCGCCGTAGTCTCGTAGTCGCGACGGTAGACGAGGTCATGGTTGCCGAGAAGGATATGGATTCGCGGCACGACATCACTGAGGAGACCGATAAAGTGGTAACATGCGGACAATACCTGCGTCGGCTGCATTGCGCGGCTTGTGAGAAGGTCGCCGCACACCACCGCGCGGTTGACTTGGTTTCTCTCTGCTTCTGCGACGATCCACTTCGCCGTTTGCCGCACTCGATCCAAGTCATGACGTTTGAAGTGAAGGTCGCTGAGGAGCAGCCATCGAACGGCACTGCTCGGCGGGCCCCGCATGGTTCTTGATGGTTTCGAAGGAGCTGAAAATTGTAATAAAACGGAGTCTCATGGAAGCTTTGGAGAGAGGGGATTGAGTGGGTTGAGAAAGTAGGATGCTGTCTGTTAAGTTGTAACTCACGGCGCGAAACCAGGGGATCAATCCTGATGTAAAAGAAGGCTACCTGCATGCCGTACTTTCCGTTTGTTGTCGGATCGTCGTCATGTTGGGCTTAAGCGAGTGTTCCTCAGAGGACTCAACCTCTTTCCGGTTGGTACTCCGAGTAGGGTGTAATGATTTATGGCTAGATGGAAAGTACGGCGGGGAACATCAAGGTGGAATCAATGGAGTGGAAACATCAATTGGGACAAACCTAGGGACATCTGTTTTTGCTGGAATGTTGCCATCCCAGTTCGATGATTGCGCGATACGGCGGATGCGCGGTTTCGTTCATGATATGGCCAAGGTATGTGTGGTGGCATACGGTGGCTCGACTCTCCGAGTATGATGCCGAGAGGAGGGAGAGAAGTTCCTGATTATGTGATGTGCTCAATACAAAGTATCGCCACCGTTGGAGCTCCTCGATCTTAACCTTACCTGTCGAAGTCACCGGAATCGCGCTCTTCCACGGCCATCCTGCATCACCATAACGTGGTCATGTGGACTCGAACACTGCGCATCCTAATTAACTATTTTTACCAGGAAAGGCTGGATAATACTGCTCTTTGTGTATTTCCGGCGTCCGTTTATAGCTTTGATTCCGCCCTGCATGCTCAAAGCTAGGGTTTTATTCTTTCCCAATCTGATGCGGACTTTAAGGAAATCATCACTGTCGGCCGATGGCATCAGCCAACCTCGAGTTCTTGAATCAACTAATTACAGCAACAGGGGAACAGACTAAATGGTACATTCAATTGAAACTAAGATATGGAAAACATAATGATGGTCTAACACAACCCACTCTCCCTGTCTCGTCATGGACCCCCTTCTCCCCCTTTAGAGACCCGATTTGTGCAGGAAATCAAACGAGACCTGATAACCAGCGGTCGCATTGGTCGACAAAGTCAGTCCATGTCCAGTCTTGGGCTGGATATGGACATCGACATCCGCGGCACCCTTGTAAGTCGCCTTGATGAGCTCAAGGTCATACGTCCCCGTACAGTCACCGCCGCAAGCGCCATAGTCATTCTCCCCAACAACCATATGAAGCGGCCCCTTAAACAGCGCTCCCTGGGTGCCAAACCCCGAGAGGAGCGACGCAAACTCGCTGACAGCGACGGGCTGCCGAATCTTCCAGGCATAGTCCAGCAGCGCCGGCTCAAACGTGCCCTTACGGAGAAAGTTAAGCTGCATGTTGGACTTGGTCGCGGGCACCAGAGTGCCAGACTTGCGGTCTCCAAAAAGGACCGGGTCGTTCTCGGGCGCGTACTCGAACCCCCAAGTGGCGAGGTTGAGACCGGGCAGCGGGATGTTGGTCATGACGAACCCCGTGGCAATGAGCCCGTCGCTTTCGGTGGGGTAGTTGGTGATCAGGCCGACTGAGATGATGGAGCCGAGGGAGTGGCCGACGTGGACGATCTTGGAAGGCTTGTACGTCTTGAGACGCTTGTCGGGGCAGTCGCCGAGGGTCTTGGAGGCGCTGACAAGTTTGCCTGAGCGGGCGAGCTCGGTTAGGTACCGTAGGATCTCGACTTGAATGTTGACTTGGACGACATCGTATGGGTCGGGCTTCTCGGAAGAGCCTGTCCCGAGGCGGTCGTAGGTGAAGATAGAATACCCTTCGGCCAGTGCTGCGTCGACGTAGGAGTACTCCTCCCGCTTGATTTCAGCGTCCCAATACCTTGTATGTCTTGTTAGCTTTCCAACCTCCCAACGGTCGTCTCGGAAAATGCCACGGCGAAGGGGGAAACCAACCTCGAATCAAAGCCGGCACCGTGGGTAGCGACATGGAGGATGTCAGACCGGGCGGCGGCGCCCTTTGGCGGGACGCATAGCTGTCCGGTGATCTTGAAGGTCCCCTTGATGGGAATTCGCCCCATCATTAACTCTGTGTTGTTGGGTGTCGTCCTAGTAGTGTGGAACCGGACCCAATCCACAGCGTCAATGTTGTTGTCAACCCGGGGCTGTTGCCACCGGATCGCCGTGGTGTCGATCGGGACAGGGACTTCGATCTGGACGCATGACCGTTTGTGTGAATTATGTCCTGCTGTGGGTGACGCTTCTCCAGCTGTGATGGCCAGAGCTGCGGCGACAAAGGCAATGAGTTTCGACGCCATTGCGTGCATAAGAGAGAAATTATCGGATTGAGATTGTCAACGAAGTTTGGTGATATTGGAGGATGGTCAACGCCTGGAGGCTTGCTGGTGTCCAAAGTCTCATATCTCACATCTACCCGCCGGCACAAGCCTGCTTTATAGGCATCCGATCTCGTGCACCGCCATCTCCCCTTCTCACCACTTACCATCGGCCTCCCGGATATCCGTACGGTTCTAAGAAAAGGATGCATGAATTCCAAACGCGATTCGGTCCTGACGCGCCGGCGTCGTCTCCTGCGCGTATCCGACTTTCTCAAATCATTCCTAGCGTCTAGCTCAAATACTACCTATGTAAACAATTGAAATGGGGGGCTGAGTGACTAATACGCTGTCCCAATGAACAGAAGACGGCTGCGCCACATGCAAATGCGTATCCGGAGCACTGGGACGTGGGCGATTAGGTGATGCCGCTGATGCGTCCCACGCTTGGCGGAAATTAGCAAAATGCGGAAAAGACCCGAACGCGACCAGCCGATTTTCACGGAGCTGACGGGCGAGAATCACGGAGTCTAGCCAAATTCGGCTAGGGCCAGCGGCAACACCGGAAGGCGACACGTGGGCGACCCTACCCGTGGTCCTCTGATCAAAGCGGTAGCGACGTATCAGAAGTTGCGGCCCCGAATGTACACCCAGTAATCCTGTGTAAAAAGGACAGGGGCGGCGGAGTGATCTATCACTGCTCCCTCTCTCTAGTTCTGAGTGTTAAGCTGCTGGTTCTCGACATCTGCCTTCGGTACAGTATCCGGGGTTTAATGTTTTTAGTTCAGACCCTCTGTGCTGCGCTCCAACCGTTCCGCAAATTCATTACTGCGAAGGTTCAACAGGTGAGTTTAGAACATCAAGGCGGAAGTCGAGAGTTATGGCAGGGGCCAACTCTTGCGTTCCGAAAGCAATGAAAGCCGCTCAAGATACCTAGAATGGGAAAGGGCAAATGTTGTGGGTCAGTGGCCCACCTTTAAACTTTTCTCCCGCGCCATCACAGACACAATACGGAGGTTTTGGCATCACGATAAGTTGGTGTCGTCGCCATCCTGGAGACAGGCATACAAGACGCTGCAGTACCGGGTTCTGTTCCCGGTATTTTTGTGCGTTGCCGTGTCTTCCTCTTAGCTTGCAGTAATTATTTGGTGCTCACATACATAGCCAAGTTTTTATAATTGGTATAACTAATACAACCAAAGAGCCACGGAATTGCGCTCTTGTGGTTTTTTTTTTTGCTTTACTCTCTCGCTGTAATTATATTGCTCATTGCATGCATTCATGACTCGACCCGAGTTGGTCGTCAAAGCTCGACTCCCTGGCCTCTTGCCGAGTGCATCACCCGTCGTGTGGACGCTCGACGAAATATCGGCATCGTTGCGGAGTTACGGAGGACAAAACGAGACTCTGGATCGAGAACCTAACTCCTTAAGTTATTGAGTGGAAAAATGGAACAGTCACTTTGGGGCTAGTCGGGCGAACTCGCCTCGCATTGGTCCACGCTGAAACATTTTTGATTCAGATAACCCCCCCCTCCCCCCCCCCTGCCTTCAGCTTTTGTCTCAGAGCTACCGTTTCGACTACCGATCAACTTCCCGCGGAAAACAAGCTTCTCACCCTGACGTGTTGAACCTCAGAGTCAGACAGAGCAACCAGAGAATTTCTCGAAATAGTTAGCTGTTAGTTACATTCTGTCTTGGTTGAGTTCATATTACATGTACCATCGATTGCGCTTTCTTCTTTCTCAAAATGGTAAGCTTCCCATCCGAGCTTCTCCACTAGCCAAAGAGCCCCGGCTCGTCCTGAAGTTTTAGTGTGGTATCTGTTAAAGTTGAGATGAGCATGACGGCTATAGCTATTAGCTCGCGGTGCGCCAGAGTCGCTAAGATCGTCGGGATTGACCTCTCTTAGGGATGTGTTGATAATGATGATCTTCTAAGTTGTGACCAACCCGTTAGAGAAGAGGCGGTCAACAAGAACCGAAGTATTGATGTCCTCGGTCCTCGGTGGTCTCATGGCTAAGAAAGGGACACCAACTGGGATGAAATACCGAGCCATCCCTCCTGCATTGATTCGCCTTTCACCTCTGTCCAGGCCATTTCTCAAGTCACTCACCACAAGCATTTGTAGCTTCTAGTTACCTTGTTTTGGCCGTTCTATTTCTGTAAACAACAAACACACAAAACACACACACACACACACACACACACACACACACAATGCGCCCCACCACCTCGCTCACGATACTCTCCATCCTAGGCACTACCCTCGGTCTGGTCCTGCCGCACCACCAAAGCCCCCAGGGCGCCCTTGACAACCATATTGAACCCCCGAACGACGGTGCCACCGCCGTGGCCGTCCCCAACGCCGGCCTGCCCAGTGACAGTAACCCCAAGGTGTCGTATGGTTGTAGCAATGATACCTACCAACTACCAACAAGATTAAATTTGCACCCGTCTCGGTCTTTTCTAGGAGTCGCGGCCTGCGTGCCCCCCACTCCGATGGAGGAGGTTCCTCGGAACGCATTTTCGTTGGTCAGTCGAACCCATCACCCCACTCACACCGAGATGTTGGTTCCTGCCTCGACACTAGTAAATGCATCTGCAGACTGCAGGCACACTCTCGCCCGACTGTCTGGGCTCAGCTGCCAGCGCTTCCGGCCTGTTGGTTCCCCTCTCCCATCCATGCAGGGGGAGGTGACGAATGAGCAAAGGGCTCCAGCCCGACAGCCTGAAAATTCAATATTACCAGGGGTCTCGTAGGCGGCAAAGGACGGGACCTACATCCCGGCTAATGCGTGCATTTTCGGATCTCGAAGCGAGGCGATAGTTCGCTGTTGGTTGTTTGATCTTGGATCTCCGGGCGGTTGTTACTGAGCCCGGTGAGAGTACGGGCAAAGGATCGTTGCGAGAACGAAGAGATCGAAAATGGCAATGCGCCCGGGACGCGGGGGTTTCGGATGGTCCAGGACTCAGGGGGTAAGGCCATAAGGGGCCGGAATTGGAAGTCCGTGACACATGGTGACAGCGTGATTCAACCCTCGGTGAAAGTCTGCTTTCGATCTCGGTCTTCCGTAAACCCGGCATCTCTCGGCTCAGACTAGCAACGGCACATTCATGTTCAGATTGCCCGCGTGCCTTGAGGCATGTCCCATGGGCCCGGCCGACTAGGTTCTGTGTTGCCTTGCCAGTCCGCGCAAAATTACTGCCCCCCGTTGTCTCTTTCCCTGATGACCTCTCTGCCTGTCCTGCTCTCTCAGGTGTGTCCTAAAACACTGGCTATCCTGTCTCATTCATCTCCCACTTATCGTTCACACTCCCATACTGGGTGAATTCAAACTCGCCCTCAAACATACCTCGACTAGACAACTGCTGTCACCTATCATGAACAAAAGCTTCCCTCGAGCCTTGTGGCTCAGTTGTCTCGCCAGCACGGTCACCGCCGCAATGGCGAGCAATTTGCCGGGCCAGAGACTTGTTCGCGCAGCAAGCTGTACTCTCTACGACATCCAGGCCAAGGATACCTGCCGGTCCATAAGCCAGGCACACGATGTGAGCTATGCTCAAATCATCTCATGGAATCCTGAGCTCGACTCTTCCTGCTCGTGCGTTTACCCCGTCAAATACAAACTTGGCAAGACATAGCTCCTCGGTCTTCTCCGCTAACTCAACAACCACATTAGAAAACTTGCCAATCTTACCAGTCTCTGCATCACCAACCCTTCCGGGGGCGGATTTGCTATGCCGAGCAATGACCGGGGGGTAACAACCACTGTAGCCACAACCACGTCCGTATTTTCTGGCTCCCAATTCATGATGCCTTCCCCCTCCACAGGGGATATCCAACATGCTTACTCATTCTTCGGCTTTGTTGCAAGCCAGTCCCATCTCCCACGGCCCCCGACTCCAATGCTAGGGGCGGAGAGTGGCACTTTGTCGAGAAGGATGAATCCTGCTCAACGATCACGGAGAAATACCATATTGGGTTGAAGGACTTGTGAGTTTTCAACAGAGTTTTGTTCACAATTTCATTTATGCCTTTCTCCACTCACTCGTTTTCAACCCTTTTGTTGGCTTCTTTGTGGCAGCAACGTCAGTGATGCCCTTGGGCCAGGGTGAACAAAAGCCAGTGTTAACACGTTCTACACCCTTTTTCTGAACCCCCAGCTCTGGACAAATTGCACGAACCTTTGGGCTGATACGTATTATTGTAGTGAAGCAGTGGGCAGCATCACAACGTACCCGGGGTACCTGCCTACCACGACGGACATTCCGTTCGTCCCGGTCGAAGCGACATCTTTGCCTTGGGTTCCGGATGTGTTGGAAAATTATACGTCGACGGAGCCTATCATCCCCATAGCAAACGGCACCCGCAAAGACTGCTATGAGTACGAGCCATCCGTTTCCTGCTTGTGGTTGTTGGGACCCATAATCAAGTATCGCTAACATCACTCCCAGTTATATGTGGCTCGACAATATCACGGATACTTTGATTGCCGACTGTTGGGCCATGGCGATGGTTTTTGACACCACTGGTGAGGTACGAATGCCCCCCGAACCATCGCTTTGATCAAATATCTTTGTCCTTGGTAATCCCAACTACTGGCTAACCTCGATATAAACCCGAATTGACGAGATAGGAGTTTATTCTCTGGAACCCTTCTCTTGAGAATGAAGACACGACGGTGTCGACAACCGTAACCGTTGTAGCTGGCGTGACCTCGACGTTGACAAACAATCCATACGCATATCCTTGCACCTTGTCTGAGAGTATCTCGTACTGCGTCCAGCTATCGTCCCCTACTCCCCGTAAGTGTCCCTCTCTAGCACAGTCAGATTTTCAGACGCATAGCCACCAGAATAGCATTACTGACCCCAGCTTCATCCTATGTTTTGTTTTTCCGCTATGCAGACGTCATATCTCCCAACGTGACCATTCCCACCCCCAGGGCTGCCGGGGAGACCCCGGACTGTACGCAATGGGACCTAGCCGAGTCTTACAGCACTTGCGACGACTTCGTGGAAATGTTCTGGCTCACGAATGCCGAATTTTACGAAATGAACCCTTCAACGGGAGAAGACTGTGATGGGCTTGTCCCGGGCACTTATTACTGTGTTTCCACTCTTCCCGGCGGTGCCATTGAGCCCGACGATCCTCTGGAGGAAACTACCAGTCAGTCCGGCACCGTGACAAGCACAAGCAAGACTGTGACCAGTACGGCGACGTCGGGTCACATTTCTACTCCGTCTCCGATTCAGGTAAGTAGCCGGGCTCAAAATATGAACGAGGCTCCTGAGGAGTAGCGTGGATTTCTCCGACACCAGAAATCCATGCATCTGTATGACAGTGACTAACCGCCCTTCAGACCGGCATGGTCAAGAACTGCAACCTCTTCTACAAGGTCGTAGCCGACGACGGCTGCTATGACATCGCCCAGGCCCAGCACATCGCCCTTGACGACCTTTACGCCTGGAACCCGGCGGTCGGGACCTCCTGCGAAGGCCTCCAAGCCAACGTATACATTTGTGTGGGCGTAGCCGCCACGGCCACCACCACAACCACGGCCACCAAAACTACAGGTACGGGCAGCGGAACAGTGGTGACCCCGACGCCCACACAGACGGGCATAGTGGATGACTGCCGCTCGTTTTACCTGGTTGTGGCGGATGACACGTGTTACGATATAGCGCAGCAGCACGGCATCTTGCTGGATTCCTTCTATGCGTGGAACCCGGCGGTGAAGACGGATTGTTCTGGGCTGCAGGCGAAGGTGTATGTTTGTATCGGGTTATAGATTCGGGAATAGCTTTCGGCGATGGCTGCTCGAAAATGTCGAAAAGGGTTGCCAAAGGCCCTACAATAAATCCTTGATCACTAGTAATGTGAAAGCCATCCACCGGCGAAACTATTGTAGCTCAGAATTTGACCAAACTTCGTGTTTCACAGTTCCCTAATTCCCACTCATGAAAAACAATTTCAGTTGTTTTTATCCTTACATCGACTAGACGCAAAACAGGTGGCCAATTTACACTATCTCACAGCCGAGGACGTGGACGTTGGTTGGTGTAGCGACAACCACTCGTGACATCATCATCCTGTCTTTCATTCGTTGGCCCACTGTTCTCCTCACTCACACATAATTAGTCCGGGCAACATGACTAGCAATCTCTGAATTTTAACCCAAAATACCATCACTTTCTGCACACAGTTTCAAAATGACCGAATTCGACATCCCCAGCGAGCAATGGGCGCAGGTGATTGAGAAGTCGGGCGGCCGTATGTTGCTGTTTACTCACCCCTAAGCAACCCCCCAATTAGGCACCCTGATTACCTAAGTAAATACCTATCCAACCGCCACAACTAACTAACCCCCCTCCTAGCCGTCGTCTACAAAAAGATCCCCGTCCCCCGCCCGGGCCCCGACGAAGTTCTCCTCCACATCCACTTCTCGGGCGTCTGCCACACCGACCTGCACACCCTCCAAAACGACTGGCCCATCCCGGCCCCGCTGCCCCTCGTCGGCGGACACGAAGGCGTCGGCACCATCGTCGCCAAAGGCGACCTAGTCGGCACCAACGACACCGGCCTCCGCATCGGCGCCCGCGCCGGCGTCAAATGGCTCAACAGCAGCTGCCTCGCCTGCGCCTTCTGTCTCGCCGGCGACGAGCCGCTGTGCCCGCGCGCGCAGTTCTCGGGGTACACGGTGCCTGGCACGTTCCAGCAGTATACCCTGGCCAAGGCGGCGCATGTCACGCGGATTCCGGATGATGATGCCGAGGGTCGGAAGTTGGATTTGGCGGCGCTTGCGCCGGTGTTGTGTGCGGGGGTTACGGTGTACAAGGCGCTGAAGGAATCTGGGGCGCGGCCGGGTCAGTGGGTCGTGGTGGTGGGTGCGGGAGGTGGGTTGGGGTCGATGGCGGTGCAGTATGCGCGGGCGATGGGGTTGCGGGTGGTGGGGATTGATGGGGGGAAGGAGAAGGGGGATAGCTGTCGGAAGATGGGGGTTGAGGAGTATATCGATTTTACGGATTATGCTTCGGACTCGGAGGAGGGCAGTAAGGAGCTCGTCCGTGCCGTCCGCCGGGTGTGTTCGGATACGACTGCGGTGGCCTCCAACGTGGAGCAATCTCCGCTCTCCGGCCCGCACGCTGTTCTCCTGCTGGCCGTCTCGCCGACTCCGTTTCGACAGGCTATCCAGTACGTGCGCTCGCGCGGCACCATTGTGTGTGTTGGGCTCCCGCCTAACGCGGAGCTGCGTGCGCCCGTGTTTGAGACTGTCGTGCGCATGATCACGATCCGCGGCAGTTATGTGGGGAATCGCCAGGACGCGCAGGAGGCCCTCGGTTTCTTTTTGAGGGGTGACATTAAGGTGCCTGTCAAGACGGTCGGGCTCAGTGAGCTGGGCGATGTGTATCGGGCCCTGGGCGAGGGCAAGGTTGTGGGGCGATGTGTGGTGGATACTAGCCGGTAAAGGTGAGGTGCTTCTCTGTACAGTCAGTACCTAAAGGTACAGTACCTACCGGAGATATGATCATGCCGTGTGTCACGGGAATTTTGAGATATGGGCTATTTATGTAAGAAAAGCAGGACATCAGACGGAACAACTTGGAAAATCAAAAATATATCACCCGCCACAGGGAGGGTATCGCAGACCGGCGACACTCTCAAGCCAGAGGATGAAATGTTGTTTGTAGTGCAATCAAGAGAGGGTCTGGGGTCAGCGTCGCAGCGAGATCGCAGCGTCACATTGTAGGTAAGGCGAGCGGGACGACCCGTGATTAGTGTAGACAAGGTCCTTGGCTCCGATGTAACCTCGGGATACCTCCTAGTCTCGGGCCGTGACGGGACGCAACGGTTCGGCAGCAATGCCGGCCGTTCAAGTTATTGAGTCTTCACAAGTTAATGGAAAAATTGTTTTTGGACAAGGTCATCAAACTCTGCCAAAAACCGGCGGACGGCCAACAGTCGGCATCAGCATTCAAACCTTCCGCCACCGACCAGCACAAAGGGCTGCAGCCAACGGACCAATTACCAACCTATGAGCGATTCAACCGCCGACTTGAACCAACCGCCACCTTGTATTTGTCCCCCCCAATGTGCCAACAACAGGTGAACCAGTGCTGGGCACTGGCTGAAAAGCATCTACATATTCGTACACGACGAATAATTAGATGACATTGGATGTGTCAAATTCGTGTGCCTAACCCATGGAACTCGGTTCTTTCCGTGCACGGCCCACCAAGGCTTGGCATACGAGCCTTACCCCGCCCAAATAAGTACCTCGTTAGCCCTCATCTATTGATCATTTGCGGAACTTTCTTCTTTCATCTTTATCAATCCAACGAACTCCAGCCGCCAGATCTCTCGAGCGCCCTCTCGCAACGCCCATCACTGTTTAGGTAGGTATTAAAAAAACAAGGAAAAAGTCAGCACCGGCGCCATATCTCAACCGAAGCAAACTTTGCCGCATCACGCCTGGCTGTATCGACACACCACGCTCGTGATGCAAGAACTCGTTGAAAACGTCGAATGTTACGTGCCCGGCGGCTATCATCCAACTGATATTGGAGACACCATCGCGAACGGCCAGGATAGCTACACTGTCGCCCATAAGCTTGGACACGGGGCCTACTCCACTGTCTGGCTGGTCAAGAGACAGCGCAAACACTGTGTCGGCCAACAAGACCCTCCTCCAGTCTCGTTCCACGCCCTCAAGATCTTTCGGTCAAATATAGGTAACATGCGCGGCGATAACGAGCTGCACTTCCTCCAACGCCTCGGTCAAGTAGGCAAGTTTGGTCACCCAAACATCGCCATGGTCGAGGACTCATTCACTATCTTGGGCCCCAACGGCCAGCATCAGTGCCTCGTCTCCCCCGTCCTCGGATTAACCCTTCATTCAATCAGCACAAAGAAGTGGGCCCCTTCCCAACGACACCATATCTGCTAACAACTGACAAGCGCCGTCGCCTTTCTTCACTCTCACGGCATTTGCCACAGTGGTAAGACTCCGTTTTCTCCCGACGCTTGATTACTGCACTCATTCCACTGGGACACACCTGCTAACTAACACACATTGATCACAGACCTGACGCTTTCACACATAGCAATCGCTATCCCAGATATACAGTCCGTTTCCGAAAGCCGGCTTCTAGAGCTCCTGGGCCCAATCAAAGACGAGCCGCTTCGGCTCCGCAAAGGCCCTGTGCCACGCTCCAAACACGGCCCAAAGAGAGTAGTTGCGGCTGCGTCCTTTTCCGGGCCCGACCTTTCATCGTTGACAAGCATCCGGGTTATCGACTTTGGCTGCGCCTTTCTCAGCTCCAGCCCGCCACCGACCCTGGGATGCCCCGTTGACTTCTTTCCACCGGAGCTCCTATTCGGTTACCCAGCCACGACCCACTCCGATGTCTGGCAACTCGCAGCGCTTCTTTACTACATCTACGCCAACCACTACATGTTCCAGTCCGGCTTGCAGATCTACACTCTGCTCGTTCGTTTTATCGTTCAGCACTACGGCCCAGTCCCGAGTAATTGGAGGGGAAAGTATGTCTGAAGTACGGTCTCGCAGAACCGGGTTAAGAACCGGTTGCACATCCCGAGCCAGATTAGTGGTATAATGGTGAGATGTCGGTGGTCTGCTTTGAGGAGTTTTTCGCCGAGGGGGCTTCTTACCTCTCGGCAGTGCAGCGGGACGAGCTAACGCGTTTGCTCCGTGACATGGTGACGTGGGAACCGAGCCGACGCATTTCAGCAGCGGAAGCACACCAGCGCCTTCAGTCTCCAGCCCTGTCCTCTATGCAGTGAAGGGACGGCTAAGCAGCTAGGTGGGTAGGTTGGTAAGGCGGTAGGTTTTATTTCGTATTTGTGTCAAGGTAGTGGGTATCCATTTAGAGATCCATGAGGTAGGTATCTACAATGTAGTCAGTAACACGAGACATTGTATGATTTAATCGGAACCCATGTGGTATGTACAAAGCCCCCCTTTGCTTAGACACACACAATCAACTCTTTGAATGACGTTGCACGATTGCAACTTAGGCAAATAAAAAACAATTACACCGGCATTGAACTGATGTGATCGGTATGGGGCTTGACGCGACAAATTCCAAGGGTGCTGTCGGCCGCGTACACAGGAGGTGTATAGCGATGGTGTAGCGAGGACTTCCCTATAGTTGATTTACCACCAACAACTCCTTCGCGACATATCACTACCTTAGTAATGATAATGAACCCGGGCGAATACAGTTGTTAATGTCCTCGGAACAAAGCCGCCAAACAATCAATTCCCAAGAATCAATCCTAGGTCTTGAGCAGCAGAGTCTATCTGGCAGCCATGGAAAGGCAAACGGCATTATTGAGATCCGAGATGTCAGAGAAAGCATGTCGCCTAAGCACCACCGGAAGTCAGTTGACCTAAGGAAACAGGGAAACCCGTAGTATCTCTACCATGCTGATCCCCTTGGTGCTCCTGAGGTGCGATCAAGGCGGACCGCCCAAGACGTGCGAGGTCTGCGAACAGTGGTCTTCCCTGCCTAGGTAGGTAGAACAGCAAACGGAGAGCGTTGGCTCAGAGTGAATTTCTGAAATCAGGACGTCTACTAATTACCTACGTATTTGACCGACTCACCGCTGCGGCTTGAGACTTTGGAGCTAAAGTACATTCCCGACTTTTCCGTGGCCCTGCCATCCACAAACATTGTCGTTACTGTTGGGGATAATGGTCTTTAGTGGTTCAGATTGCCGGCGAGCCGGGCTGCCGCAGCCAAAGTCGTGCACACAGCCGGCGGAAACCCCAAAGACGCAAGTCTTCGGATTCGTTGCGTGTGTTTGTGTCGGCAAACGAATGGATTGGCTGGGCTTCTCCTGTCTAGGTGTGAACTACACAACGTTCTGAGCTATAATTAAGAGGCGGTCTTGCTCGACAGAGGCACGATGAACGACGAACCAAACTACCGCAAAGTTCTTTACGTTCGCCAACGGTAATTAATCACTTCCCGCCGTTGATATTCCTTACTGAGGGCAGTTCTGAAGAGCATCCCTCACCTCGTATGCGAGCCGTTCCCGTTCAAATACAGAGACAATAAGACAGTTACTGACGTCTCGAACGACACCTTGTACGGTCGACCAAGAGGCAACTCGCAGTCATTAACGCGCAATTCACAAGTGTATCTCGAAGATGGTAGGCACTCCTTGAATCTCGGGGACCTCAACCAAGGCAACGCTGACAGTTGACTCGGAACCAGTCGCTTTCCCACCCCAATCTTACCGCATTCCCCGAGGACCCTCCACTGTGCCACCGTTGTGGGCGGCGGAGCGAGAGGTTCCTCACCCGACGCTCCAATCGCAAAGGAAACGCCAACCGCCCCTTTTACAAATGCCAACGTTGCGACAAGTTCCTGTGTTTCGCAGACCGCAGGGGTAATATCCCTGACAATCCATCCTGTCACTGTGGCGCTTCAAGCAAGCAGCAGTTGGCTGGTAGGGAGAAGAAGGTTCCCCGTGGAGTACACTTCGTTTGTAGGCTAGGGGAATGCGACTTCTACCAGCCGCATTTTGACAGGAGCGGGAGACAGGTCACGGTGGATGATGACGATCTTGTACGTCGCTTTGCGGAGCTTGGATTCTTGTAATTAAGCCCATTTACAAGCCCAGCGGTCGGGTCCCCCTTGCTCTCCTCGGACCGTCTGCGGCTTTGCGCAACCCGAATAACAAGAGCCTTGATCTCATCCTCATTTCGCATCAAGCAATCGACCGCTCGGTTATAGTGTATGTACAAAACGCCCATTCCTTGTCCAGGCAATTACGAGCATTCATCCTCCCCCAGGCCAGGCACCGACGACATCATTACTTATACTTCGATTTAGAAAAGATAACTCATCGCCCATCCCGCTGAGGATGAATCATTTGTCTTAATAAACCGTCTTCTTTTTTGATAACTAGGGATAAAACATTTGTGTTGTTAAAAAGTCTTCTTTCTATTCATTTTTCCCGTTACACATTCTTCTTTTTGCTCTGAAAAGGATAAATCATTTGTCTTTCATTCACCGTCTCCTTTGTATAATAATATTGGCACCAAACTTCGTTAATATCTCATTACTCATTGAGTAATTATGCGTCGCCCGAACGACCTTTCCGCCCACGCAGCCGCACGGCGCAAACTTCGCTACCTCCGTGTTTGATTAATTACCTAATGACTTGGTGCAGCGCAGCTGCCTGAAGCACGCTGCTGCATTGGCACTACGCTGGACTAGAAGGTTGTTATGCATCATGCGAGACCTGACTCGACGGTGGCCAACACCTCCCGCACAACCCGCGCTTGCCGCGGTATGGTGCGGTATGGTGCGGTATTACACGCTAACAATGATGACAGGTGATGACCCGCTTCCTTGCGAGAGCTTCTCTTCCATTCTTCCCATAGCTTGCGTCATAGTAGCCCATGATCCCCTCGGGCCTCACCTTCCGACAATCAAGTACCTTTTGCATTAGTTATTACATAATTAGTAGGTGATGGTGGAAGGTGCAACGATGGCATTCGGCCAAGCTAGCCACCTCGTTATCCATAAGCCGGTAATCACAAACGTAACCTTTATGCGTCTCTTCGCAGCCAAAATGGGCCGTCGGAAGAGGGGTCGTTATGCAGACGACTTTCTAGCCGAGCCCATCGGAAGGACACACCTACAACACGGGGTCGCGTAAGTACCTAACTGGGCCAGCCACATCGCCGCGCCAACAACAGGAAGTTGGACGGTAATATCAGTCAAGGATGAGCACAACCCCAGGCCAAGTTGTGTGATAGGCGAAGGTTGAAAATCATGCTGGCAGATGCTGCTGTGAAGAAGGATCAGTTGCGAGAAGTTGACCCATGTTTGGCTACGAGTACGATCCCTTTTTTCTCTCACCGGAACACAGCGTTGAGAGGACCCGCCTGAGATGTCAGGACTTGGATGAGCTCACCGGTCGGGTGTTCCGACGGGCTTGTCCAAAGAGGCCTCGCTCGATCTGTACCTTGACCCCTCCTCTGTTTCTCGACAGGCCGATGTGACATCGGCAGGCATGCTGTCTCGGGCCGCAACGGGGTATGATCATGATGAATCGATGACGGGACCTACCAATAATGCCGCTGATCCAACTCGATTCGGATGCGCATTGTCTCGGAAGGGATGTTTCCCGATCGCGGGGCTATCCCGAGATTCTCGCTTTGTGTAGTGTAGTGTACAGTAATTACGAGTCGACTACCGCTGTGCTTTCCAAGAGCCTGAGTCAAGTTCTCGGATGGGATCACCGAGGATCCTGGGTACCGGCTCGGAGTGTGATACTCAATATCCTCGACGCTCTCCCCCCGAACTGAAGGTAAGGAAATGTTCACAAATCCAAGAGGATTCTATTCTGTTTGCCGTGGATGTACCTGACACATACCTAGTTACCTTTGTGAGAATCCCCGCATTTTCAGCTGCTGTTAACCCACCGGATACAGAGAACACTTCCCGCAGGGGCCGCGCTCCCGCGTTAGTTAATTCTCCAGCAGACCACACAACAGCATCGTCGCCAATGAACAGTGCAAGAATGGGGTTGCAGTTTCAACTGCTCCATATCCAAGACCCCCCTCCACTTCCTCCCTTCTCCCCAATAGCAAGGCCGGCCAAGACCATGGACAACCCGAAAGAAGGAATGAAACAGAACTTGTCTTAACCGAACCCATGGGAATGATTCGATCGAGGAGAGGGACCACAACAACTCGACGTCACACACCCTTGTGATGGTGTCAATTCGCGACCCAACAGCCCAATAGAGTAAGCGGCTGATTCTCGAAGCAGCAACCCCAAACGCAAACGCCAATCAGCATCATGTACACTAAGTACGGGACCTGTACAGGAGGTCCGGGATAATCATGACGTTCGACTTGTGCCATTGAGTGTTGACTGTTGAGATTGGACCAGAACCCCAGATTTTCCATCGTGCTCTACGTGCTCAACAAATGATTACGAGATCTAGTTGTTTGCCAGAGGTCCGGGACAAACTCTTCGGGTCGTACCGATGAAAATCGGGTTGGGGTAATTGTTGGTGACTCTATCCCAAGTTACTACGATCGCCTTTCCCCGAATAATATTCTTTCCTTTTCTTTATCATACGCATACTAACGACGGAGTATAAACCCATTATCAGAAAGAAGCAGACGCGTACTTCGAGACTCCGCTGGCATTGTGAATGAGGGGGAATCGGACATGTCTGGTTCCCGCATCCGATGCCTGTTGGTTGAGGAACCCTTTTCCAAGACAAAATATGCTCAGTGTGGTGGAGTTCCTCGCATATTCAGCTGATGCACGAAGTGTGCTTCCTGTCCCTCGCCACCGCGATTTGGAAGTGTCGTGCTGGCTGTGAGCGATCATTGGAGGTTGTGATTCTCAATTTGGACAGAAGCAAATGTAATGCAGATGGCCGACTGCTTGTATGACGTTTGACTTAATATTCTCCTTCCCGCGGCTGCCGCGGGAATTAAAATCAACAAAGCAGATTTCTTCCCCAGCTGAGGTCCGAGGCTCGGTCTATATTAACCGCCCTTTTCCTCTCTCTCTTCCATTCTCTCGCTTCTCCTTTCTCAGTATTCACAACCACTCTTCTTCCTCTTCCCTTGAACTGGAGACCCGAAACCCTAGCCCTCTTCAAACTGAACCTATCTCCTCCGCCACAAACCTGCCATACCAAAAGGAAATAGTCGACTTATCGCTCTTCTCCAGCCCCAACGATTTCCTAGACCAAAGGCAGAGCACCTACCTCGTCCTGGTAGTCGTCGACAACAGGGACTTCAGTTCGACCTCGAGCAGAACATCGCCGCCGAGCTCCCTGACGATGACAACAACAAGTATGAGGTCGCCCATGCGGAACGCGACACCCTTAAGAACATCGCCCTGTCGCAGCCGCTGGTTTTGAACGCTATTCCTGTTCCCCCTGACTGGGTCATCCTCGTGAAAGACCGCGAGGTGCTTGAACAAGTTCCTTGGGACAGCCCGATCGGCCAAGATGGGGGTAATCTAGGGCCGGTTCAGCAGGTGGCCCAACGGCTGAAAGTGAATACGGCATACCCTAGTATTCTTTTCTATCGATTCCTTTTTCAGTCATTTTTAGGATTTTTTATCTAACTACTCCCTTTCCCATTTCACAGGGCACAGACCCTCACAACCTCAGCTTGGGTTAGGCAGGAGGGGTTGAGAAAATGATGAGTTAACGGTTAGCACTACCATTTGTAGGCCGAGTTGGCCAATTAGTCTAAATGGGCGTGCGAGCGTGACGGGGAATGTGGTGGAAGGGGAGCCAATGCTTGGAACGCCCCACCCTGTCCCTCGCTCCATCTGGAAACGGACGTCCGGTCCCCGCTATACCATTTGTGTGGGAGAAGTACAGAGGTGGGCCAGTCTTGCTTGGAAATGCCGTGGACATGTACATATACACCCTTCAGGACTAGGTAGAGAACCGTGATGATTCCAACCTGCTCGAAGAGTCAAAGTACGGTATACACGCTGTCCATTACTAATACAGTAACTCCTGCTATGCTTCCGCTGTTGCAAAAACTACCCGCTGGGTATACCCCCCCTCCCCCATGAGACCACATCTTCAGTGCTTAAACCCCCAAAGTCCCTCCAAATTTAGACGGTATACCCCGCGCTGTTCACCTGCCTAGTTTCACCAACAGCCTCAAACCGGCCATCCCAATGCCGCATCAAGCCCTGCGCCGAACTCTGCCCCGGCGCAATCCACGCGACCTCATGGCCCTTCGCCTGCAAACTCGCCACGACACCGGCGTCATACCCGTTCTCCACGGACAGCGTATCGGGCAGGAGCTGGTGGTGCAGGCGGGGGTGGGCGATGGCGTCGTGCAGCGAGGTACCGTAGGCCAGGATGTTCCAGGCGACTTGGGTTGTGGCCGTGATGATGCGGGAGCCACCGGCGGCGCCAGTAGCAAAGTAGAGGGTACCGTTGCAGGCGTGCTCGACGATGAGCGGGGAGATGGAGGAGAGCGGGCGTTTGCCGGCGGCGATGAAGTTGGCTGGGGAAGGGGCGTAGCCGAAGGAGTTGTTTTTCCCGGGCTGGGAGAAGTCGTCCATTTCGTTGTTTCTGAGGTTGGGCACTTGTTAAAATCACAAGAATCGAAACCGGGGTCATGTGAAATAAGATCATCTGAAATGATGGGCGGACTCACAGGATAATGCCCGTCTCCGGGGTGATGATTTGCGCGCCAAAGAGCAGGTTAATGGTCGTGGTCGAGGACACGGTCAGGCCCGACGCATCAGACGTGACAATGTGCGAGGTGCCGTGGCTCTCGGGCATGTATAGCGACAGCGGGTTGTACGCCTCAACCTCCTGGGTCCGGTCGTCCAAGATGCGCGAGCGGATGTCGCGCGCTGTCGAATCCTGCAGCAGGTAGGTCTCTAGGTCCGTGGTGTTAGTCGTGTACACCGGATCGCCGAACTGCAGGCGTGCTCCATAGGCAAACTTGGTAGCTTCGACGAAGCGTTGGGTGGTCAGGTTGACATCGGGGAGGTCCTTGCGGCCGTACTGCCAGAGAGTCTTGAGGATGCTGGTCGTGATGGCACCGCTGCTGGGCGCATCTGTCGAGAAGAGCCGGAACTTGTCGTACGTGACGTTCAGGGCGCGTTGGACGTCGACGTTGTAGCCCGCGAGGTCCTCCAGGGTCATCGTGCCGTTGGTTGATTGGATGAGGTCGATCATGGATTTGGCTGACAGGATTGATCAGTACAAACCATAACCGATGCATGGCGAGAACCAACTTACCCAGCTCTCCCTTGTAAAAGACATCAATACCCTGGTGAGCGATCTTCTCAAGAGTGCTGGAGAAAGTGTTAGTGGGAGGAGGCCAGTTTCGGCTCGGGGTCAACATTCAAACGTACTTGGCATAGCGCTTCCTGGTGATGATCTCTCCGAGTTCCAAAAGCTTGCCTATTGTTTGTTAGTCTCCATTTCACCACGTCTCTTATGAATATGTGCTTACCATTGGGAGCAAAGTCCTGAGCCCAAAGCGGGTCATCAGTCAGGAACGTGTTGCCGTTGGCCGTGGCGCTGGCCATGTAGCGGACCAGGTCCTCCGTCACTACAAAGTGTCAGGTCAATCCAAAGTTCAAAACCTGACAATGGCCTAGTACTCACCATTAAAACCGTCCCTGGCAACATGCACAGCGGGTAGGACAACGTCCTTCCACGGCAACCGCTGTGACCAACCCAGCTTTGTCAGCCTCAACCAATCCTCCCAAATGCTGACCCTCACCGGATAATAATCAACTCACCCCATATTTCCTATGCAAATGATCCAACCCCTTCAGCTCGCCCGGCACACCAACCGCCAGACCGCCAAAGACGCTCCCGTTCTCATTGCCGGCGTACATATCCTGGAACGCGGCAGCGGGCGCCGTCTCACGGTAGTTGATAGTCTCATAGTGGCCACGGCGGTCGCGCACTAGCATGAAGCCACCGCCACCGATGCCGGAGTGGTACATGCCGATGACGCCCACGCAGAGCGTCGTGCCGACCATGGCATCCGCCGCGGAGCCCTGGATGTCCAGTTTTAGCTATCAGTTTGGTGATGATGATGATGACAAATTCACTTTCGTGTGAACGTGGTGCGGGGGACGCTGCTTACACCCTTGGCGATAAGGTCAATACCAATCTTGGAGCATATCGAGCTCTCGCTGGCGACGGCGCCGTGGCCGCCTTTGGGGATGGGGTGGTGTTTCTTATGGTCAACGTGTTGTTGGTCCACGGGGGACGCCAGGCCCGGCGTGAGCTGGGCCAGGACGGCCAGCCAGTAGGGCAGGAGTGAAGAGTGGCCTGTGGGAATTGTTAGTATTAGTTGAATATTTCTTAGTACCTATTTTGGACGTGACTGTTGGTGTTTTGGCCACTCACGCATGATGCCGGTGACGTGATTTCACGGGACACGAATTCAAGAGAATAAGAGAAGTGAGAAGGACGAAAACGGTTGAAGGTGAATTCACCGCTGCTTGATTAGAGATCAATCACAACTTTGAGTCTCAGAACTCTTCTTGGCAGCAGATCTCAACCAGGTAGAGAAATCCAACTCCGGCCCAACGAGAGACACCAAAAAATCTCCAGTAAATCAACTTTGAAGGAAACAGAGTAAATAAAATATGATCGCGTGGGAGGGAAGGGGGGGCTGACGTGACCGACGCCCGATGTGCGGAGAGACCGGGGAGGTGATAAGTGCCAAAGTGGTTAGTCCACGGTTGTTGTCGGCGCGGGGAATGGCCACACATAACCCTAACCCACACGCCATGTGGACGACTGCACTATCCTAAATAGGAAGGCAAATTTTGCTGCCTTGGAAATTCATTCCAGTCAACCCGCCGAGCGTGGCCCGTGCACCGAGTTTGTTTGGAGCAGACCTTCCCGATATCATCGCCGTGGGAAGGCGCGATTGGCCGCATTCGGCCTGTTGGACGAAATGCTAGTCGTTTGCTAGTTGAAGGATTAGTTGCGTCATTCGAGTTAAATGAGCTTCATTTTTTCACCCTAATTCTCAATTCGGGGTATCACGTTGCTCAACCGACGACACTTTAAAACATGCATCCCGTTAAACCACAGGATGTTTCGGAGGTGGTGGTGCTATTCTTGATCACGGGAGATCAACAATGGGCGTTCTGGTTTACTGATCAGCCAAGCACGGACGCTGATCTCCAACACGGCGGGGAGAAAATTTTGGGATGACAAACGCATTGTGTACGGTACGGACGGCCCGGAGCTGCCCAAGATCAGTCATCATTACCGTCAGGCGGCGGAGCCGGCCTCGAAAATGCCGAGACGGCATCCGGATTCACCGGGCCCAGTGTGCACCCCGATTTTCGATCCGGATTTTCCGGCTCCCTCGTGCAGCTCCGCTTCTTGTCGGCCTTGGTTCCCACGTGCAACACGGAAAAACAGCTCCTCCTTCGCCGTGCACGCACAGGCCAGGCCGGGCTGATCAGCAGATGTCCGGACCATCGGGGCAGGAAAAGGTCCCGTTGATCCCTCGGGACGCCGGAGTCTAGAACTTTTATAACTATGCGTCAAAATCCCAAAGCCTCTCTGACCCCAGCAGACAATCGTCCCTGAACCCTGGTAGACGCTCGCCGAAATTCCAGCCTCTCGCCGTTTCGCATTGACGACAAGCGTCTTTTATGGGCCCCTTTCCTTCCTCGCGTGGGTGTTCATCGAATGTTTGGGCCAATCACAGGCGGTCCCAATGCGCAGGGTGGGGGGAAGTTCCCGATGGTGGTGCAGTGGCTGAAACTCGCCCCCTTTCCACAACATCACCCTTTGTAATTTTTGACCCCTCATCAGCGCCGACGACGACGCTGTTTGCATCAAGGGCGTTGGAAGAGGAGATCTAAACAGCGGGGTATTTGCGTCAATTTTTTCGCTTTGCGATGGAATTGCTAACTCCAAGTTCAAGAACTTGTTTGTTGCCTTCTCGAAGCGGGACCCCGCTGAGCATCCACAAATCGAGGCTGACTCGAAAAGAATGCATAGTCTTATATCCATCTAATCTACTACGTAACGCAGGACAACGCCTCCGCGCGTACTCCTTCAATGCTAGTATGGGCGCTCTAGTAGCCCGGGTAGCTCGCTCTTTCTGCTCTGCGCCCCCAAAATCGAAACGACACGGCGCTTGGGTCGACGGCATAAGACTCAACAGGGTTTCGGCTTGACAGCAGAGCCCCGACCGGGATGTCTATTTGTTTCTTAGGACGTCAGGAGAACCGGGTTTGCGACATAGCTCCAGCTTTCGTCAGGCTTGCGCCGTTTGGAACACTCGTGGATCGCAACGCATCGAAACAAAGGATTGCGAAGTTTCGAACCCATAGGTTCGTCTCATCGTCTCACCGTCTCACGGCCCTACTAGTATCGGTGCTGTAGACACTCTCCCCTTCGACCTCGAGCGAGGTCTCGATGCATTGCAAGTTCGTCTTCTTCTTCTCGTCCCAACATCAACAAGACAGAGAAATCCGCATTGCCCTGGCGGACCCCTCAACGGCCCCTTTACCAGATCGAGCAGCCGCCCAAACCCCCGATTGGCTGGCCGTTCGTCTCAGATTCTCGGTTCCCGCACCCTTACCCCTGGCAGGTCTAGGCGGTTCCCCCTGCTTAGACACGAAACCACACTTTCTTCCAGCTGAGCTCGGCGAAAACGCACCTCGATTTAGTCCTAGCTGTGGGACTTTTCTGCTGTTTCCACCGAGATGCTCTTTGATGAAGGGACGTGGGCTGTGACATGCGTCGAATCCCCACCAGTGATGCCATGTCATCCGAGGGGCTCGCAGCAACACCGAACGGGGCCGTGAAGGCGGCTATGCCCTTGACCCCCGTCTCCTGACTTTTCTTTTCACCCCCGCTCTCTTTCTCGATCCACGTCATGTTGTGGATGTGCTATGGGTCACCCCCATGCCATCGAATGCTCTGGACGCCGTGAGCTCAACATGCGGCGCTCATAAAGCTCGGCTAGTGACGCCCGAGTTCGACCTCTGTCTCGTCTCTTCCCCCTTTCTCCTTCTCTCCTCACGGGTTCTTCACTTCACCTTGGCATCAGTGCTGCCTTACATTCTTTTTCTTCTCTCCAGTCAAGCATCATTCCTTTTGCTTGTCTGACTGTTCAGCTTTCGCTTCATCCCACTTGTATCTACATTCTCTTTCCATCTCAAGCAACTGTGTTTGCTTGTCCTCAGCGGAGTTGACTCTCGCTCTTTTCAACGACTCTTCCACAACCACCCACTCTTTCAGCCTGGCGCACTTTTGAAACTACAAACACGCCCAACAACATCAACCCTCCCACACTAGACATTATACTACCACGCTACAAAGCAAACCTCCCAAAGACTCACTCACCATGAAGACCGCCTATCTCACGCTCGGCCTCTTCGCCGCTCTCACCTCTGCCTACTCCAAGAGGCACCCCCGTTACCTCCGTATGCGTGCCAGCAATGGGACCGCAGGCATCATCGAGCCCCCGGCGGACGACCCGGCTGCTATCTCCGGCTCGACCACGGACACGGCCACCCTCGCGCAGCCCACCAGCGAGTCCTCCTCGAAGGGAGGCGCCGGTCTTGTCACCAGCTTCCTGCCCCCCTTCCCGACCAACGGCACGGGCTCCGTCAGCGGCATCACCACCCTGACCGTGTCCACCACCTCAGTCCGCACCATCACCTCCTGCCTGCCCGAGGTCATTGACTGCCCCACGCGGACCGAGGACTTCTCCAATTTCCCCACGGAGGCCCTGAGCACAGTCATCGTCACCGACACCGTCGTCCTGACCACCGTCACTTGCCCGGTGACGGCCGTGCCCTCTGTCTCCTCCAGCGTCCTCGACGACGCCTCCAAGGGCATCATCACGGGCAGCACGCTCTCTCCCTCTGCATCTGCCGGACCCAGCGCGACTATCACGGCCACTGCCACAGGCGCTGCGGGCGCCTCCTCCACCGCGGCCAACGACCCGGTGGCCACTGCTTCTGATAGCAACGGAAGTACAACCCTCACGGTCTCGACCACCTCCGTCCGCACCATCACCTCCTGCGCCGCAACAGTGACCAACTGCCCGACCAAGTCCGAAGACCTCGCCACCATGCCCAGCGACGCTCTCAACACCGTCGTCGTGACCGACACCGTGGTGCTGACAACCGTCGTGTGCCCCGTCACAGCCGTCCCGTCGGTGTCCTCCAGCGTGCTAGGCGATGCGTCCAACGGGATCATCACCGGCACAACCATCACCGCGGGCGCAACTGCGGGCACCGGTGAGCAGGATACCACCACCACCGAGACGACCACATCCACCGGCACCCGCACCGTGACCGTCCACCGCCCAGCAACCACCACCGCTGGCGTCCAGCCCGGCAGCGGTAACAACGGTAACGGCAACGGCAACGGAAACGGCAACGGAAACGGAAACGGAAACGGCAACGGCCAGGGTAACGACAGCGCCAACTGCAACGCCGTAGCCACCACCACAGCCACAGTAACCGTCACCGAAACCGCCACCGCCGCCGCACCCCCCGCCTCCACCGTCTTCGTCACAATCGACAACTGCGCCGCCAGCAGCGCCGTCTCCTCCCTCTCCACGAAGACTGCTTCCGCTGCTGGATCGGCTGCCCCAACCCTGATCGATACCAGTGGGAACCTCGCTGGTGAGGGCGGCGACAATGCTGACGCGGAGTCTACGACTACCACCTCCGCTGGGGGCTCTTCGTTCCCACCGGCTGAGACTACTACGGCCTCTGCCGCAGCGTCGGCTTCGCCGACTGGGGATGAGGATAGTTGTGAGGAGGATGAGGTTGTTACTGTGACTGCTACGTCGACTGGTACTGCTGCTGAGAGTACGGGTACTGCTACCGCGACTGAGGCTAGTACCACGGCTACTGAGGCTGAGACGTCTGCTACGGAGGTGGCGCCGAGTTTTGCGCCTTCGGGGTTGTACTAGAGAGCTGAGACAGCTCATCTCCCCATCTAGGTCAAGAGACGGGGGACAGGATGATGGGATGAGGTGGATGGATGAATAGATGAAGCTTCGGTCTCCTTCTACCAGTGCCAATGCACATGATACTGCATTGTCAGAAGAGTGTTTTCATTTCTTGTATTGTACACTTTCGGATCCTGAACACATACTGTATGTACCGTAGGGAAATTCTCGGCGTATTCTGCTTTTTCTGTGAAAGATTGGTCAATCAGTTCATTGTAAAATACACGGTACGAGACACAGAATGGAACAATGCTTGCTTCGCTGTCCTTGGCTGTCCATTATATTGGTGTGTACTTGAATATCAGTCCCGTCTAACACTAAGTACTTACGAAGTAGTTAGGTATGTAATTAGTGAGTGCTCTAGTGTCGTCCGCAACTCGAAAGAAATGAACATAACTTGTGTAGGAGGGTATTAGTTGCCGCTGCGGTTGTCAATTCCCCTCTGCGATTACTTTGAGACACTGTCACAAACACACCCCGAATGAAGCACCATATAAAAGAATAATTCATCTATTCAACCTTTATCCACCCCCGCTCATCCTTCTGTATTCCTTCTCCCTGGGTCCATGTATCCACAGAGAACCCCTCACCCGATCAGGTCAAGTAATCCATACAACACCCACTTCTTACGAGGTTGTTATTCATACACATAACCCTATCCTCCCTCCCTTCATTTCTTCTTCCTTTCTCCCTCCCTGCGGTATTGTACCTCATAGTCCCGCTAGAATAGGTAACCAAAACACAAAACACATATTACCACCTCCGACTCAACCAAGCCCTAGCGTTACAACAGCATCCATTTCACGCGTCGTGGAGTACCACCCCCCCCCCCCCCCCCCTTTCAATGCCCAGACTGAGGGACCAGTGGCGCGCCCCCGTCCTCAGAATCCTCAGGAACCGGGCTCGCCAGGGTGTCCGTCACAGCTTGAGAGGATAGGATGAACCCCCCAAGTTGGAATCCTCCTGCACAAAGAGTAGACCCAGAAATACCAGTCCCACTCCCACCACCACCACCAGCACCACCACCACCACTACTACTACTACCACCCTCCCCTCTTCTCTCCTCACTCCCGCTACTGCTCTCCTCCGTCGTCTCCCACTCTTCCTCTTCCGCTGCTTCCTGCTCCTCCCGTTCCCTCTGCACCCTCAACAACAAGTCCGCCAGCGCCTCAGCCTACTCAGCGCCGGTCAACTCTCGAATCCGCCTCTCAATTTCCGGCACCCCCCTCAACTGCAACTCCAACTCCTCCTTCTCATCCTCCAGCTTCATCCTCCTATCCGCATCCAGCTTACTGAACACATAATGCCCCTGTCCATCAAACTGCAGGATATGCGTATGGTACTTCCACAGACTCCGGCGGTGACTGACCGTCATCAGGGTAATACCCAAGTCCTTCGCGGTATCGTACATGACCTTCTCTGTGTCCAGCGTCACGCTGCTGGTGCACTCGTCGAGGATGGCGTAGCGCGGGCGGTGGTAGAAGAGTCGCGCCATGGCGATGCGCTGCTGTAGGCCGCCGGAGAGGACGTCTTTCCATTCGGCTTCGGCGTTCCAGGCGTCGGGGTAGACGTCGAGGAGGTGTTCGAGGGAGAGGATGCGGAGGATGTCGCGCAGGTCGTCGTCGGTGACGTGTTTGGCCTGCATGGTGCTGGGGCTGTCGGGGTAGATGATTTGCTGGCGGAGGGTGCCGCTGGAGAGGTAGGGGCGTTGTGGGATGTAGAATATTTCGTGGAAGGGTGGTTTGTGTACGGTGCCGCCGTAGACGGGCCAGAGACCGCCGAGGATGCGGAAGAGGGAGGATTTGCCGCAGCCGTTGGGGCCGACGACGAGGAGGTGGTCGCCTTGGGAGAGCGAGAAGGAGAGGGCGGGGACGAGCACGTCACCGTTGGGAGAGATGATGGGTACGTCGGTGAACTTGATGTCCTTGCTGGTGAACACCTCACCGCGGCCCTTGAGCACGGCCGCGTTGGCTTCGGTGTCGGAGCTCGAGACGAGCTTTTTGGAGAACTTGCCGGCTTGTATGTCGTCCATGACCTGGAGGAGGGACGAGACACGGGATGTGTACCCGGCGAGCTCCATGACCTCCTTGTACGAGAACATGAGGCGACCAAAGGCGTCCGAAGCGCCAAGCAGCATCCGCCGGTTGGTGACGAAGCTTTCTGTCCGGTCGCCCATGCTGGAGATAACCTGGCCGGGGAGCTTGACGAAGACGGGCATACTGCACAGGACCAAGCCGAGCGCGCCCCAGATGTACTTGACGACATAGTCCTCCATGAAACCGTGGTAAAAGCGCCTCTGCAAAATAAAGTTGATGTGCTTGATCAGAGTGAAGTAGCCCTTGTCCAACGTGTCCTTCTCCGCTTCGTGGCCCGCATAGAGAGCGATCTCCTCGCTGTGGTCGATCAATCTTGTGTGCTGGAAGCGGAACTCGCCCTCCAGCTTCGCTTCGTCCGCGACATACTTGCCGAATGGTGGTGTAAGCGCCCGCATGAGGTTGGCAGAGAGCTGCACCAGGAGCGCCATGAACACGACGCCCTCACCACCGACGGCACGGGAAAGTGAAATTGTGTAAATGGTCTGTCTGCGTTAGTGAGATGTTCATAGTCAAAGAGAAGTCCCTCGAAAGAAGGTTGAAACTCACCATATCAAGCACCGGCTTGGCTAGGTTGCTGTAGAGCTCCGCAAGATGGTTTGAGAACTTGGTGACATCAACGGCGATTAATTGGTCCGCATTCTTGATCCTGTCGTCGAGGGCCGAGATGCCGTAAAAGGTCAACTTGGACAGGTACTTCTCGTGGATGTACTCAGTCAGGCGGATCCGATACCGCAGAGATAACTCCGACTGGTGATACGCCAACATCGAGTTGGTGAACGTCGCAGGCACCGCAATAATCATCCACCACATGATGCGCTTCAAAAACTCGCGCCCATTGCCCTTGATCAGCGCTTTCACAATCGCACCGTCCATGGCCGCCACTTTCAGGCTGATCAGCGTCCGCATCACCAGGAAGAAGCTGTGGCTGACTAGAAATTGCGTCTCCCGCGTCTTCCACCCGGGCACCACAATCCGCAGCAGGTGTCCCAACGAGCGGAAGAACTCCCGGTTCAGCGCCACCTTTTTTTGTTTCCCCTCGGCTTCGCCATCGTCGGATATCGCGGTCGTCTTGGCCTTGGCAGCGCGCTTCTCGGCCTCGCGGGCCTGCGCCCCCTTGTGGTCGGCGATGGTATTGCGGATGCGGTGGACGAGGGCCAGGAACAGGGTGACGTAGACGGCGTAGGAAATTCGCTTGCGGTTGCGCATGTACACGAGTGTCAGACGGAGAAGGACTTGGCGGAAAGCGCGGCCACGTGCGGCGATGCTGCCGAGGGCGATGGGTTTTGATGGTGATGGCGCCATGGTGATGAGTGACCCCAGGGGGGGGGGGTGAAGGAGGACGGGTCGGGGCGAGTTGGGAAAAGTGATCACGGCCGCGCGGCGGCGTTCATCGGATCAGAATGTCGAGACACCGGATGCAAGCAAATTTCGGGGAACAATGCGGGACAAATGACTTCGGGGCGTTTAATCGGGACTCGAGATGGTCGATTGGTGCGATGGAATTGGCGAACACAGCGGTAAGTCGACAATTCGCAGCAATTCAGATAATTGATACAAAGGTTGTTGTCGGATCGGAACCCAGCGCTCCCGAAATCAGGCAATGTTGTCACGGCCACGGCGGGTTTCGGTGGTTGACGGAGCAAGGGGTCGTGTGGTGGTTCCTGCTGGTTGGCGTCTCTTCCCTCGGTCCTTGCGTCACCTGCTGGAAAATCCGGGGTGCTGGGCCATGGAAGCGCAACGGCGACATGTGATTGTCTCTCCCCTGTTCTTGCGTGCCCCACTGCCCTCGGATTGTTGCATAACACGGTTGCCCCACGAAATATTCCGAACGATGCATCTAAACATCATTGCAATTTGCGCCAGCTGATTGGTGAGATTTCAGCCGTCATTTAGACGCCAGACTACACCGTACATACCTAGGTCCAGTTAGCATTCACTATAGGAGTCCTAACCCTCGACACGACTCACACAACAGACCATACCACAACACTCAACACCACTCCCAGCCATGAAACCAACCCTCCTCTCACTCACCACCTTCATCTCTCTCCTCACCCCAGCCCTCGCCAACACGGAAAAAACCATCTTCCTCGGCCCCGAGCGCGTGCGCGTCCCGCTCACACGCCCAACCCTCACCGACCTGCGGCTGCACACCCTAACCCCGGCCAACTCGACGCTCCGCACCCAACTCCCGGCTCAGTTCCCATCAGATGAGAAACCGAGAGGCACCGAGACATGGCTGATTCTGGATGATTTGACCCCGGGGCAGCGGTACGAGGTGCGCGTTTGCTGGGCCGCGACGGTGAGTTTATGTCCATGCAAAATCCAACGGAGGAAACATAAAACTTTCTTTTTCTTTTTTTTTTTTTACAAAATAAATCAAATTAAATCTCCTTAACGTCAACACCCAACCAACTAACACCACCCAGCAGCCAACCGAATTCACACTCACCACCTACCCCCTTCCCACCGTCCTCGACACCCCTTCCCTCATCACCTCACTCCACAACTACTCCCTCTCCCTTCAACCCCCCAACACCCCCCCATCACCATCCCCCCTCCCCCAAACGGAATCCACGGAATCAACCCCCTCCCTCCTCCTCCTCCACATCCTCACCACCGCCGATTTCTTCACCACCGACCGCCATCTCATGAGCAAACCGCCCCCCGTATCGGTAGATATCATCCTGGACCCGTTTGTTTTCAACCTCCTCCCGCGTTCGCTGGTCGGCACGGTCGGGTATGTTGTGATGACGGCGGTGGTTGCGGTGCTTGTGGCGGGGAAGGTGGTGGTGCCGTTTTTGAGGGGGGTTGTTCATGCTGGGGTGGTAGAGCAGGAGGGGGTGGGGAAGAAGAGGGAGTAATTGGTTGGGCGGAGGTAATTGGGGGGTAATTGATTATTAATGGTATGGGTGTATTTAGGACGGGCGAGAGTGTATATTTCGATGGTGTGGTGTGTTTATTTGCATGTGTTCTATTTCGAAGCCTGATGGAATGAATGCGCTACAGAGGGAGACTAGAAATGACGGGAGAAAAAAAAAACATAGGAAAATCGTTTAGACTCCACCACAGCCAATCTATCCGCCCCAGCCTAGACTTCCCCAACCTATGTCCAGACTTGGCTCAACGTATCAAAACCGTCATACCCATCTTTGATCATCCCCTCCATCTATCCCTTTGCCTAATCCGCCGGGTCTCATCTAACCGGCTCGGTCCATGCTTCGGGGAGCTTCTCGTCCTGTTTCGTTCAGAACGACCGGATATCGGCGAGAGGCACTGCGAAGTAGTTTTTCTCCCGTGCCAAAACGTTTGCTCCGCTCATGCTGCACTCTTGTTGGAACCCAGCACCCAATCACCCCGTTTCCCCAAGTTCCTCTTGATAAGACCCGCGACCTCGACCAGCACCACGTCGACCAGGCCGTCCACGTCCCCGCCCACGCCCACGCTCGGAATCATTCGCACGCCCGCGACCTTGTCCGCGCCCGCGCATAGAATCATCTCCGCGACCCCGACCTCGCACACCGCCGCGACCTCGTGTATTCACCCAACCACTCACTGCCACGGTCCGGTCACCACCAACCCCCTAGTAATGATGACCACCACCATACCCATGATTCTGCCCACCCCCGACGCCCGACGCATACTGCGGCTGCGGCGGGTACGCCGAGTGTCCGCCCGGCGTAGCATACTGCGGCTGGGCATACTGCGGTTGCGCATACTGCGGCTGTCCGTGTGGTGGACCGCCATGTTGACCACCGTGCTGGGCATAAGGCGCCGGGGCGGCCGGCGAGGAGTTGTAGGATCCCTGGTGGGTGTACGAGTGGGCTGCGCCCTGTGGGGAGCCGTAGCCCTGGGCGTGGGACGGTTGGGGTGGGTGTTGTTGCTGCTGCTGCTGGTGGTGGCTGGCTGGGGAGCCGTAGGAGGGTGTTGAGTACTGGTTGGTGTTGTGGGAGGGCTGGTGCTGCTGGGTTTGATGCTGCGAGGCGTTGCTGCTGCCGTAGAAGGACGGGGTGGTGCCGGGTTGCGAGGGGGCTTGGTAGGAGGCTGGTGGGGTTGGGCCGCTGTATCCGCCAGATTGGCCGGTGTTGGAGTAGCCGAAGTTTTGGTTCTGTGGCGATTCTCGGGTTAGTGGAGGCTTTCTCTTGTGGGTTTTTCGTGCGGGCTCAAACTCACCGAACCGTGGGGTTTGCCGCCAAACATATTGGCGACTCCTCCGACGATACCTCCCAAGCCACTGGCGCTGGAATTATGGCCAGACGACTGGTTGCCGTGGTAATTTTGGGGCTGCGACGGCTTGTTCCCAGACGAGAACAGGTTGGAAGCCAGCTGCGAGGCCAATTTCCCGCCGATACCGCCGCTTCCACCACCACCGCCGTGTTGTCCACCCCCATGGCCAGAAGACAAAAGTCCGCTCACCAGCTGCCCAGCGAGCCCGCCACCGCCGTGTGATCCACCTTGTTTACCGCCGAGCGAGCTGAGGGTGTTACCGAGGAAAGACTGCGACAGACAAAACGTTAGTATCCGTACATTTGCAAATGATTATCGCAGACAGCCCCCGAGCAAACCGGAAAAGAAAAGGAACCACATACCCCAAGACCCCTCTCACCATCCCCCTCACCCATCCCCCTAGTCCCCTCCGACGACCCATCCTCACGAGGAAGCACAGGCTCGAGCCGACCGTCCGGATACCTCGCCGTCTGACTCCCATCCGGATGAACAATGATCTCCGCACCACCAGGCCCGCGTTGGCTGCCGGGCGTGCCATAGGGGTGCTCGTGGTTCGCAGCGGGTGTGCCGCCGACGGGCGCGGCTTCGGTGGGCGTCTCCCATTGCGATGCGCCGGTGGACAGTTGGACGAAGTAATATTTCTTGGATGAGGCGTCCCACTGCGCGATCCATCCTGGGGGAAGAGGGGGTGGGCCGAAAGTCGGCCCGTCGCTGCCGGGAGAGGAGGGGCCTGCCATGGGTGCTGGATGGTAGGTCTAGTGTTTTATCGGTTTTGTCCAGTTGGTGGTGGTTGTGGTGTTGTGGTGACCGACCGACTGCGATGCGCTTAGGTTCCGTGAGAAAATCCCGTTCGGTTGGCGAATTTCGGGTTTGTGATCGAGGGCTAAAAAGGTCGAAACAGCGAAAAAAAGGCGACGAAAAAAGTATCCCGCAGCCGTCAGAAGCGCCGTTTGTCCTTAAATGCGTGCACGTCGCCTTTGTGCCCGCCACCAAGTCGAAGAAGGGGGTGCTGGCGCGTGGTAAGGGCGGGATGAGAGGTCAAGTCGGGTGGAGGAAAACTGGCTGGCAGTGGGAAGCTGAATCCGCGTGGCGCGGGGCCGGGTGGATGCGATCTTGGAGGAGGCGGGGCAGTCCCAGCAACGGGTCGCCGGGGGTCTCCTTCCAGGGGTCAGGGTTACGCAGCCGGGAGATCTCACACCTGCACTCGAGTTTATCGCGATGGCGAACTTGGCAGCATTCCCACTGGAATTGAATTCAACTTTCAGCGAGAACTCCCGTGTTGATTTTTGTTTTCGGTTGATCTCTGCTATTCTACTTATTACGTTGTCCGATTTTATCTGATCCGTTTCCGTGCTGAACAGTTCTCTCCAATCCAGCGTTGTCAAGTCTTCCTATGAGACGGAGGCAGCCCATGCCCCCCTGTCCAGGTCGGCAAGCCGGCTCACTCAGCGGTCCCGTTCCAGGTTCTTGCTGCGCGCCGGCGCTTGGAGAGCCCGCTGATGGAATCTCACAACTCTTTCCAAGTTGCTTTCACCACCACACACCGGACACCGCAGTGCAATCCAACGACAGTCAAACGAAGATGGCCGTCATCTACAAGCCGCAGCATCCAGCCCAGCATCCGAAAATGGCTGTATTATTCCTTTATCTATGTTTATTTTTCACCCAGCTCCTCGTTCAAATGGAACGACCACCACCCACCAACCTCGTTAACGGTACTCAGTTAACCCAAGCAACCTCCAGCGTCTTGCCGAAAACGGCAAGGCCCCGCGACGAGACCCGACGCGGGCAACCTCAAGACGCTGCGATTAGTTATTACAAGGTAACCAAGCAAATCGCAGCGCCCGCAGCGTCTCACATCCCCATGCGCCCCTCCGCCCATTCGCAGCGCTTCACCCACATGCCTAGAACTTCGATGAGTCTCCCCTCGCTGAAGCGGAATCCCTTGCACAAATAACCATGTGTACGTATGGACAGTGCAACTGGCCCGGGTTGATTCCTGCTGTCTCATGTTGGAACAGTTAGCCCATCATCCGCTACAGGCAGCTCAGGAGGCCCGACAGGTGGCCCGCATCGGCGCTCCGCGGATAAAACCTGATCAGGAGTACTCAGTCGGGTGGTAAACACAAGTGATTCCACGGCCCTTTCAGCCACAAAGCGTTGGCGCGTCCGGCAGGTCATTGGTTGCATTTCCAATCGAGCTTTAGGAGCTGTGGGCGGACAACCTAACTCGGTATTTGCTCACGCGAGTTTTGTGTTACTCCCAATACCTTTGTACTATGCGACAGGACTCGGGAACACAACCCATGCATTCATTTCTCATTAACCCCCTGTCAACGATCAGCTGCTATCAACCCAGTCCTCTTCTACGGTGTTGAAGCCGTGTCATAACGTAAGGTAAAATAAAAACCCAGGCCGCCTGAGCCGCGCATCCAGGGTTTGGGTGTGTAAATGCCAGTAAAATGAGATCATCTGCAACATGTACCGCTGGACCCCTCGATTGCGCCATCGCCCTTCTATCACAAATCGGGTCGTCCCATGTCTGCCGAGTGCAGACTGCAAGACCCCTAAAAGAGCGCAACTGCCGGAGTATGTATGGCACGCCTAACTTGAAGTTGGCCATCTCCTTCTCTCCCGTCGTCTTTGTTCCCCCGCTCATGCGTTTTGCGCCGTGGTCCAATTCCCGTTCTCAACCACCGTCTCCGTCAACGTCGTTCCCTCCACCTTCTCTCGGAGCTGTTCGGTGCTCTCAACTGCTGCGTCCTGTCCGCCCGTGAGACCCTTGCGGATCGCTAACACGCTGTCGACAATGACGGCGTCAATACCCTCCTTGACTTGGCGCTACAGCATAGGTTCTGGTTAGCTCCATTGGCCTCTGAACGGAACATGAAGAAAGGATGAAGAGAAAAGAAAGATAAAACATACCCGCACCAACTTCGGCTCATTGTTCAGCACCCCATAGCTCACACACACCAACCCATTCTGCTTCACCACCCTTACCAACCGCGGGCTATTGACAAACGGCTCCGCGTTGCTCACCAAGCCCAGCAAGTTCCACCGCGACGCAAACCGGATCGCCTCCTGCAGACTGCTCGCCCGAATGTCGCCCACAGGGTCAACGCCCGCGTCCGTGAGGAACAGGATCGGGATACTCGGCTGCTTGAAGCTCAGGCACAGGCAAATATCCGGGTTGAACGAGCTGAATATGATGTGCCGGGGCCCGGTCCCTTCTTCACCCTCACCACCACTACCACTCTCCCCCGGGCCCAAATGCTCATACACCTTCTCCAGGACGGTATCGCAGAACGAATTCAGCTCGACCGCGTAGGTATCCATCTCGTGCTCCTCGCTTTCGTGCAACATCGGGTACTTGAGCTCGATGTTGAACCCGACCGACGCCGGGAGCTTGTGGAACAGGTCCTCCAGCGTCGCGAAGGGCGCCTGGATGAAGTTGCCGCGCGAGTTCGCCTTGAACCCTTTCTCCTTGAAGTCGCGCGTGTGCTTCATCCGCTCTTCCATCTCGTGTTTCGACCGCTGATGCAGTTGAGGGTGATGATGACGGCCAGGCGCGCCACTACCCCCCGCTGCTGCCGGCCAGTCCATCGACATCGAACGCTGCCGTGGGCCCGGGCTGTTGCTTCGAACGTTGGTGATCTGCTTGTTTTCCAACTTCGGGCCGCCGGCATCCGCATCTCGGTCTCCAGGGCTTCCTTTAACAAGGCCGTTCCGGGGAGCCTGGCGCGAGGAGTCCGGGTTGATATGGAGGAATTGTTCCAACGTCAGCGTATGCACGGGCGCATCGAAGCCCGTCTCGCTGACCAAAAAGTCGTGGTAGATGACGGGGACGTGATCCTTGGTGAGCTGGACGTCGAACTCGACGTACTGAGCGCCCAAGTTGGCGGCCGCAATGAACGACGGCACCGTGTTCTCCCCAAGCTGCAGCGACCGGCCCGACACGACATTTTTGCCCAAACCGCGGTGGCCGATCACCATGGTGGATGTCATCTTCTTCCAGTACGTCTGCTGCTCCGTCACCTCCATGTTGGGGTGTGAGAAGGGCGTGATGACGAGGAAGTTGAAGTTGACCGTCCCGATGACGTCCAGGTTAGCCCCTACGATCGGCACGCACACGTCGCCCTGCAGGTTCATTCGCTTGGCCCCGATGCTCGGGCGGATGCTCGACAGCAGCGCCACGCCGCGTCCGACCTTGTTGTTCTGGTTGCCCGAATAGGTCGGAACGATGTCGAACAGCAGCTTCACTTTGGTGGCGTCCGTGGCTGTGAATACGATCGGCTCGGTCGAGATGTTCTCGTGGACGGGCATGTCAATAATCGTCGGCTCGCCGTGGGCGCCCTGCGCCGACACCACGATCGATAAAGCAGTGTCGAGCTGCGTGTTGTGGGCCTCGGCAAGCGGTACCTTATCCAGCGTCACCGCTTCGACCGTCTTCCGCATGTCCATAGACCCCAAGCTCACCAACACCATACTCTCGTCCCGGAGATATCGATGACCAAACGACTTGACAGGATCAGCAGCACGCGAGGCGCCGTTTGACCGCCTGTCTTCAAGAGATGAAACCTCACGAGCCGTTGGTTCAGGGGCAGGCTTTTCGTCGTCGGAGCTGCTCGGGCCCGTGTCATCGTCTTCTTTGGTATGGTGGGCAAGGAGCCGAGCAATAGGAAGATGACCTCTCAGCGCGGCGTGCTCCTTTGCCGTCCAGCCCGACGAGTCCATCTTGTCCACGTCCGCTCCAGCATCCACCAGCAACTGCGCAACGCCCAAATGACCATCCACCGCCGAGATGTGCAGTGGCGTCCACGCAAACGCCTTCTCGGCCAGCTCGAGGTTAGCCTTTTGCTCCGCCGTCCCTTTCAACAAAACCTTGGCACACTTGTCATGACCGAACCGTGCGGCAATGTGTAGCGCCGTCTCACCGTCCTTGTCCTGCCAGTTGATATCCACGCCCGCCTCCACCAGCATTTCCACGATGGGCTCGAAGTTAGCCTTGGTAGCAATGGCCAGAACTGCGCTAGATTTGGAAATCGACCGCCGCATCTCAGCCTTGTGGTCGCTGACCCCCTGCCAGTCCTCGCCTTGCAGCAGCGCCTTGGTCGTTAGGCGGTGACCACCAAGGACACTCAGATGCACCGGAGCATTGCCGTCCTTATCTTGCCACTCCGCAGCATCGATGCCGTTCTCCACGTTGAACTGACCCCAGTCCTGCATCTGCTTCATCAGGATCTGGCAGACCACCACGAACCCGAACTGGGCGGCATAGTGCAGTGGGATGCGGCCAAAGCCGTCTTTCGCCTTCAGGGCCTCCCTCTGGCCCGGGTTCAAACTATCCAGCAGATACATCAACATCTTCACAGCCTCATCGTCTTTTGTGAGCAGGCTCGATTCCTCCTTCAGCCCGCAGACTCGCGGAGCTAGCGGGGGCGATTCCGCTGGAGTTAAATAACTCTGGGCATATGGGACTGCGCCTGGAAAAGGGAAGGCGGCTTGGCTGGGGTCCTCGTCGTTCTTCGCCGATGCTGTCTTCGTGCGGCCGATATGAATGACAAGTCTATGGACGCAGTTCCGCTCGTTGATGTCATCGGGTTCGTCCAAGGAGGTGATGTTCTTAAGCAAGAACTTAGTCACGCCCCTCGATCTCGCCGAGATGGATCGCTGCAGCACGTTCAGCAGCACCCTCTGTGCAGCCGGCTCGGAAGTGAGCAAGTTCCCGGTGGCCAAACTTTCTTTCAGCCCTTCCACATTATCGCTCCGGATTGCCTGATCGAGCTTGTCTAGTAAATCCGGCGGGAGGCTAAGCATAGCCTTTGCTGTCGCACGGCCGAGAGACAACGTCGACCTTTCCGACCGAGCGTCGTCAACATTATGCGAGTCGCCGAGAGCCGAAATCCACTTGTTGATTTCGGCCAACAGTCTGGCGATTGTCGTGTCCTTGGCAAACGGGCAAGGGTCGACCTTGGTAGAGATGTAGCGGTGCTGTGTGGTGGTTTTTGTGGCGGTGTTGGGGATCTTCTTGTCCAGTTTCTTGGTGATCTTGATGAAGCCGCGGCGGTTGATCTCTCCAAACCACTGCAGCTTACGCAACTGGCTGCGCAGCTCGAGCAGGGCGCCCATCAACTCCTCGATCTCGTCATCGTCCAGGTTCGCGACCACATCGGGCGAGCTTCCATAGCGGTCCTGAAGCACCTTCAGCCTTCGACACGCGTCGGCAAACTTCTTGTTGTAAAAAGAATCGACATCTTCAAGGTTCCGATCCAGGTCGAAAAAGAACTCTACCACTGGCAGTTAGCAACTACCTGGCGTGGTGCTCGGTGAGTCCATTGTTTCCCGCCTTCCGCACTTACCGGCAAGGTCTACCGGCTCTCCATCCTTTGCCGACTTCACGCCGGACTTGATCAGTTTTTTCAGCCCCTTGTAGTTGATATACGAGCCCGCCCACTCTGGAACCTGGTTTCGAGGTAGGCTGTGGCACGAAGTCAGTCGCATGCGATATCAAGCAAGGTCGGAATAATAATCTCACTTCCGGCCGAATTTCATTTTAGCAACGAAATATCGGTGGTGTGTTTCCCTGGTTTGGGTAGTTGGAGATCCGGTGTGCCAACCGAAACCGAAGAAAACAGCCCCAATGATGATATGGGGGTTCCGAAATAACGGTGCCAGAAGAGCGGGATATGGAGATCAGGGTTAATTCAGAAAAACTGATGTTAACAATCCCTGTTAGAACGACCAAAAACCACTGAAGAAATTATTCTCGTTTTGAGGTTTGCGTCTCTTTCAGGTTCTTTGGAAGGAACCTGAAATTAAATGACAAGCAAATCAAGGCCCCCGATGTGACAAATTCCGATGTCGAGAATGCCAACACCGTTCCGACCGGTGACGCAAAACTGGGGGCCTCGCAGGGAGTTGTTGCAGCAAAGCAGGCAGAGCGGTGGGTTATCCTAGCCGATTCAGGATATCGTTGGAGACTCCCCGACAAGAATCCGGCGTTTCCTCGAAACCGAAACGGCAAGGGAATGCGGACACCTCTCTCCTGATGAAAGGAAGATGGGAGGTGGGAAACGGGAAGCCGGGGACCCGGAATTGATAAGAAAGAGCTCGCACGAAAGCAGCACCGGCACGAGAAAATCGCTTTCAAACAGTTGCCATCGTCACGCGGGATGGATATTATAAGCCCGGCCAGCAGGGTGCCATCATCATCCACGTGTGCTCAATGGGTAAATGAAGAAAATGGAAAAGTGAGAGACATTTCTTTGTCATGTCCAAGTACATCTTTTGTCATTCCATTCTCAAACAAGTGTCATGTCTCCAGGTACAGAGTGGACAAAAAATTAAGAACTAGGGCCGCTCAGACAAGGCCGGCGAGATCCGGGAGCATCCCAACTCAACGCTCGTCAGGGCAGCCCGTTTCGGCCCCGCCCAAGTGCAACGCCGGAACCAGTCAAAACGCGCCGTGGCGTCCGGTGCAGCCAGGGATTCGTGCAATTGGGCAATCTGACACTCCACATGCCAAGTTGCAGGAACATGTCCATCGAACTTGACGAGTGTGAGATCTTTCCTATCACGATCGTTGGTGACGACTTAAAATTATTCCTTTTCCCTGAGCAGCAATACAGCACGCAATCCCTCCAAATCCATGTCCCATAGAAAGACGGAATATAGGAGATAAGAACAACGAAGGCGGGGAAGGGTACAGAGTGGCAAAGATGCATCGGGTCCGTCCCCTCTCCTGTACGCTATGTACCTCTGTACCCAACTATGTACCTATTCTTCTCAAGGAATTAAACGAAGCACGTTCCCTTTCCTGCATGCTTAGCATCCCACTTTCCCACGAACCCCTCTATCCAACACGTTCGATAGAGCCTTTTGCCTGGTCACAAGGACCAAATTATGAAGAACTCGGGGAAAAAAAAGCCGGATTGCCCCTGTTTGGATCTATTCGCTTCTGTTTCGTTTGTTTCTCCATTTACCAGACCGCATGGTGGCGGACTTTGGGAGCTCCAGATACCCTTGTCTGGCCACCGCTAACGTTCGCATGTTTGACAGGGGTTTCTTCCATATGTTTCCCAAGCCCGAGACAAAAAAAGGTACATCAGACAAGGTCCCGTGATCCACGGTCAGTAAACGCCCACCTCCTCTTCCACCATTTTCCCCGATAGCTCGTTCAGTGCAATGCAGGTGATGTGGTCTCGTGACCTTCTTCACTCGTCTCGACGGATGAAAGCGGGACGAGTCAACAGGCCCAGAACGTTGATCTCGGCGGTCTTCAACCCCTGTCTGTTCGCTGAACTTCCGTTCTTGGCAATCGTTTGGTTTTACGGTTAGTCGGATGATAAATATTACTATAAGAGTTTACGAATTCTATTTCGGCTGAGGGGACGCGCAAGTCGGTAGAGGAAAGATGCGTCAAACTCCGACTTGACAACCGTTATGTATCATTCCCATCTAGTGTATATGTAAGGTATCCTATCCCATGTAGTCTAGATCCGCAGCGCCAACCCTGTATTTTACATCCCCCAGGTATATAAACTCATGCATCAGCCGCCCGCCCATCGCGGAATGGGCCGTATATGTACATCCTCCTTATTTACATTCACCGCCGTTTCCTTTCCCCTCTTCTTCACCACCCAGTATTCTCCGGCGTCGGGCCGTTCCCCTCCGTGCCCGCAGGGGCAGGGTTCTTTTTCCAGAATGACATGGGTTCTGGCATTGCAGCCAGCAAGCGCGCAAACGGATCGGGCTCCGCTTCCGCCTCCTTTCTTGCCCACTGGCTGTTTTGACGGATCTTGACGTCGCTTAGATAACGTACAACCTGATCTAGGATCTTGTCGAGCCTTACGTCGCCCGTCGTTGTTTGTTTCTTCTCCAATTCGGCAGCATAGGACAGCGGGAGCGCCTGTATCAAGCTTCTTTTCAGCTGGAGATCAATCTCCTTGCTCAAGGCGAAGCACGTGGCGATGTGGTGCTCAATACTCCCCAGTGTGCAATACTTCAGGGAGCGTGCAAGCCGTACCTTCAAGGGGACGGTTTCGCTGAAGATCACCCACGATTGTAGTTGTCGCGGCGTATTCCGGGCCACGGCATTGGCAAGCATCTTCTCAAAGTTTCGGATGCGGAAATCTGCCGTTGTGGTTTGCGCCGTGAGCCAGTCCAACCTTGCTAACCGCCCGAAGCGCTCCGACTTTTCCGTCTCTCGTTTCGGCCGCTCCTCTAGTTCCACGACCACCGACATGGCTGTGTCAAGTCTGTCAAGTAGTGGCTTGTCCTTGTTCAAAACCACTCTCGCGGCGTGCCGCAACCGAACGTTCATCATGCTTGTATGATGCCACGTCTCCCGAATCCACACGGCGGTGGCAAGATGGTCGAGCCTCGTTTTATCAGACTCCGTTTTGAAGTCCGCGTCGTCAAAGCCGTCATCGAAAGCATCACTAGACCGTGGAAGCGTTGTCGCCTGCCAGATGTTGAGGAGGTTCCGCATTTGTCTGACGGGCTTGGAGCTCACAGGCACAGGACCAAGTAGTAACAATGACGCTTGATCGATGTTGTCAAGTAACCCTCGGATGATTAATTTGGTCGCTGGGACATCCATCAGTGTGATACACGAGTGGAAGAGCCGCCAAATTAGCTCTCTGCTGAACGTCCACTGCTCTCGAAGACAAACCGCAAAGAGTTTTGCGCCTTCCCGGATCATCCCGAAATCTACCAGGCCCTCCATCATCGCCTCCGCGACATCCTGGGTAAAAGGAGCACGCCGAATATAGAGCCCGTCCATGAAGGCAGCCTCCTCGGGGTTGGCCCAGGAGTGTAATTGGGGGTAATTGGCAACGAAGTAAGGGCCTCTTCGGATCAGTCCTATCCCCCGAGGGTCAAACCCGAACATGCGCCGGGCAATACTCTGGAAACCGGCAATGTCGCGTTTAAGGCGGTAGTGATGGAGCAGACATAAGTACGTCGCCTCTGTTGGTTTCATCTGGCTCTTGTAAAGAAGCGAATCCACCACTTCCTGGGACAACTCATGTTCGCCAAGGAACGAGAAGCCCAGTATCAAGAAGCTGTAATTCTCGATGCCTGGGGGGACGCTGCAGACGAGCAAGTTGTAACAAACTTTCCCCACGTAGCGATCCCGAAGACGCGGGTTCCACCTCTCAAAAAGCTGCAGAAGGGTTTTGTTGAGCTCTGCTCGCTGGAGAAAGGTCGTCTCGAGATCCTCCATCGGATAGGAATAAGCGGGGTAGCCGTCGTTGCGCAGCATCTTGTGAAAATTGTACGGCGATTCCGCGCAGGTAAGGGGGAAGTGTGTCCCGGGTGCTTTGGCTTCGGTGACATGCCACGACTGCACCATGAGCCGGTCCGTCAACTCGATCATCATTTCCATTGTTCTCTCGAGGTGTTTTTCGGTCCTTGGTTCTCGGGCGTCCAAGTTAACCCCGGTATCCGCAAAAAGGAGCTCTTCGCATCTTGCCAGCGTCGTATCCTTAGCCGCAGGTATGTCCGGGTTCCAAGGAAGCCCCAGCGCGCTGCGAAGGCGTCGGGCGGTGTTGAGCCTATCCTTGAGTTTTCGAGGTACGTCCTTCAGCGAGCTTGTTTCGAGTTTACATAAGTCCCAGAAGAAATCCAACTTCTCCCGGGGGCGGGTGTACGGTACGTCAGGGTATGGAGATGCCACAACGCTGGCAAGATCTCGACTAGCTGAATCGTGGAGCAAAGCAGCCAAGCTTCTGCGCGCTTCGGCGCTCCTTTCGTCGGGTTCAGATCTCGGCCACCAGTCCTGCTGTCTGGGTTCTTCGAAGGCCACGGCCCCGGTACTGGCGGCAGTGTGGTAAGTGGTGAAGGTATCGCCGCAAAGTAGCTTTCGAGGTCGCCTGCTACCCTCCGTGTAATTCGTTGTTGTCGTGGTCGTGGTCACCCGCTTTGTTGTGGTGGTGTATTTTGTGGCCCGCAGACACGCTCGGCAGTGACACGCCCGCAGCTGGGCTGCCATTGACCGGAGACCCAGCATCGTCGGGGCATGTCGACCAAGCAGGGCGGCGCCTGCGAGCAGGGTGGTCTAGAACTAAATTTTGGGCGTCGTTGGCGGACGCGAGGGGCTGGGTCCGAGGACAAGGAGCTTGGTGGGATGGTGTCGGACGTCCCAAATCAATTCACACAAACGGAATTTCCTCGCCTAACGTTAAGCCGAGCTTCAGGGTGATGGACCCACAGGAGCTGCTTCATCTTGACTTTTCAGCAGACTCTTAACCCTAACCCTTCTTCACATTTTTACAACTCGTCTAGTACCGTTGGGCGTCATATCGAGGAGTTTAATTATAATAGTCGCTTGGCCTTAGTAGAAAAGTCGATTACTACTAAAATTTTTCCCGTCAAAGGTGAGAAAGAACCAAGTGGGTTAACGGGAACCAGAATTCCCTCTTCTGGCGTGTTGCCAAGAGTCTTCAGAGCCCCGCTGCCACTGCAGCCACTCGAAACTGCCCCTCAACACCACGAGAGCGCATCCTCAACCCCCAGCCCACTACGCAGGAGAAACCCAGCCCTCACGTACACGTTGCTAATAGGCCATACTTAAATAAGCTATAATCATTCCGATTCAGGCTTGCAGACTGCCATCGCCATGTACGCGCTGACGCTCTCGGCGGAGTTGGCGGGGTACGTTCACATTTCCCTCTCCTTGGCAAGGACAGACGGACCTTCCGGCTAATACAGAGCAGAGTAACCAACCTGCGGCCAAAGGACACCGAAGAAAGCAACTTCTTCTACACATTCAAGGTGCAATGCACCTCTTGCCGGGAAACACATCCTAACCCGATCGCAATCAACCGCTTTGTAAGCCGTTTTCCTCTCTGTGTGTGTCTAGTGGTTTTTGAAGTTCTGTGTCTCACAATACCGTAGGAAACCAACGAGATGAGCGGCAGTCGCGGCGAGGCAAATTTTGTTTGGAAATGCAAGAACTGCAAGGTATGTATTGGCGCTCTTCTTGGAGTCCATTCACCAATTCGAATTGTTGTTCTGGTAGCGCGAAGCCTCGGCCACTATCAAGGCCGCCCCAATCGCTTACGAGCAAGCTGAGCCAGCGAAGGCCCAAAGAATTCTCGAATTTGACTGCCGTGGGCTTGAATTCACCGAATTTCTCCCAGAAGTAGGTTGAAACATTATGTTCTCCATACCGACCTAGCCTGTTTCTTTTACCCTGTCATGTTCATAAATTACACACACCCGTCGAGTTTATTGCGTCTTTTCTCGCGTGTCGTTTCTTTCCCTTCCTAGTTTCAACCCAGGGCTACTCTAGCATACAGAGACAAGTCCGCTGACAACAATTAGGGAGAGTGGCTGGTGGACGGGATCGAGTCTAACACCAAATTTGATGGGGTTGAGTTGATAGAAGGGGAATGGTTTGACTACGACGAGAAGGCCGGCGAGGAAGTGAGTATCAAGGATCTCAAATGGGACATAGTTCGTGCTTGATCCAGCCTTCAAATACATTCAAGTTTAAAACATTGTCACCACTCACTGTCACTCTCGGCCGAGCTTTGGCAGTGATGATAGAAGACCGCGCAGTACCCAAGGTAAGTAAATAAATACACTTTACGTTTTGCATTTTACGCTATTGTTTTATGTTGAGGAGTGCAAAATTCTGCTCTAATTTGAACATTCCCAACACATTTGCCCCCGTCCCCCCCTAAGATGCCGGCTCACATTTTCTCTTGCTCAAAGGTTCCCCGTGATACCCTCAAACATGAAATAGGCCATTCGAAGGGGCAGGGGTTGTGACCCGTGGGACGAAATGTTATGTAATTTCATCACAGTACCGCCAATGGAAATTAATAACTAGGTCTTATAGACCCACCATTCGTATCGATACCGTATAGTTCGTACGCTCAAACACCACAATTTTCGATTAAACAACCAAGGCGGTCCCTGAGGTTCCAATTCAAGCTCCGCTTGCTTCGCCGATTTCACTCACGCCCAAGAATCGCCATCAAGATGAACAAAAACGAATTGGCTGCCACAATCGGCTTCCTGACCGACGCGGGCCACCTCCTGGCAATCGCGGCGCCCGATGCATCGGCCCATCTGATGACCCGGCGGAACGACTTGATGCTGGAGTACGACATGACTCTCACGGACAAGGAGCGTCAACATGTTTGCACGAGCTGCGGCCACATCCTGCGCCTGGGGCAGGGCAGCGAATTGCAGATCAAAGCGAAGCCCATCAATCACCGAAACAGGTCTCGCCAAACCCAGGGATCGAAAAGCAGAGCGGCTGCAAGGCTTGACTCATCAACGACATCGTCAGGCCCAAGTAAGAGCATCTCCTGCGAACGTTGCAAGAGCGTGACAGAAGTCCGTTTTACGGCACCTGCCCCTATCTTGAGGCGCAAGACAAAAGGGGCCAAGGCTACCAAAACTACGAGCCTGGCGATGAGTGCATCAACACCCAGCACACCTGCCTCAGAGGCGGCCCCGCAAAAGACGACTTCCAACGCGAACAGCAAAAAGCGTGCCAAATCTAGGAAGGCTGGGCTCCAAGCACTACTAAGTCAATCTAGCGCGTCGCGGGGCTCACAAACAGGCTTCGGCTTGAGTCTCTCTGACTTCATGCTAAAGTGAGCGAGTGAGTGAGTGAGTCAAAGTTAGGAGCCTTGTATCTCTGTTCCCTGCAACGGGCCGGGCTTCAACCAAAATCTCCGTCCACGCCGGTTCAGACGACTAGCCGAAGATTCAGGAAGGCTCGGGGTGACACACCCCACCTCTACACGCTACCCGGCCCTTCGGGGCACCGCGAGAGGCCTGGGCTGGCCCAGAAAAAATCCCGTTCGGTGCAGCATGCCCCGCTATAAATTTGGAGGAAGGCAAACCCGCACTATCAACTGTTACCCCGCCAAAAAGTTTATAATACCAGCTTAGACCCCTCCAAAAAAAAGTTTCTCGATACCGATATTTCGCAATCACAGCACCGCATAACCATACACTCAGCTAGACGATATGCCCGAGCTTTTCGACACCATTGGCGACAAGGTTGACAAGGTCGCTCCGGCGGCCGACGTCAACGGCGCAACCGTCGATGAGGAAGAGAAGGTGGTTGAAGAGATCGAGTCCCTCTGCATGAATTGCGAGGAGAATGTAAGCCGTCCCAAGCGCAGCGGGACTCCTACCGTAAGAGATGCCATTGCTGACTTTGGATGGAACGCAGGGCATGACGCGGCTCCTCCTCACCAGGATCCCCTACTTCCGCGAGATCGTGATCATGTCCTTCTCCTGCGAGAAGTGCGGCTACAGCAACAACGAGATCCAGCCCGCCGGCACTTTCCAACTCAAGGGCGCCCACTATGAGCTCCGTTTGACGGCCATGGCCGACTTCGAGCGCCAGGTCATCAAGTCCGACACCGCGACCATCAACTTCATCGAGCTAGACGTCGAAGTCCCCGCGGGCAAGGGGCAGCTTACCAACGTGGAGGGCCTCCTTACAACCTTGATTGACGACTTGGCTTTCAACCAGGAGCAGCGCAAGGAGGAGGCACCCGAGGCATACACCAAGATTGGCGAGATCATCGAGAAGGGGCGCAAGATGCTAGACGGCGAGGGGTTCCCCTTCCGCGTCGCCGTCGACGACCCGGCAGGCAACTCCTTCATTGCGCCTGACCCGCGCGACGGCGTAGGCAAGTGGGAGAAGCGCGAGTTCCTCCGCACCCCGGAACAGAACGCCGCGCTCGGCCTCGCCGACACCGCCGCGGATAACAACGACCTCGACGCCAACGGCGACATCATCGCCGACCAACTCTACGAGTTCCCCGCCTCCTGCCCGGGCTGCATGCACGCCTGCACCACCAACATGAAGATGGTCGACATCCCCCACTTCCGCCAAGTCGTCATCATGAACACGACCTGCGACGACTGCGGGTACAAGTCCAACGACGTCAAAACCGGCGGCGAGATCCCCGAGAAGGGCAAGAAAGTCACCCTCCGCGTGACCCAGCCCGTCGACCTCGCCCGCGACATCCTCAAAAGCGAGAGCTGCGAGCTCGAATGCCCCGAACTGCGCCTGTCCGTCAACCCAGGCACGCTCGGCGGCCGCTTCACCACCGTCGAGGGCCTCCTGACCCAGGTGCGCAACGACTTGCACGGGCAAATCTTCGATGCCGACGCCGAGATCAAGGGCCGTTCGCACGACTCAGTTACTCCTGCCGAGCGATCCCGCTGGACGGCTTTCTTCGACGGGCTTGACGCGGCTATCAGCGGGGAGAAGGAGTTCACTATCGTCCTCACCGACCCGTTGGCGGCTAGCTATGTCCAGAGCCTAGCGGATGACCCGAGCCAGCCGGACGAGCAGATGACGGTGGAGGAGTATGACCGGACGGATGAGGAGGAGGAGGAGCTGGGGCTGAAGGATATGAAGACGGAGGGGTACGAGGAGGATGCGGGGGTTGAGAAGGCGGGTGAGAAGACTGAGAACGGTGAGAAAGCCGCATGACCGTAGGAAAGGAGATAGGATAGTAGGCGGTTTTGTGATTATTTGATGATTTGTAAATTTGCATTTTTGTTCGGCTACGGGTGGGGCAGTCCAAAGGGTGACTAAGAGAAAGAGAAAAAACGGTTTATAGAGATGCAGCAAGATACCCTTGGTTTTGGGTCTCGATCAAGATCAGAATACATGGTATGGTGTATGCTTTCGTGCCACAAAATATCGTCCGTTTCACGTTGACGCACTGCACACTTAAGTCTACAACTCACCGTGATACATACCACTTACCACGCATTCAATCAAGTCATGTTCACGCACGAGGAGAATAAGTTAATCCATAACCCTACTCAACATTTTTGTCTTCCCACCATAAAACTACCCACATATCTACAATGAATTACCGACTAATACCTGACTGGGCAAAGTGGATGCTCGTGGTAACTGTGGGTGTGCGGATGAAGAAGAAAATAAGAGAAGAAAAAAAAGACAAGTAAAAGTAAGAGAAAAGGGATGAAGGAATAGGAAAAAAAAAACAAAAGACCTGGTATCACTCTTCCCGTGTCCCAGACTCCTAAAACTCCCCCTATCCGTCCATCCATCCAATCCATCATCCATCAGCCGCTGCCGCGCACAGAGGGCGACTCATACCAACCAAGCAGCCATCAAGGGCGTCATCATCTTCACAGCCCAACCCTGGGCTAGAATTACCCTATCCTTCTCATACAACAGAGGTAGGGCAGAGCGATCGGGAACAAATGACCGCCTTCCACAGCCCAGTGCCCCGTAAGAAGGAAATGATGATGATAAAAGAAAATGTAGGAGAAGAAAGGAATCAGGGGTATCGTATCGTCACCTAGCCCAACCAGAATCCATCCATCCATCCAGTACCCTTCTGGCCCCAAACAGTTCTCCAGCCAACTGGGTATAAAAGGTGTGCCAGAAGATAGCCATCGGACAAAATAAAATAAAACATAAAAGAAAAATTCCCGATGGCATGACAATAATAGGGGCAAAACAGCCAAGTGATGTCTGCAGGAGAGAAGAAAGTGCAAGAAAGTTAGGGCCACAGCCACAAGGCCACAGCAAGCTCGCTTAGAAGAAAGTCGGCTTCGTCAATACCCGGTACTCGACATAGTCCTCGCCATCGATGGTGATAATCATCCCCTGGCTGACCAGCTTGCCCTGGAATGGCCCGCTCTGCTTGCGTTGGTACTTAACACCCATGTGAATCTTGGCATCGTCACCACCGCCGCCCGGGGTGCGCAACCTGTTGGCCTCCTGCGCCTCCCAGACTTTATTCAACCGCGACACGTTGTTCTGGAAATGATGAGCTTCATTTCCTTGGCCAGTGCCGTTAGTGCCGGTGTTGCCATGGATGGGTTGGCTTCCGTGGCTGGGCACGGTGTGAGCGGTCGGGGTTAGCCCGGCAGCAGCAGCGGCCGCGGCGGCTGCGACGGGGCCGAGAGAGGTCTCGCGACTAGCGGCACGCATGTCAGCTCGGGCCTGTGCAGCTTCGAGACGGGCGATCTCGCGGCGCGCGAGGGTGTTGGTGCGCTCGAGCGCGGCCGAATTGGGGCCGGGGCCGGTAGGTGTCCGGTTGGCGGAGCGGAAGTCGACATCGGGAAGCGGGTGGCGGCCGTTCTCAGTGCGCCGTGACTGGCGGGGCTCCTCCGAAGGGCGGCCGGGGGCGAACGAAGCGGCAGGGTGGCCAGACCCGGGTCCAACGCTGCCTGTTCCTTTCATGGCGAGGGGAAGCAGGTCGGGGTCGTCCCTGCGGATCGGGATACCTGTGGCAAGGCTCACGGCGATACGTTTCTGGGCCTCGTAGACCGCTTGGTTCTCGTTCGCATGGCGGTCCGCAGGGTTCTCCCCGTGGTCGAGTTGGCGCTGGCGAACGCGGCAGTATTCCTTGATCTCATTCCGGCTGAGCTTGCGCAGGTGCGGCTCAAACTCGACTTCATCCCAATGAATCCAGAGTGCGCCAGCGCCGGCCGGGAAATTGCCAATAACAGTGCGCCCATCCCGAGTCTCGCGAGTCAGTTTGACCCTGAACATATCGTTGGCGCCCAAGATGCCAAAGACGGCGTGCTTGTTGACTGGGTCCTCTTCGCTACTCTGCTTCCAGTAGCCGATGAGAATCCTGGTCGGGCGAGTCCCAGGGATGTTGTCAAGTGATGCTTGGGAGGATTTGGGCGATTCTGAGGGAACCCCAAACGAGCCGGCCAAGCGGCGTTTCTTGTTTTCGGGTCGGTTCGGGACCAGAGCGTTGGCCGGCATCTCAGTGCCGTAGGCAATCAAAGGTGCGGTGGCGGCGTCCGGGGGCGGATTCGTCCTCACCCGTTCGGAAGCGAGCTCAACGGCCTCGGCATCCTGTTTGGCCCTCTCTTCCAACGTCTCATCCTTGCGGTTGTCCTCGATGCGGATCTTAACGTATTCCTTAACGACATGATGGTTCTGGCCGACGAGGTGGGGATCGAAGGCTACTTTGTCAAAGGTGACCCAGCTACCTCCAGGGCCAGGTGGTATCGGGCATCGCGGGTCCATTGGTCGGCCGTCGCGAGTGATCGGCTGGATGCGAGTTCGGAGTCGGTCTCTAACATCAATGAAGCCAACTACGCTGTGTTTATCGGCGTCATTTTCGGCCTGTGAGTCTCGCCAGTAACCCAGCAGAACACCCTTGCCACCGCCACCTGTTGTCCCTTGTGGCTTCGGCGGACGGCCGGCTGGGCGCCGGATCTCGATTTCTTCGGTGGGGGCTGGGCTGACCTCCTTGTCCTCGGCGTAGATCCCGGAGACCCGCTTCCGCTTGGCGTTCTGAATGATAAGCGTTTTGTCCTCGTGTTCGCCCATCACCACGTCCTCTACTTCGGCTCCTCGGATAGGCGAAGGCTCAACGTGGACGTTGCTACCGACCACAATCTCGTCTTGCAAGAGCGGTGGGACGCTGGAGGCGTGGCTAGATGTATCCCCGACATACGAGTCAGGTGGGGGTGAGAGTTCTTCATGATTGTCTTCGTGAGCGCCGTCGTGGATACCCTCAGTGATATCCTCGCTAATCGCTTCACTGGTATCCTCGGAGTGGTCCTCAGGATGGGCCCGCTTATGAGCGGTGCGGGTGATTGGAGGCATAGTTTCCTCGGATGGCTGATGATTGCTGTCGAAGCTATAACACGATGTGTTAACGTTGCGGAAGGTATACTTGATAGAGTGCTGGACTTACTGGAGAGACGAGCTTACTCGTGGAGTTTGATTTGTTGTTGGGGAGGTTGATTCATTCGGGTTCGCCACGGACTTTGCTTCAATGAGCGGAGCACTAAATAGACGTCAGCAACCTGTTTCAGATGTTGTAGTTTCCAATGGTGTTGTTCATAATTAGGTAACACTGTACAAAGTACAGTGTTGTTGTTGTTGTTGTTGTTGTTGTTTGCTGAGCTGGCCAGAACAACTGCCTTGACGGAAAAAGAGGCAGGCGATATTCGGGGGAAACAGGGTTGGCTCACCTCTCGACGGGCTCGTGTTGAACTTGAGTCTGTGATAGCGCTACAGGGGGGTCACTTAAGCCCACAGCACTAGACAGCAAACTTGTTAACGCTCCGTACGCTAATGTGGATAGAGATAGATGAGGTAAGGCGCCTCGATGGGGACTGGGAGGAAACCTTACCTTTCGGGATGTGGCTGTGGTAGGAAAGGACTAAATATGAGAGTGGTGTTAGTGAAGGGAAATGGTTGTGTTGTCAAAAGATATTGACGAAGGTGGTTGTGAAATCGGTTCTGGGGATGTGAATGGGAAGAGGAGAGGAAGCAGTCCTCGGTACCGATCCCCCCTTTAAATAGCCATCCAGAACCCAAAACGAGAGAGGTAAACAGCTCTCTGAACAACATATCTGTACCGCATTTACAGTCATGAGGAGCATCAACACCGTACAGTCCCCCTAAACTGCCCCGAACAACAGAGCGCCAGGTGTGATGAACCGCGTTTCACGACTCAAATTTGAAGGGGAAAAAATGTAGAAAAAAAAAAACACAACTCACGCTTCTTGCTGTTCAGCCTTCGTTTCCACAACAGGAGGCGAAAAGGCGACGGACGGCGGATCGTCGGCCATCATATTGGCCTCCGGGACTGAGTCCATCGTGTCGGTAGAGTCAATGGCCGCCAAACTAAAATGAGAGCCGCCAAATACTGTCTGTGTATCCACTTTGGATCTGATCTGGGAATCCATTAGTGCTCAAGAAGAAAGAAAAGGCCCCGATGTTGAGATAGAGCGAGTTGAGTTTGGGGGCGGGAAGGGGCGCGAAGTGATGCGATGCTAGTAAGAGTGTGGCTCAACAATGAGAGGCGCCGCTTAAAGCAAATTGAGTGCCCTAGCCACCACAACAACACCCGGACGTGGTGTAAGTCCAGCGGCTGCTCGGTTTAAGGTCCGAACGAAGAAAGCACAAGAGGAATAGGAGGGTAAGAGTGAATGATACGGAGGAATCAACCAAGGAATAGAATGGGCTTGGTGGAACGCGCTTACCGTTTGGCGCTTAAGCTGGTCAACAACAACCCAACGTGGCAATAATTCCAAACTGGGCGAGCGTTTTTACCAGAGCCAAAAAAATAGGAATTTAAAGTCTTGGCGCTCAAATTGTGTTTCACGAGAGAGATAGGTGTAGGCGTTTAGTAGCAATGGGATGGCCGAGCTTCGTGAGGGATCAGATGGCAAACTGTAGGCAAAAGTCGACAGATGTGGGAGTGTGCGAAGGTGTTGCGCCGGGATGTCGGGGAAGTTGTCGCAAATGAGTCGCGGATTGCGATCATGCAGGCGTGGTCAATTCCTCCCGATTTGGAATGAGCCAAAACACGGAATTACGGTTGGGGGTTGCGACGGACGGACAACGGTGGCGCTTGGAAGAAAGAGGATATTAAATTAGGAAGCGTAAGCGTCCGGTGTGAGCAAAAGCGCGTACCCTAACAGAGAAGAGAGAGAAAAAAAAGGAAAATGTGAGGGTTGCAAGAGGAAAGAAGGCAAAGCGCGGTGGGAATGCAGAAGTGAACTGGCGTGAGTGGATAGATAGGAGCAATTGAAACCAAGGGAGACAAGGTCATTTGCCAGAGTCTAGGCCGGGGGTGGGAAAGACTCGAGAGGTGCATACCAGTCCAAGTACGAAGTACCGGAGGATGACGGGATGATTCAGTGTTCAGCCAAAATTGCACCAGTTGCGATTTGAGAACCCCCTTGGCCCAGATCGGAGCTAAGCGAGGGGACTCGGGAACTCTGCCCGTCTTCTATTGGACTCGAAACATTGTACCCGGTTAGGAGCAAACAACCGGACAACAAGCTGCGCAAAGACGGAAAAATAGCCAAAACGCAAGTTTTCGGGCGGGCACTGTGCTGAAGCCTCGAACATTTCTCGGGCTGTTTTTGTTGTTATCAGCTGGTAAGCCCCGCCCCACAGCTTCTACCATGACATGGAGGGAGAAGAAACAGAAGAGACAAGCGCCCAAAGGATTCCACTTCCTTATTTAGTCCGGATGCCTACCGTCCAAATCAAGCATGCAAAGACACACACACACAGACACACAAGAAAATTCAAGACAAGTCGATCATTTAGAGGAGGATCGAGCTGTATGAAACAGGTTGGCGGTTGCATCATTTTGATGCAAGTTTATGGGCGCGACTTGGACAAAGAGGGTAAGGCTTCGGAGCAACGGGCGCCAACAAGCCAGCCAATATACTTGCTCTTTCCCTTTTTAAAGTCCGAACCAACAACGATAAACATGTAGGGTTCTCGGACACTCGACGTTGACTACCTCAAATTGCCCAAGAGACAACTAACTAAACGTTCAAGTTGTCTCGCTCCGCTCAAGCCTCCTCGTATCCCCTAAAACAGTCTTTCGAAAAACCAAGTCTCGGTTTCTTACGGCCGCTGATCAATAATTATGTCACGATGATTTTAAAATAACCGCGCAACCGGTGGGTATCAATCGTATCAGGAACTCTCTCTCCTATGGTGCGTTGAAGGTGGGCGCTGGGTTCGACTTGGACCTCAGGATTGGGTTGCCTGAACTGAAAAAAAAGAACGGCCCACATGCAACTACCCTATTGGACAGCTCGTTCGCAACTCAAACCCCAGCCTAAATCGCGACAAGTCAGAAAAAAAAAAAAAGGTCAAACCTGCCGGTGGTGCGACATTGAGAAGGGACTTTGTTGGTCCTGGCAAATGCCTTTGCAGTTGATGAGAAATCGCAGCTTGTTTTAGTGGCCATGGCATTAAACATTGAGATCTGATCGACAAGGTTTCTTGTTTGTCTCTCTCTTCAAAGCCACCGTATCGAGTTCTCTCTGAGCCTTTTTCACACAATGTGGGATTCGAAGTTGAACAGCAAGGCAACCCTGCAACCTGCAAGTTCCAGAGCTCGCCGCCCGTCGGTTTCTCTGCCGAGTTTTGGAATCGGCCCGGCTGCCCTGCGGCAAACCAACGCCACAAATTCCGCCATGTGATTTATATCAATAAGTCACTTACACGGACAATTCCAAATGAATTGAACCCTTATCGGCATTTGCAAGGCCATACTATCTAACTACTTCGTAAATGTCGGAGTTTCAGAAAACAACTTATTATTGATCGGAAGAACAACCGACAATTTCCGCCGAGTGCACCCAAAAAAATAACGTAAAAATACGTAAGCAAATCGACGTGCCCGTCAAGGTCCCTGTTTATCTTGCTTCCATCCCCAGCCCAAGCTATGCCGTCAACCCCGGTGTCAATGGCGCCTTTTTTATCGCCATTATCCGAGACGCAATGGCCACCGCCAACCAACCTGAAATTTGTACAACTTGGGGCAGATGCATATCTGGTTTGCTGGTTGTGAGCGACGAGAACGATTGACCCAGGTCCTTTTTAATCGATGACAAGGAGTGTAACTTTTTAGGGCGCTTGGGCGCTTGGTTGAAGGTTTAGTTTTTGGTGGGGTCATCCACAGTAATATCGCCAACCAACGGCAATTGGTGTTGATTTGCTTTCCAATGCAACCCCGCGCCAGGCAAAAGTGGAAGTTGATTGCGATGCATCCCATTCAGGATCCCACCGCCAACTGTCCGCCTCGCTATTTACACAGTATTGCTTCTATTTTGTCTAGACGTAGACTCAGCGCAGGGTATCAAGTCTAATTCTGTATCAAACCAGCCCGCTCTCCACAGTCCATAATTCCATCTGCGCATCTCCTCGCCTCCCAGTCGTGTTCATCCCATCTACCCTACCTCCCCCGACCCCGACCCTTTCCTCTCCCACCTCTTCCCCCCCGTCCATTATTCCTCCCCCCACCCTTCCCTCCACCACCACCAGCACCACCACCTTTCCCACCTCCCCTCCTCACCCCATCAAACCTCCCAAACAACTCCTCCCCCACAAACCCCCCCTCCGCAAACCGCATATAATTAATCACCCCATGATCCACAACCGCAATCAACACATTCCTCCGTCCATGTTTCAAGCGCGCATACATCCGGCCCGCACCGCCCGTCGCCCACTCGGGCCGACCGGTATCAGACGGCATGGCGTTGAGTAAAGGGGTGATTTGCGAGAGGGTGGGGACTGATGAGTCCTGGGCGTCGACGACGGCGAGATGGAAGTCGGGTGGGGGGTGCCGGAGTTTGGTCCATTTTTGCGCGGACTTCCAGACGTGGAAGTGGATGGTGAAGGGGGCTTCTTGGGTCGTCGGTTCGGAGGGGGAGGGTGGGAGTGGTGTTGAGGGGGTGTGCCGGGGGAGGAGGGCCATTTGGCGGTAGATGGAGGCGTAGGAACGGTAGAGACCTGGTTGGACGAGTGGGCCGTAGGGGAGATGGGTTGGTGGTGAGGGAGTGGGTTTGGTGAGTAGGGAGGTGAACCACTGCCAGAGGGTCGTCGTGATGGGCGTGGGGATGATGGGTTCTGGTGAGGTTTTGGCGGGAGGCGGCGCGCGGAGGATGTTGTAGCCGCATCGTTTGAGGTTGGAGTAGACCTGGAACTTTTGCAAGCTGATCTTGCCGCGTTCCCCATCGTTCCCAATCAGCAATGCATAAGCCGCCTGTAGACTCAACGGGAACCCCTGTTCGTACTCATCCACCTCTTCTTCTCCTTCCCCCTCTTCCCCAACCTCCTTATCCTTACCCTCCTTAACCGTCCCATCCGGGGGAAATATCTCCCCCAACTCCTTCACCGGCCACCACAAATCCAACGACCCCCGTTCCACCAAATACAACGCCTCCTCGGGCAACAACCAATCCCTCCCCCTAGCCGGCCTATCCTTCGCCTGCCCCGTGACCGCCCTCCCCAACGCCTGACTCGCCACCGACGACCCCTCCAACACCACCACCCTCTCCCTCACAAACCCAAATGGCCTCTTTTCCTCCCCTTCTTTCTCCTTCCCCCGCTCCTCCTCCTCCCGTTCTTGATACCCCTCCCACCAAGCAGGGAAATACCACCCCCTCGCCGCCGCCGCACCACCACCAGGATGCACCCGCGTATAACTCAGCACATCACGCATCGCCCCACGGCTCTGTTCCAGCGCATCGGCCTGTGCACGCGTGCCGTGGGATTCAAAGTCCTTTTCGCCTTTGCGGATAGTTTGGGCGGACACGCCGGCTGTTTTGCGATATTGGAGGGAGGCGGCGAAGGCGAGGAAGTCTTGGGAGGCGGCGTTCTCGTCTTCTTCGAGGAGGTCTGCTTGTTCTTCGGCGGTGGCTTGGGCTTGGGCGGGTGGTGTGGTCGAGGGTGTGGGGGTGGGTGAGGGTGAGGGGGCGAGGGAGGGGTTGTCGTCGTCGTCGAGGGCCATGGTGGACTGCGAGGGGGGGTTGGAAGGGAGGTTTGACGAGGATTGTGTCGCTGTTGCTGGAGTGCGGATTAGAGGCTGGAGAGGCGGTCGCGAGCGGATTCGGCGCCGTGATGGGAGTAAGATAGCTCGATCCCACGCAGGAATTTCATCCGGACGTGCCTTGGGGTAATTGGATCGAATTGGAGGTTTTCGTCGGTGGATATGTTGGCCGGTGCGGTGTGTTGTCAAATGATGGAAGTTCGAGATTGACCGAAGCTTGGCAGAAAATTGGAGGGGCAGCTCTTGGAGAGAGCTCGGCAAGGGTTGGGGTTAGGGTTGTCTCGCGGATCCCAGTCGACCCCCTTACCACTTACACCATCCGTGCGTCAAGCAACCCATTAGATGTCCCTCGATGGTGCGGTTTCGAAGTGGAAGTTCTGTTTACTAGTTTACCTGGGTAAATTTAGGAAAGATCAAGTCATAATCTTTCCCAACTATTTTCAAAATCAGTTTAAGATACCCAGCTTCATAAATTAATTCCGTAATTAAGTACATAAATAGTAAGTCAAGTAAACAGGAAGTAAGAATCATAAACCACCAAGGGTCGGGGTGTTGGACCCCTAGGCCCATTTCATTTCTATTGTCTATGGACGGACCGGCGAATTCAAACTCAGCACTTGAAAGCAGACGATGTTCTTTGACGGAGACACAATTTATTCAGAAATATATGAAAACTTCAACCTAATACGTCAGGTAGTCAACCAGCGGATCCATGTGGCTTGTAAAGCTAAATCCAAGCCATCCCTAGACAAGGATCGACTTCAAACTCTCCGCCGTATCCACTACAGTCTTCCTCCACGGGATATACTCCTCCCCCGTAACCCTAACCGCTTTCGTCCCATCCAACCCCCCCACACTCGGAAACTTATACCCCGGATAATACCCCTCCCCCGGCGTACCCTCCTCAATAATCCCCTTTCTCTCAGGGTACTCCTCCCTCAAGATATCCGCAACCGACTGCGCAGGCGCCCAGTGAGCGGCGGCCAGGAAGCGCTCGCCGTCGGTCTTGTCGCCGTGCTCGATGCCGAAGACGACGAGGCGGGTGATGTCGCGGATGTCGACGTAGGCGCTGGAGGCTTGGATGCCGGATGAGGCGAGGGGCTTGCCGGAGAAGACGTCGGGGATGAGGACGTTGGACATGCTGATTTTGGAGGGGGTGGCGGGGGTTATGAGGGGGGGGCCGGTGACGAAGCTGTTTGGTTCGTGTTAGCTAATTAAGGTACCTAGGGAATTACTTCATATGGATGTGTTAGAGGAAGGCTTACCAAGGGTTGATGGCCGTAAAGGTGAATCCGGGCTTGTGCTCATCACGGAACTTCCAGAACGCCCTCTCGGCGGCAACCTTGCTGGCAGCATAGATGATATGGCCGGGCGTGGATTTGCCGAGTTTAACCACAGCCTCTTCGGCGGCGACATTCCAGTCTGCCTCGGTGTAGGTGTGGGGTTCGGTGTACGGCTGCAGCATGGCCATCACAGACGACATGAGGACAAAGTCCTTGACCTTGGGCTCTTTCAGCGCCGACTCGAGGACCCGGATTGTGCCGTTCGTGGCGCTGTGGATGACGGGTTCCGGGTCGGTCAAGTCGAACGAGACGGGGGAGGCGAGATGGGCCACGGCATCGATTCCTGGATTTTGGGTGTTAGAATTTCAGATCATCTAAGGATTGAGGACCGGATTGACACAATGACACTTGGCTCACCTTTGATAGCTTCATCAAAAGCACCCTCCGCAGTAATGTCGGGCACCACGGCAAACTCGAGCTTGTCTCCATACTGAGCAAGTGCCTCCTTCACCTCGGTGGCAGACCGAAGTGATCGGACGGTACCCCTGACGGAGTGACCAGCCTGGAGAAAGGCTTCGACGGTGCGAGCGGCAATGTAGCCATTGGCTCCAGTAACGAGGACAGTTCTTTTGGTAGCCATTGTGAAGGTGGTGTTATGGGGTGTTTTGTTGATTTTTTGGGGGCCTCTGGTGAGTTAAAGTGGGAAGATGAGATCTAAGTCTTGAAAAAGGGTAGGGAAATGTGGTGGTGGACTGAAGAAAGCGAGTTAATTCATACGATAGCAGGTGGGAGAAAGCAGCGTTTATACATGTCGTGGAGTTGCTGGTGTCACTTACACACGAGGGATTACTGATCAGTGATCAAGAGCCGAGCGCTCAACATCGGTGGCGTTAGTATTGTAGGCACATCCTGGGACCGACTTGATGAGTAAACAGCTTAGTTTTTTATCACCTCATCCAAGGTCTTCACTAACTGTATTTTCCAGTAGAAGCCATGCACGGTTTCAAATAGGCCCCAAGACATTAGCGTAATGTCCATTTTCCAAACATTGCCTCCGAGTTTGGATTACATAGCATGCTTCTCGTTTGGCTTGATGTCTACGTGGTCACAAAGGCGGACTAATCAGCACAAACTCTAGTTTGTGACGCAACTTGATTGCCTTAATTGCTTATTGAACAGGCACTTGGAGAATGTGATGGACTCAGTTGCTACCGGGCGCATCAAGATCGGCATATCCTTACGGGTGTTTGTTGAGTGCGCGCCTCGAGCGTCAGAGGGGGCCAGATTGATGGCCAAAGTATGGTTCGGGGCACCGTCACGGCCATACCACCGGTTCTTTGCTGTTCCATTAGGAATGATTGATCCATGGTGAACACCTATGTGCCAATACAGTGAGTGGGCAGCATCTCTTCCCGCTCTGAGCCAACCCAACGCCCGTTCGTCTTGATTACCTACTGTACCCCCCTTTCCTACGTCATGTAGATGCCCATAGCTCCATGCCGGCCCTGTACAGTAAACAAAACACGCTAAAATTAACGAGACCCATGAGAAAAAACAATTTACAGTAGCAACGCCAACTCATGCTTAAAATAAGTTAAAAAAATAGAAAAGAAAAGTTCAAAACATTCCTTCCTTCGGGACTTTAACAACCGAACCAGCCCCGCGGATCAAACATGCGGCAAAAAACTGGTCCAGTTAACATCCCGATAAACCGACTCCGGGACCACCCGCAAGCTCATAACCGACTCAACCAAAACCGCCATCCTAGCAACCACATACCCCAACACAAACGGCGCATGAATCACCAATTTCGCCCACGGCGGCAGTGCATGCGCAACCTCCAGCAGATGCGTAGCTTCCATATCAAACAAAAGCCGGCCGAGATACGGCGCCAGGTGTGTCCCGACGGGGATGGCGAGCAGGTACAGCACGATGAGGCCAAAGTCCACAGCCGTGGAGACGATCCAGAGCAACCACTCCGTCTGCGAGGGGAAGAAGGTCACCCATGCGAAGCCGATGTGTAAGCCGAAGTAGGCGACTTGGAAGAGGAGGGTGTATAGCATTAATGCCGTGCTGATTCCTTCTTCAGGGAGTACCCTGCTGTTGGCAAGTGTTTTCACAGGGGTAATGCCAGGGGCAATGGGAGGGGCCGTCTGCTTCTTCTTCTCCACAGGTACCACTTGCGGACCGCCGCCAGGGGTTTTCCAACGCCACCATCGTCGTCGTCCTTTCGGAGGAAAAGGGCGAAAGGTAGCATCGAGACCAAACCAAAACGGGGCTATCAAACTCTTCGGGTCCGGCGGCGGCTTGATAAAATCGAGCGGCGTGTGCATATAGCTCGGCGGCAACTTGCTCGCTTTCCCAGCCGCGTCCGCATCACGATCCCGGATATCCGCCATACTAGTATGCATCACAAACGTCCTTTGGGCTTCCGGATCAAGCGGCTTGTAGTACCAAAAGAAGAATGTATGCGCCGTGCAGAGAATATACGCAAGCGTCGTCACCTCCAGCGTGCAGAACCCGAGCCCCGACGCGCCCCGCGCCGCACACGACAGACAGAACCACGCCATCTGCGCCATTGTGACCACGCGCGCGAGGCCGTCGGCCTTGTTCATCGATCGGATGTCCTCGGTTGAGAGGCTGGGCAGCGCGAGGTGCTTGTTAGCCACGAGGTAGGCGAGTTGTTGGCTGTCGACGGGGAAGGGGGGCACGTCGGGCGGGGCTACCACGATGCCGCCCATGTCCGCGAAGAAGGCGTGCCGAATGGTCCATTCGGGGTATCCGAGGCGGGCGAAGGCGCGGGCGGACTGGCGGGCGGAGAGCCATTGTTCGGCGGCGGTGGCGACGAGGACTTCGGGGAAGAAGATGGCGAAGAGCTGCCATTTGAATTTGTTGAAGAGCCACCGGATTCGGTGAGCGCGGATGTGCTGCGGGGGGATGTTGAGGCACAGGGACGTCCAGGTGCAGAGCCAGATGGTGCTGAGGCTGCTGACGAGGATATCGCGCGTTCCGCGAATATCGGCCGATGAGACCCAGCCGTAGACCAAGCCTGTTGGAGGTGGTGGGATGGGTGACATGACGGTGGCCTAGGAGCCTAGGTTGGCCCGGGAGGCTTCCCGAACGGCCGTTTACTCCCCTTTCTCTCCTTTCCTCTGGATTCGAATTTCAGACGGTGTTTAGGTTTCTCTGGATCACGACTTGGCTGAGTTATATTCCATACTTGTCGGCGAAGTGTGCTTGCTTGGCGGGGTCCTTTGGGATTTTAGGCCACCAAGAGACGATGTTGGGCCATTCTGATGGGAACGTAAACTCGACCAGCCGAAAACCGGGGACCACGCCATAACGTATGGACATACTGGCTGGCTGGCTTGCTGGCTTGCTGACAAACTGCTACATCGTAATTAAGCGATCCTCCGTCTGCGATTTGCTCGCGTATGTATGAGCCGCATCAGTCACGATTTGGGGGCGGAGGTTCACAGATTGGGGGAAAACTGAAACCATAAGGCTTTGACATGATGGGTTGGAGGCGCGCCTCGGGCGCTTGCAAGGCAAAGCACGCGGGCTTGTGTGATCCTTCCAACGGCTTTGGACCTAAAAGCGGCTAAATGAACAGGGATGCTTCTGCAGATGGGTTCCATTTGGGTTCCATTCCGCACTGCTCAGCCTCAGCCCACCCAATCCACAACCGTTCTTTCCTGGAGACGACGCAAATGCTGGGCGGGATCAGCCGCTCGGCTGAGACGTTAATGGGGGGGGATTTCCGGCCATGGGGACCCCTCGCCTGTTTTAGATTCCTTTTTTGACTTGTTTCCCCTCGAGCCCCTCTACCTAGGTTGAGGACGCCAACAAGAAACCCACAGCACCTCTGTGTCGCAGTTGAACGCCAATGCCTCCCTCTCATGAGGCCGCTGTGGCCCAAATTGCAAACGTTGTCAAGACCTTTTTCGCCCGGCGCGAGCCGTTTCGAGTTTTTCATGGCTCCACCAACTCGACTCGGCCGGCGCATGGCGCCAAGGTCGTCGATATCAGCCCCCTGAATAACGTCCTCGAGGTCAATGAAGAGACGAAAACCGCCGTGGTGGAACCCAACGTCCCCATGGACAAGCTCGTGCAAGCCACACTCGCCTGTAACCTCGTACCGCCCGTCGTGATGGAGTTTCCCGGTATCACCGTCGGGGGCGGGTTTGCAGGCAGCGCGGGCGAAAGCAGTTCCTTCCGATACGGCTATTTCGACCAGACCGTCCGGTCCGTGGAGCTCGTCCTGGGGACCGGAGATGTAGTGCAGGCTTCGCCTACCGAACGTCCCGATCTCTTCCGGGGCGCTGCCGGCACGGCGGGCACCTTGGGCATCGCTACGAAGCTCGAGCTGAACCTGATCCCGGCCCGGCGTTTTGTCAAACTGGAGTACCACCGGCACAACACCGTCGGAGACACCCTCGCGGCCGTCCGGCGCGCTACAGAAGACCCGTCAAACGACTACGTCGACGGCATCATCTACTCCAAGACGCTCGGCTTGGTGATGACCGGGAAGTTGACGGATGAACTGCCAGGCTCTGCACGACCGCAAACCTTCAGCGGCGCCTGGGACCCCTGGTTCTTCCTCCACGCCAGGAAAAAGGTCGACTCTCTCGACGCCAAACCCAAACCAAACGGCAGCACCACCAACAACAACGGGGAACACCCCGACCCCCCCAGCCCACCAACCGACTACATCCCCCTAGCCGAGTACCTCTTCCGCTACGACCGCGGCGGGTTCTGGGTCGGCGTCCAAGGGTTCACTTACTTCCCCATGGTCCCCTTCAACCGCTTCACCCGCTGGTTCCTCAACGACTTCATGCACACCCGCATGTTATTCCGCGCCCTACACGGGAGCAACATGTCCTTCGGCCAAATGGTCCACGACCTATCCCTCCCCTACGGCACCGCAGAGTCCTTCATCGACTACACCGCCGAGCATCTCGACATCTGGCCGCTTTGGCTCTGTCCCCTGCGCGCCATCGACCGGCCCAGTTTCCACCCTTCGTACTACGGCCCGAGCGATGAAGGGCCGCCACAGCCGATGATCAATATCGGGTTGTGGGGGCCTGCCTCGCAGGACGTGGAAACGTTCATCCAGCAGAACAAGACGCTAGAGAACCGGCTGACGGCGTTGGGGGGGCGTAAGGTGCTGTACTCGCACACGTATTACACTGAGGAGGAGTTTTGGGGGTTGTATGATAAGCCGTGGTATACCGGGCTAAGGGAGAAGTATGGGGCCCAGACGCTGCCGACGCTGTATGAAAAGGTCCATGTGAATGTTGCGAAGGCCGTTACGAAGCAGCGTGGTGATGGAAGTAGCGGGAAAGGGTGGTTTGGGTGGTTGTCTGGCGTTTGGCCCTTCCCGGGCCTGCTTGGTATACGTTCTGCGATTAGGAGTAAGGATTACTTGATCCACCGTCAGCCGGGTTGGACGTATTGGAAGGACACGGAGCTGCGGGTTCGCGCGTTAGCGGGTAGACAAGATGTAGGCAAGGGAACATGAGGTCCGAAACGAACCTGGAATACCCAGGTTTCAACCGCCGTGGCTAGCGGAAGGATCAGGGATTGGTGTTCCAGGTAAGTGCTTGAAGTGGACGTGAAGGTCTGGCGACTTTTTCGATAGTTCATGGTTGGGGTTAGGGTTGCCAATCGGGGAAGCCCCTCATATACCCTGATATATTCTTTCCATATACAGTATTTATCTCAAAGTTACCGTCTAACATGAAGCCAGCCCACATGATACTATCTCTTGGCGACGTGATAAGGCCGTTCCGTGCCTTGAACAAGTGACGACGAGGGCCGTTTAACAAGGCGGACATTCAACCGTAGCGGGCTAACGATATCGAACCCACCCAGAGGCATTTCCGTTTCGATTTACGATGGCTCATTCTTCCACGGCCGGGGGGCGCTCCTCCAAACCCCGGTGCCTGGGGGAGTGGAGGAACGGTTCATCTGGGTGTGATGTTAGTGGGTTAGGGTTATATGAGCTGCTCATACCCCTGTACCACTACATGGCGCCTTCGACCACTCGGCCAAACCTCGAGTTTGGGAGTCGAGCTGGCCCATAAAACCGAGCAGCAGCACGTAAATATGAGGGAATCAAGTAAGGAACTCTGTTTTCTGTGTTTGAATGTATCAGATATATACGTCTAAGCTTTTTTAGGATGTATTTCCCCGGATCTGTCGCGATACCGGCCTTGGAACGTCGTGTTGAGAGCGCAGCACGTTTTCGGATGCAGTTTTGTAATGAAGGGTTAGGGTTGTACGTGTCCTGATCATGGGCCCCTTTTCATACCGGCTTCCACCGTTCTAGTGATATGTAGATGTCGACGAAAGACATCCGGGTTGGACCTGTCATAGCTCCCTTACATCTGCCTCCTCCTGTTTGTTTTCCGGGAGACTTCATGCCCGCAGTAAGCTTACGTTTATCACGGGAGATGGTACGCCTTGGTGACGTTGGGAGAAGTTGGTCAACTTCAACAATATTGTGAGTGGGTATGTAATCATTCAACAAGCCCTCTCGGACTTGCGTGACAGTATTCATTTCAACATTAGCTAGGTAGTCAACATGGACTACGAAGAGCACAGCCAGTCTTCATCCTCCTGCCCCCTTCTTCTAGCCTTTCTACCCTCAGCCAAATCCTACTCATCGCCGATCCGAAGTGCTCACTGGCCACTGTACCCAACCCAAAACTGGAGCAAACCCGCTGCCCTTAAAACGCCAGGCTAAGCATAAAAATCACTTGACCCTGCCTACTTGCCCCTTCCCCCCTTAATCCCTATCCGGTGAGCTGTCCTGCCGTTCGTTTTGACCCACCCCATCACCCCCCGGAAACAATAACCGTGGTTGGTCAGGCTTTGTTCCACCGTATCATATCTATCGTACTCTCATTGGTTTCATCAAGGCTCGGTAAGCTTCCTCCAGCTGCTTCAAGCTTCTCGACATGTCGTCGTTTGCCAGCAAATTCCACGGCTCTCGGTTGTCGCGTGTTACGTCTTGTGGAATGGCGTAGGCAGGCATTTCATGTCGGCCCGTTAACCAGATCGTTTTTGATCTTGCGGGCTGCGTCTCGAGGTCGGAAACGTTGACAGGAGGCGGTGCCCTGTAAGCCGCCAGGCGCCCGCAAGTCGCTTGAGGTTGTTTTCGATATATCGATCGGTGCAAAGCGATGATTCGCTTCGAACCTCTGGATCAACGGTCCGTTTGAAGTTAATCCATCGGTGGTTAAACCATGGCGCCCTCTGTTTCAACGGGTGCCAGGTTCTGTCCCAAGCAGTTCGTCCACCCGCTAAGGCAGGTGTCATTCGATCAGCATTTTCTTGACCCCGCCCACTTCGCACAGGCCAAGGTGTCGAATCGCCTCCCTCTCGGTTGCGAGAATAATAGAACGGTCAGGTAGAACCGGATTGTTTGGGTCGACATGCGAAGCATCCTTTGCCGCCTGTTCGATCGCGTCCATCTCCTCCTTGCAAGCCTGTTGGTCCATGGGGCATACCACGATCGGTTGGCGCAATGTGATATCTCTTGCAGAAGTCATGTGGGCCTTACAGATGTTAGAGTTGGAACGGGGTGCGAAATTACGGACTAGGTAAGAAGCTTACTTTGATGCTGAGAAAGAATTCGACCTTGTACAAGGTAGATGACGTCGTAAAACTCATTACCTCGTACAAGGGAAAGGCAGGTTTACCTCTCTTGATTATGCCGTCGGGATCCCTGAGATCTCGTGCTGGAAGGACTAGTCCCAGGTTCGTAATATATCCTGCCTCGGGCATCTTCGTGCCGACAGCTTGCGTGTGCTTGGCGATCTTGTTGATCTTTTTGGTTGGCTCGTCTCCTTCTGGGTTGAACGTGATCTCCTCCTCAATGGTGAGTGTGAGCTTTTGTATTGTTACTCTTTTCGCCTTGTTGAGGTAATCTGGATTTGGTGAGAGTTTGACATAGACCGTGATGGGGTCTAGGGGTCCGTAACTCCACTTCGGAAGCGATATGCCTAGTGTTACCACATGGTCGGCTGTTGCTGCCCTCGTCTCCGGTCGGTTGTACATGCCGAACGTCGAGAGCGTGTCATACCGTTGGAGTGGAATCGGAAAGGTATACCGGTTCTGCATACTGGACCCTTGTTGGACGGTGACAACTAGCTCGTAGTATGTCTCGGCGATTCGACTCGGTAATTGTATGCTCGCTGGTGGTATGCGGCGGTTTGTCTCTTCGCCGCTGCGCCCGAATGGGATAAAAATCTGGAATGGGAGGTCCATCGCAATCACACTTTCCGCCTCTTTTCCCGAAACACATCGAAAGAGCAGCACCTCTTTCCCCACTAAATCGACCGTCTCCCGTCGGGGCGTCCCAAGATGGCGTTTCGCGACATTCTCCGCAGCTGGGTGTATCGTTTCTCGTCGTTGGAGGCATATTCGTACCATAGACACGTTCACGGGGGCTGAGAAGCCAGCGCCGGGGCGAATTTCGACTTTTCCTACAATCCTGGGCTGTCGTTGACAGAGTCAGCACGGCGCACACAGCAAAACAACATGCGACAGCATAACATATGGCGACTGCTTGTGGAGATAAGATCTGAATTTCCCGTGCACATCTCAACTACATGGGAGAGGGCCTTGGAGGGCGAAACCTACCAAAGTCGCAGAAATGCCAGGGTAGCCCACCAGGAAGCTGCTGTTTGGTGGGCCGGATATCCTCACGGTCGCAGGAGTGTGTAACGTGTTCATGGCCAAGGCAGCGCTTGCGCGGCGATTGTTGGGGGAGGCTGATTCGGAGGGTGCGTTGCGGCAGGATGAGCGCCAGCGGTGGTGGTGGGCAGTGTTGTGGTTGCCTTCGTGGGTTTACCTAGGACAGGCGCAACGGCCTTTGCCGGTCATCGACGGGAGCCCGTTGAGCCGATGTTCGTCTGTTTGGGTTCACGTCGGTTGACCCGGGATGAGGGGCCGCTCGGTGGTGTGCTTCTGGCGCTGTATCGATAAGGTGGTTGGCGCTTGACTGGCGTCGGCATTGGGGTCCGCCGAGGGGCGCCAGGGCAATGCGGGACCTGGGTGGCTTGCGATCGTTGGTGTGCGCTCCCGCTCTGATCCCCGATTGAAGGTCGTTGTCGTCGCAAAAACAAGATCGTTGGCGAGTGGAGGCTTCGCAAACCCGTCTTACGCAGTAGGTTCGGATGGTCGACTGTACCCCGACATTACCTAGCTGCAAGGCAAAGCAGGCTGAGCGCGCAGCTGGGAGGAAGGTTGTGGTTCGGTAACATTAGCTCAAGGGGGGCATGGATGGTGGGGGTGGTTACGAATGGGCCGAATGGAATCGCCTCCCCAGCCGCCGAGGCCTTTCTTCCGTCGGATTCGCTTGTCAGTGCGCACGGGACGGGGGTAATTTGTCGCACTGGGCGAGCCTTTGGATTGTGCACAGAAGCAGAAAAACTTCAACCCCGATCTCGGTGTGATTTGAGAATATCTAGAATGAGAAACGGAAATTCCGCCGGTCCTCGCTGAGCGCACAAGTTGAGTCGTAGCAGGGATTAACTAGTGTGAAAGTCGCCCTTCAACAGCTGGCACCTGGGCACCTACAATAGCTTATGGTTTGAAAGAGCTTCACCCAAAAAGGGCCCAAGTTTCAGTGGCTGACACAGAACACGACCGGGTCCCACTGGGAGGGTTATTCCGGGGCGGAAACCAGGGACGGATTAACTAACGAAAACAAAAGGGTGGCACGGGTATTTCATCTGGTCCAACCTCCCGCTTTCTTGATGCCCCTCGTCAAATACAAAATTACGGCAGCAAATTTGGCTGATTACTGAATTGGAGACAAGGAATAACAAGAGAGCTAAGACACTTTCAATTTCATCAAGTTTTGGCACGAAAATCGGAGGCCGTTGTGAACTGGAAGGAATACCCCAAGCTCTCACGTGCAGTATTTCGGTGCGAAGTTCTCGAAACAGGTAGCAGTGATGCCTGTTGGGAAGCTGCAGGTCATCCCACAACAGCGCGCCAGACCCCTGGCGGGTTGTGGGGCTTGTCTCCCAAAATACCCCGCCAAACGCCCCATATTAATTCATCTAACCAAAGGTCCAGGCCACGACCATCGAACTATGGACACTACCCCCGAATCTTCGCCCGACCAACGGGTCAGCGCTGTGTTCAAGAACTACTATGTATGTGTAAAGTAATGAATTACTTCGAAGTTATAATTTCTCCCAACACCTTTATCTGAGCATCCTGTTTCTGTCTCTCACCTTTTCGTTTGACTTTCGTTGGCTCTTCTTCCAGACCTTTGTTTCGCTTCCCCGCTATCACACTTCCAAACAACACATGATGAGAATAGATGGCCATCTTTACAATGTGATCTTTGCGGTGTGATAGCACGTAGTTTCGGCCAAGTAACAGAATTCAGAGGAACTCCCACACAATGGAACAGGCAAAAAGAGGTAAAATTAGAATACTCTGTACCAACGATCGAATTGTCGACAGAGGAGGATTTCAGGTCAATAGGCCCAGGTAGGGGTGGCCATAGCTCTCAGCCTTGTGGAAACGCCAAGCCTTCGTTGATGTCAGCGGGCTTTGGCGCGGTATTCGGGAAAGTGCTGGCGCGTTTCAGTTTCAATCTAAAAACCATGAACCACCAATAACACAACCACTCTCTTGCTGAGACCGAGCACCATGTCGGTGACGCTGCATACCACCCACGGGGACCTCAAAATTGAGGTCTTTTGTGAAAGTGTCCCTAAAACTGCAGAGGTGAGTTTTGACAACCCGTAGTGGGATAAACCCCCAAAGGGGAGAAAACTCGGGTCAAGGACCACATCGGCTAACACCAACGCCCTGCATTCCAGAACTTCCTCGCTCTCTGTGCATCCTCCTACTATGATGCCTCCCCCTTCCACCGACTGATCCCATCTTTCATGGCCCAAACCGGGGCACCCGCCAACCCTTCCCCACCCGACAACCCCAAAGGCGGGCGGTCCATCTACGGCCCAACCTTTGAGGACGAGATCCGGCCCGGCCTACGGCACCACGAGCGCGGCATTCTCAGTATGGCCAACAAGGGCCCGCACACCAACGGCAGCCAGTTCTTTGTCACATTCGCCGCGGCACCGCATCTCGACGGGCTGAATACCGTGTTTGGGAAGCTGTTGGGGGACGAGAGTCTCGCGACGCTGGCGAAGATTGAGGCGGTCGAGGTGGATCGGAAGAATCGGCCGGTGGAGTCGGTTCGGATTGAGAGGGTTACGGTGCATGCGAATCCGTTGGCGACGTGATGGGACGTTGGGAGAAAAGCGATAGGTGGTCTGAGAATATAGGAAGTGGACGGCTGCCCCTGCTGTATTGCGAGGCCCGGGGCCGCACATGGGAACATTTGGCACCGGTAATGAGGGCCTCACTATCCTGGTGCAGGTCAGTAGTCGTCCAGCCCTACGGCAAACCTCCCGTTCTCCAGAGTGGGAAGGCACACGCCGGGTGGGGCCCACAGACAGCTGAGGAACGGACCCCCGGGAGACACCGCGGCTCGCGTGGTTAGTCGAGCGCCGCTGCAGAACTGTGATATGTAACAAGGTGGTCCTGGCCAGGTTCTTGATCTGCTGCTCATCATTGGGCCATGAATGTTGGCTGCTCGATATAACAAGCCTAAGAGGAGGAGCAGTATGAAACGGTGGATAGCTATTACTGCAGCGAAAGTTGGGGCGTAGGTAGTTACGGCTGACTGTCAAGGTTGTTGAATAAATTTAAGATTCATCAGGACCAATTCCTCATGTTAATTCGTTTGGAGTGCACCCGGCATCGGTACATCTCGGTATGTTCTGCTCCTTTTCTACGCTGCAATGAAGTACTAGCAAGAAAGCCGAAGTTCTTCTGTAACTACCGATACTTGACGGCCACGACTAGAAATGAGCAACAGGTTCTTGATGTCCTTTTTGTCCTCAGGTCTTCAGTTCTAGCCTTGCACCCGCATGCGTCTTCGGAATAAATAGATAGGGAAGGGTAAAGAGCACCCGAGCCACGAAACAATAACAATAAAGGGGGATATCTAAGTTGTGTGTGTATGTGTGTGTGTGCGTGTTAAGAACAAGTCCGCCTCGAAAACAACGCCCGTATCATCTAGTTTCCACTGGATCCCATCAAATGACAAGCAACCGACCGATACAGAGTAAGCCTCCCAAAAACACTACGAAAAGCGAGGAAAATCAGAAGCTCCCTCCACCACCACCAGGATACGGCTGATATTTCTTCGTGGGGTCCGGGCCTTGAAGGGGCACCTAACCCTTCCTCCGCCGCTTGGTTCCCCGTTCGGGGCTGTTCAACTCCGGCCTAGCGATCTCCTCAGTGCCCGCAGGGCTTGGAGAATTGTTGCCGGTCGATGCCGCTTCAAACACCCTCCCTGATTGATATCCGGCGGTATTTGCCCCTGCACTAGCACCCGTACCGGTACCAGCAGTCGTGTTGATCCCCAAGCCAGTAGCGCCCAGATTAGTCCCAGCAGCTGCAGCACTGCCAGTCTGTCCGCCAATACCACCCGCGCTAGGCCCCGTGCCAAAGGGGTTCGGATCATTCCCGTCCAAGGTAAAATTGAAGTCCGGCTCATCTCCTCCAGGTTGCAGACCGATCCCATCTAGCCCGCCGCCATCAAATCCTGCGGAATCCGCGAAGGCGTTGTTGTTCAAGAACTGATCATAGTCAACTACATTGTCAAAGTAGCCCGTGTTGGGGTTGCCGTTTTCGTCGAGACCTGGAATCCGGCCAGATGGGCTCAACGGACCAAGCAGGTTGGTCAGGGCGTCGATCTGGTCCGACTGCTCCGTCTGCAGCCGCTGCAGCGCGTCGAGCTCAGTCTGGGTGTTTTGGATATCATGTAACGACGGCATCTGGAGCGAGGAGAGGTTCGGCGAGAGGGCGAGGCTCGGTGATGGGGCCACAGGCGCGGGTTGTGTGGGATTCGATGCTGCTGGCGGGTTGACGGGGGGAACGGAGTTGGGGTTGGTAGCGGGCGGGATGTTGGCGTTGCTACCGGCCATGATATTCAACATCCGCGCCCGCTGGTCGTCGCTCATGCTCGCCGAGGTCTTGGCCGCCACATCAGGCAGGTCGAAGCCCGATGCGCTGTTGACAGCGTTGGTGTCCTGGATAATCTTCATCATACCCTCCTGGGGATTGCTCCGAAGCTCATTCTTGATGTAGGACGGGGAAGAGGTGTCGCTGGGAGAGGGATCAAACAGCTCGGTGATAGTCCCCATTGGAGGCGCCTGATCTGACGGCTGTGCGGCCGGGGTAGGGGTACTCGATGAAGACAAGGAGGTCACTTTGCCCGGTTGGTGGTGGGGAATGGGAGGTAGCAGACGCTGCTGTCTTTTAGGAGTGCCTACTGTCGGTACGTTTGAAGCCCGGTTAACGAACCCGCCCAGGTCAACAACGCCCCCAGTTGGCGAGATTTGTGTTGGAGGATGGCCCTGTGCATTGGGTATGATGCTAGCTAGCAGGTCTTGGACAGTCTGCGTTCCACCCTGTTCTTCCAGTGATTTCCGAAACACATTGGCGAGAAAGTTAAGGATGGCATTAATAGAATTCTCGTGCCGCTCGTGCATGTTCTGGAAGAGCAGAGCCTGCTGAAAGAGTTGGGTCTGCTCCTGCCGTAACTTGTTGATCATGGTGGAAATGGCCGTCTGTTGTTGTTGGATCCTTTCGATCTGAGACTTGACTTGCACCAGATCTTTCTTCTGAAGGGGACCTAATTCGTGGGAAACTGGGGCTCGCGGCGTTTGGGCGGCCGATGCATTCTGTGTGATGTATGTTTCGTCCACACCCTCATCTTCGCTCTCGACATCGGCCTCATCCTTCTTTCCCTTCTTTTTGCTGTTCCCACTCTTAGGTTTGTTAATGAGCCACAAGAGGTTTGGGTGGCCGCGGCGGAAGTACGGGTTGGAGTATTCGCTTGGGCTTTTGTTTTTCCTCTCGCTGGCCTTCATAGAGTTATCGGAAAGCCCCACGCGCTTGTGGAAGCCATACATGTTCAGTTGGCGTACGAATGATGCATAATTGTTATGCTTGAAGAGTTCGGGAATCAAGGTCTTGGCAAATTCGTCCTCATCAAGGACAATGAACGAGTCCCCTTTATCAGACCAGCGGATTAACTCAGTGTTCCGCGATTCGTCCAGGAAGCTGTATCAAGATATTAGCACCGTAAGTTTCCCACATCAGGGCGAAAGGGGGGTAGACAGCGGGGGGATAACGTACCTGCTAAGCTTCTGTACAAACGGTGGGATCTGCTTCCGCTTGGCCTGCGCATCCCGTTTTGCCCTTTGTGCACTTTCCTCAAGCCTTTCTATGTTGTCATGCTCGTCCACGCCCGAATTCGCCGGTTGAAGAAACGCAGGGTCCTCGCCGTACCCAGTCCAGTCAGAGGCGCGGTTGAACGTTGCGCCGGTAGCAGTCGGAACCAAGGCCCGGCTATTCTGCCGCCTAGCCAGAACATTAGAGGGAGCAGGAACACCCTGACCGTAGGTATTTGTTGCCGGTAGCATGGGAAAAGAATTCAACCCGGCGTTTCCGGTGTCGACGAACCCGGTTCCATCTACGCCGTTCCATCTGAACATCGGATCTGGCTGCACGGAGGGGAACGACTGTGGGATCTGGGGAATCTGACCCATGGGGGGTGGTCCTGTTGCCGGGCGCTTCCTCGGGTTGTTGGGTGCCGACATAGCAGCGGCGAACGTATGCTCGACGAACTGGGACCGACAGCGAGACGGCCCAGGTTGTCAGCAACGGTCGGTAATCCGGCGGGGAGCCTCGCGATTGGAGCGTAGTTGTTGTTTCGCTTCTTGTAGCGTGCCGAATTCCCGGTGTTCGTCGAAGTGTAACGCGGCACCAAGCTCGGGTTGGGGCTTTTGAGTGTTCTTCGTCGGTCGCTTCGAAGAGGAAATGTCGACGACAGGGATGCGCGTCGCGGTTGATCGTAGAAGGAAGGGGTAACGTCAAGACGGGCTGACTGCCGGGGACCTAGGGCAGTATTACACAAGATATATATCCCTAACCTGCGTGACCGTGCCGGGTCAAATACAATGCAGCAGAGGTAAGGCGAGACGCCGGGACGTGCCGTGGTCTAAGATATCCCAACAGCGCGACAAGCACAAGGCGAAATGGTTCGTCCTTGTTGAGGGAGAAGGCGCCCGTACGATTCGTTCTTTGTTCGTTGCGGAATAGCCAGCAGCGCCGCGACCAATTGTCTTGCGGATGCGATTGTTCTGGAAGCCTTGGAAAGGGAGGGTCGCTGGAGCCTCGAGGTGTCGAAACAATGCGCGATGGGCCTTGTCTAGGAGCCTTGTGTTTGTTGCAGCTTGGCTCCGGTTGGTCGACGGATAGAAGCTTCGTGGCCTGTTTTCGACGCGGTTTGTGATTCTTGAGCGCCGGGAAATGGAGGTTGCTTGATGTGGCTAAATACTATCACGACCGCGTTTGATGGTATGTTGCGGAGGCTCGAGTACGATAGTCTGCGAGTCGATACCGATACTTTGGCTGGTTGGCGGCTCGCGGCTTCTGGCGTGGGCCCCATTGATGCGATCTCGATGAGGACAGCGATTTTTTCGCTTCGTTGCCCAATCACATCACGTACTGATAAAAGACCCACATGCGGGGTCGGCAACAAACGATGCGGCCGAGACTCCGGCGTAAGAGAAACGACAGGACAGTGGCCGTATTCATTCACAGAGCCGTCCGTATAATAAGAGCGAGTGAGACAGCGAACAATGTCGGACTCATATAACTCATATACTATGTATCCCTTTGTATTCAAAAATTCAAAGGAGCCTTCGGACATCGGCCTTGCATATCGTTGAAAACCGATCCAACAAACAGTTCAATGACATGATGTCGTTGCCCCACATGAGCTTTTCACCCCGAATGTTGCTCTGTGGGGACGGTGGCTCTGGTGGGTTGTCCCAACGGCGGGCCCCCATTCTCTCGCGACCCAGCTCGGGGGAGGCCGTTGGGGGCATCTGTGTGTTAAGTTGTTGGCACACATTCTGAAAGACGACGGCAGCGGAAACTGATACCAATTTCTCAATCCAAGGGGCAATCGAAAAGCACGACCTCGCGGCGAAAGGAGTAAATCAGAGAGCAACGGTCCAACCTCCGTATGGTATCAAAGATTTGCTACTGTATTACCTCAGAATACCCGGCCGGCTTTCTTACGCATCCTCAAACTACACTTCAACGTCCTTTCCGATCTCTATCACGGCCACGGTCGCGATCCCTTTCCCTATCCCACGCTCGCGAGGACCCACCAACACGAGCGTTTTTCCCGGCTCGCTTGTCTTCTTTCAAGGTCCGCGCTTTCTCTAGAGGGTCAATAACAACCAGCTCTTCCTCAGCTTTCTTGCGGTAACTAAGGTCTTTGCCAAGTTTATCCGCAGCAAAGCTCAGGGTATGAGACATCCACCCTTCGTCGTTGCTCTCCTCCTCAACCTCTTTATCCCACGCCTTGCAGCTTTGGCAGTTGGCAATAAAATGCAGATCGCAGACATCCCCTTCCTCCTCCGGATCGCCATCCTCTTCGGCCTGGTTCACTGTTGGTTGCACCGTCTGCTTTTCGACGGGCGCATGCTCCAATTTTGAGCGGAAAGCTTTCAAGAAATCCAACGCCTCTTGTTCCTCTCTTGTGTTGTTATTATTTCCACCTGGCCGCCGTTTCCGCCCGCGTATTGAAGTATCCGGTACCATCATCTCAAGCGCCGACTTTGGCTTTTCTTTGACCGGCTTCACATGGATTGTCCGCTTCATTGATGCTTTGACTGCGGCGATCTCATCGTTGGTCTGTTCAAGGAGTGACTTTCTTGGGGGAGGCTTCGGCTCAGCAGTGAGCATGTCGCTGACATGAGTTTTAGGTGGCGTAGGCTTCTTTGCTGCGGCTGGCTCTGGTGACGGAGAAGCTTGCCGTGGTGGCGCCGGTGGTCTCTCGGTTATGGATGTTGTCTCTTTTTCGTTTATCTTCTCTTTCTTCGCCGGCGTTCGGACCGGGATGTTCCTTTGAACAGCTGGCTCCTCATCCACGTCCATGATGATACGGGTATCAAATTTGGTCTTCTTCAGCACCGGCATTTCTTCTGCATCCCCTTCTTCGTCTCCGAAACTCAGCAGCTGTTTACCCCCTTTACGCTTCTTCTGCTTCTTCTCCACTGTGGTCTTCTGCGGCGCCTCCTGCCGTACCCTTCTCTCCCGCTTCTTCATATCATCGAAAGGGTTGATGAGAATCTCGATATGTGTAATTTTCAACATATACAACGGCCGCTCGGTGCCTTCCGCAACCTCCGCCTCCCCCATCTTGGCCAGGTTGTAAATGGTATCACCTCCCACTCGGCCGAACATCGTGTTCTTATTCGTTAGTTCCTCAGATTTCCCCAACGTGAAGAAAAACTGGCTCCCGTTCGTGCCGGGGGTGCCTTCGTTGGCCATGCCTAAGAGACCGCGGCGATTGAACTTCAATCGCGAGTGAAATTCATCCTTGAAACCCACGCCCCCTGGACCAGCGTTCTGCCCCTTGCGTTGGTCGAGAGGCCAGGGATCTAAGTCACCGCCGAACGCGCCGCCATCGTAGATTGACTCGCCTCCGTGTCCCGTCCCGGTAGGGTCGCCGCCTTGGAGAATGAAGCCAGGAACTAAGCGGTGGAAGATGGTGTTATCGTAGTAGCCATCCAAGCTGAGTTGCAAGAAATTCCGGCAAGTTAGGGGCGTCTGTTTCGCGAATAGCTCGACTGCGATCTCGCCTTGTGTTGTGTGGATGACGACCGACGCGGTCGGTTGCGGCTCTAGGTTGTAGATGGACGACATTGTCGCGTTCGGAGCGGCCACGGGCCCTACAGATGTTGTGGTTTTAACAATCCAGTGAATACGGCCTCATCGGTGGGTATCGCGAAAAGAAAACTCGGTAATCGATGGTCCGCAAGCCGGACGATGATGAAAAAGAACTGTGGTTCAAGCTTGCAGGAAGCTGGAGCTCGGCGTTCATTCCTTGCCTGCCGCCGGCAGAATACGCACCGCCACACTTCGAGAACCAGCCACAGTATTGTGGGGTACTTCCACAGAAGGCTGGGTGCCGCCGGAGCTTCGCTACCAGTCTATCTCGACCTAAACAATTTCAGTTAGCAGTTGTTCACGGTCTGTGAGGATTCTTCATGGCCGTGGAGAACAATTCCTTCCGTGGATCTAACGTTAACCATCCCACGCCGCAACCGTGCCTCAGTTGGTTTTAGAGCTGTGGCAGTGCCGTGGTGGGATAAATGCGGGGCTGATGTGCGGCAGCGGATCCGGCTGGGTTGGCGCCTTGGTTGTCGTCGTCCAACCCCCGGAGCTTGCGACTGCAGCTCTCCAGCAACTCGACGTCGCTATCTCCTACGCAACCCGTCAATCTCGATCTGTTGCTGTGACCGCTTGCTCATTCAGCACCCGACGGCAAGCCCCCCTAATTGAAGCCTCTTCTACTCACCGACCACCAAGGAAGCACAATCAATCACGATGGGTGACCCTCGGGATCCGTCTTCGTACCGGGTGACACCCAGGATCCGTTACAACACTGTTGGCGGTGTCAACGGTCCGCTCGTCATTCTTGACAACGTGAGCTCTCTACTTTAATACCTTGCGACATCTAGCGCATTTCGTTGGGGATAAGCGTCTAAATACGGTTTCAGGTCAAATCCCCGAGATACAATGAGATCGTCACCCTCACCCTTCCCGACGGCACTCAGCGGTCCGGTCAAGTGTTGGAGACTCGAGGTAAGCTTTTGTGGATTGGAGACTCATTCCGTACTTCCCAGACGCTAACAATGTGGTTAGGGAGCAGGGCCGTCGTTCAGGTAGCGCCCCCGATTCGATCGTTCGACAACGAAGTACTGATTGGTAGCGCAGGTTTTCGAAGGCACAACTGGCGTCGATGTGAAGAAGGTGAGCAGCGGCCCCGGAACAATGATAAAGGGCATATGGCTGACTTGGATCAAGACTCGGGTTGAATTTACAGGAGAGAGCTTAAAGCTCGGCGTGTCGGAAGACATGTTGGGGCGTATCTTCGACGGCTCTGGTCGTGCTATCGACAAGGGCCCCAAGGTGCTCGCTGAGGAATTCTTGGATATCAATGGCAGCCCCATCAACCCTTACTCAAGAGTAATAAACCGTCCCATATTCGATCCGCTTCATCGTTGCGGCTGCTAACTAACCCACCTAGGTCTACCCCGAGGAAATGATCTCGACCGGTATCTCCGCCATCGACACCATGAACTCAATCGCCCGTGGCCAAAAGATCCCCATCTTCTCCGCCTCCGGTCTACCACACAACGAAATTGCCGCCCAGATTTGCCGGCAGGCTGGGTTGGTGAGCAAACAGGGCGTGACCAACAAGGGCGTCCATGATGGCCACGAGGAGAATTTCTCAATCGTCTTCGCCGCTATGGGTGTGAACTTGGAAACTGCTCGCTTCTTCACCCGCGATTTCGAAGAGAACGGGAGCTTGGAGCGCACCACACTGTTCCTTAACCTCGCTAACGACCCCACGTATGTCTTGTCACGGCGATTCGGCGTGGGAAGGTCAACAACGTTTGCTAACCGGTTAATAGTATCGAACGTATCATTACCCCCCGCCTTGCCCTCACGACGGCGGAGTACTACGCATACCAACTCGAGAAGCACGTCCTGGTCATTCTCACCGATCTCTCCTCGTACTGCGACGCCCTTCGTGAGGTTTCGTCCGCCCGTGAAGAAGTGCCTGGTCGTCGCAGTTACCCCGGGTACATGTACACAGATTTGTCAACCATCTACGAGCGTGCCGGTCGTGTCGAAGGTCGTAACGGCTCGATCACACAGATTCCGATTCTTACCATGCCCAACGACGATATCACACACCCGATTCCCGACTTGACGGGCTACATTACCGAGGGTCAGATCTTCGTTGATCGTGGTTTATACAACCGTGGTATCTACCCCCCGATCAATGTGCTGCCGTCGCTGTCGCGTCTCATGAAGTCTGCCATTGGCGAGGGCATGACGCGCAAGGACCACGGCGATGTGTCCAACCAGCTGTACGCGAAGTACGCCATTGGTCGTGACGCGGCGGCCATGAAGGCTGTCGTCGGTGAGGAAGCCCTTTCGGCCGAGGACAAGCTGTCGCTCGAGTTCCTCGAGAAGTTTGAGCGCTCTTTCGTCAGCCAGGGTGCATACGAGTCACGCACCATCTTCGAGTCCCTCGACCTGGCGTGGAGCCTGCTGCGCATCTACCGCAAGGACATGCTTAACCGTATCCCGGCCAAGGTGCTCAACGAGTTCTACCAACGGTCGTCGGCGGACCGCAAGGGGAAGGGGAAGGCCAAGCCCACAACCAAGGACACCAGGGACACCGCGGCACCGGAGGAGGAGAACTTAATTGATGCATAAACGTGGGCGCAAAAGAAGAGATTAGGGGGTGAAGAGACAAACGGGGAGGTAGGGAATGCATAGCGTACACTCGGCCCGCTCTGCTCGGGAGCGATTGTATGTAACTGATATTTTCGTGGTTGGAGGTAGTAGATTGGAATTTTGCAAGTATTTGTCTTTGACTATGTTAGTGGAGGAAAGTTCGGTGGAGGAAGTGCCTCGCTTCGCTGCGACGACATCGAGAAGGGTGTAGCGTCATGGTTCCCAATGATCTTGCCGGCCCGTCGGCCGAGTATGCCACCATCCGTCATGTCCAGGTCCTTGGCGTCAGGTCAAGCTTTCCATGGGTTGACGGGCTTTTTTCAGAAGGTTAAGAGTGGCTTGACGGCACCACACAAACATGGCAACGAAGGACAGGGGTGTAGCTTGGGTGGAGTCATCCCCGCATTCGCGAAGCCGCATCCGCACCAATCACTTCTTGAAGCGCTTTTACCTGAACGTCACTCCAATTTTACGTCCCGTCCGGACCGACACTTTCCCCAGCCTTTCGCTTGCTACAAGCCGGTCAGACTAGCTGCTCGGTCCTTCACAGGCCGTTTTCCCAGAGACGGAGACGATGGGACTCTTCTCCCGTTGCAAACAAATCTTTTGGTAAGCCAGAGCTCGCGAGATTACCCAGAACGACGGACGAAAGAGGATCCGACCGACCACGTCCCCAACTGGCCCCAATTGGCTCGTTGGACCGCTCAGCTGGTTGAGTGAAAAGGCGGGGAGCTGCAAGCGCAACGTGCTTTGTTTCCCCAACTTCCTCTTTTGGCGCGAGAGAGGCGTTATGAGTTATGATCAGCGCTGCGGGCGTTGGCAAGGTCGGCCTTTTGCCGTGTTCTTGGGGAACAGCTCGTGCGGAGGAGAATGTGGAAGGGGACAAGATGGGGTCAGGGAATGCTTGTGTAGCCGGCTCCCAGGTTTCGTTCTTCAGCCCCAACATTTCCACGAGGCTAATTTACTCTTCCCGCCTGATGTCCTACACTACACTAGTAAACCACGAACCGGAGATTCTTCGGACGGCAGGGCAGCAATCCACCCGCTCGTCACGAACAGGGCCGGTTGAATTATCCCGTCCACCAAACAACCCTTGACAGGCAAGACGGGCACACCAGAACGAAGGTTCGCTCGGTTCAGTTCCCCTCCAAATTTGTCTGCAGGTGCAACCCTGGCAAGGCAAACCCAACACCAAACCCTTGGTTCAATCCTCTTCCAAGTACCACCCCCAATCGGGTGCAGAAGTGACGTTCGTCCCATGTGCACACATCCTGGCACGGTAGCACTCTCTCGCTTCCACCGACCCGACACGCATCTTTCCACATTCCCCCTCCCTTCATTTGGGGTCACCCGCCACGCTGGACTTTTCGTGAAGTCGTCGTCATTGGATTGGCATAAATACCCTTGCCAGTCTTGCTTGCTTGCGCTCCGGGTTCCTTGATCCCCCGTCTTTCTCCTTCTTGCACCACGCCCGTAACAATTGGCGGTCTCAGCAAGAATCATTATGCGTCCGTCACTCGTTTCCGTCTCTGCGGCCATCTGGCCTTTGGTTGCGGCATTGGAGACTCCGGCTGGTCACGATGGCCATGATGTCGATGCGAATGGGAAATACTGGATCTACGGCGACGGTATTGCTGCGTCGTTCATTCAGTACGGTGCCTCTGTTTCCAACCTGATCATCGAGGATAAGAATGGCGTCCCGCGGGATCTGGTAATGGGCTGGGACAAGGCCAGCGACTACCCCGCCGACACCACCCACCCTCACTTGGGAGGTGTACCCGGCCGATACGCCAACCGGATCAAGAACAGCACGTTCGAGATCGATGGCAAGAAGTATCACGTCAGCGCCAACGAGAACCCCACGAAGGATCACCCGGACGGTCTCGACACGCTCCACGGCGGCAAAGACGGCTGGGACTGGCGCGACTTTGACGTGGTTGCCCACACCAAGAACTCGATCACCTTCTCGATTGTCGATCCGGATGGCAAGGAAGGGTTCCCGGGCGAGGTCATCTCGTACGTCACGTACACGCTGGGCGACCTGACCTGGGATGCCAAGATCGTGGCCATCGCGACTACCAAGAAGACGCCCATTATGCTGTCTAGCCACACGTACTGGAACCTGGACGGGTTTGCCAACGACGAAACTGACACCATCTTCAACCACACCTTCCACCTCCCCTACAGCGGGCAGCGGGTCGCCGTCGATAATATCCTAATCCCGACGGGCGAGATCTTGAACAACCGCAAGGGCTCCGTCAATGACTTCTGGAGCGCGCCCAAGCAGATTGGACACAGCTTCAACGACCCCGAGATTCACGGAAACTGTGGTTTCAACTGCACTGGCTATGGTACGTTCTAGTCTCCCGGCACGGTCTCATCCTTTGAGGTGACAATACAAGAAACTGTTACTAACTTACACCCCTCGTCTCCAGACAACTGCTGGCTCGTCAATCGCCCTCCGCTGCACGACTGGCGCGCTGACGGTGCCTACGTCGCCAGCCTGTCCTCTGACTGGTCCGGCATCCGCCTCGAGGTCTACTCGGACCAGGACGCTTTCCAGCTGTACTCGTGCAACGGTCAGAACGGCTCATTCCCGCTCAAGAGCACCCAGGGCGTCGGCAGCCGCGCCACCATTGGCGGAGAGTCGCAGTCCACCCGTCGTGATGAGAAGGGCCACGGAAACGGCCATGGAAAGCATGGTACGGTACCCCAGTATGGGTGTGTCGTGCTCGAGGTGGAGGATTATATTGACGGCATCAACAACCCGGAATGGGGCCGTCTGGATAAGCAGGTGTTTGGCCCTGGGTCGGATCCGTATGTGCTGCAGTTCAGCTACCGGTTTTCCGTCGATAAATGAGCGGGGTGAGCAGTTCCGAGGGTAGTTGGGTACCTGGTTTTCTTGTTCGTTTCTTGGCGCAGATACGGTATTTTGGGTATAATCGGTTCTCCGCTGCTGCGCTCGTCGTGGCTGTGATAGTATGCGGTGTACTTCTGTGGGAGCAGTACATACAGAATAGCGGAATATTAAATGGTTAATGTGTTGTTGTCAATACAAAATAGTTACATGTACTATCATTTTGTGAACTTGTTTTCTTTTTTTTGGTTAAGAGATCTTTAGTCTTCTAAAATAAAATTGTTCGTGATGAATCAAAAGTGATTCCGCAGCATTGTAATTAGAAATAGTAGTAGCAAGTTCTCTAAGTAAGTACATAAACTCAACCACACTAGTTTTAATTCCGCAGTCACGAAAAATCATAACTCACCATGCTGGGTATTGTTGATGGATGACCAAGTGTGGAAGCGGGGCGTCTCCATTTGCACATCGCAACCACTCAAGTTTGTCTCTTTCTCAAGATTCAACTTCTGACAATTGCCACGTAAACCGTTCAGGACCGTCAAGCTAAGCCACCAATACCGATAATTATCAGGCAAATTCCGGGCTTTAGGTTACGGCAATCCGAATTTCGTCTTGCCTTCTCATCTGCGCTGTCATTATAACAGACGCCCGCTTTTCAACCTTCGAAAAAGGGACAAACCTGACAAACACACCACAACAACTACTCATAACCTGAAATCACACAATGTCCTCCTCAACCGACCCCCAACACCCCGAAATCTCAATCCCCCTCCACCCTCGCCCCCTCAACCCCCTAACCACCTCACCACCACCCACCAACCCCCTCCCAACCCTCCTCCAAACCCCCTCCGGCCTCGCCCTCCTCGAGCTCCAAGGCTCCATCAACCTCCCACCATCGTCAACTTCCAGCAACAACACAGACGACCCCTCTTCAACCTCACCAACCCCAGTCCCGATCGGAACTTTGCACTTCCCGGATTATCACGCGGGCGAAACCCCGGACGGCGACACGGCTTGGATGAGGAGGGTGTGGATGTATGTGGGGGAACATCAGATGTTGCATGGGGAGGTGAAGAAGCTGCCGAAGGCGGTGGCGGTGTTGAGGAAGAGGGGGGGCGGTAGTGGTGGTGGGGGGGGAGAAGAGGAAGAAGAAGGGCGTGCGGAGGAGTTGGAGGTGGCGGGGGTCGTGAAGTATAAGATTGTGTTCTCGTCGAGGCCGGAGCCGGTGCGGAGTGGGGTTGGGTTGTGAAATGGGTGTTCTTCTAGGGAGTTCACGATGAGACGAGGTAGATTTGTGAGGTTAGAGGGTATGTTTCGGTTTAGTGAGAGCGGAGGAAATTACGATTGAAGATAGGGGACTACTTTGTGGTTTATAGAATGTTCAATGGTCGGGGGCTGCAGGATACCACCGTCGGCGAATGCAGCGGGGGGTTGATTTTGAAGATCAACTTTGGCCTAGCTAGGCTGTACAATGTCTGGCTTTGTCCTCCCAAGCCCCTCCTTGCCATAGTAATCCATAGGATATGGCCCCTTGCCCCAGTCCTCTTTCTCCTCCAGCGCGATTAACGCTTCATATGGCGTCAGCAGCGGCCTTGGGAACGCATACCCCCAGTCGATACTTAGCCGCGGACACGCTACCTGAACCCAACATTCCACATCACTCATCATGGCCAACTTCCCAGGGAAGATCTCACTCAACAGCAGGTTGATGAAAGGGATGCCCATTTGGTTCAACTTGCTCTCGATTAGAGCCATGGTGTGTGGGTTGCCCTGCCTCCCGAGAGATCCCAAGATGAGTCCCCATTTCTTGGCCTTCTTAGCCGTCCGAATAGCATCCCGTCGGATGTCCTGCATCTCGTCGTGACCATATGTCTCGTGTGTGAGCTTGCGTGAGTATGGGTCGTATCGATAGGCCGGGATATTCGGGTTGTGGATCATGATGCTTTCCAGGTGGAAACGGCCATCACCAAGGTAGAGAATCAGGTCCACGGGGGCGTCAGTGTATGTCGAAAGGTTGGGTGATGTGCAACCTAGAATCTCCCCTTTCGACAGCGGTGCGATCTGGGGTACGATGACCTTGAAGCCCGCCTTTTCCAAGGTCGACCGGACACCATGTATTGTCGCATTAAACTGGATTGTCCCTACTAGAGCAAGTGTCTTACCCGGAGAGAAGTTGCGTTCTAGGGTGGCGAGCAGATGTGATGTGTCGATGCTGATATCAACGAACACGTAGAGTGTCTTGATTTTGGTGACATCCACCGGGATCAAACAACTGTGGGCGTAATGAACTAGCAAGTCGCAGCCCATTGCTCGTGCGGTGTAATCGTCGATGCAGCACGCGCCGTAGGTTACGTCGCCCATAATGAGTGTTTCGATACCTGGGCAGAACTCGGTGAGGATGTCGGAAATCGTGGTGGCGAACAGGAGGAGGCCTTCTGGCATCTGCAAGGCTACCTTTTTGGCGGCCAGCGAACGTATCCGGTGGATGGTTTTTGGAATCTCAAAGGAGTAGTTTGCTGGGAGAAGGGATATCGCCGCTTTCAAGGCTTCGTCGTTGAGAATATCGGGAGGTACTTGGTTGAGCATCCTCGGTGCCCTCCTTGGTTGAGCAACTGCGAAGGACGTCAATTTATGTATCCGGGAGCTGGAGAGATTGAGATAGAGTACCTTGAATAGTTCCACTTTCCTCGATTGACGCAGCCCCTGGACTCGATTTCGCGGCTTCGGCCGCAGCTCTCCTGCCGACAAAACGCTTCTTGGGCTGTTTCATCACATTTTCCCTCACCTCCTTCTCCTCTATCTCAGCAGCAACACCGAGGTCTACAAGGACCCGGTCGTCCTCCATTACGGTAGGCGAGCCTCAGAGATATAAAATCTTTTGGTTGTACGTCCTCAAAAAGAGAATAAATAAAAAATTGACCTCTGAAAGTTGGAGCTCGAGGTGACGAGTAGGCGTGCGCAGTGGTACGAATGGGGCGCTAACTGTGCTAATATGAGTACGCAAATAGGCGGCTCACTGTGACGACAAGATGGGTTCAAACAGAGGCATCGCTGCTTTCATTATTGACCTTCATCCTAGCCTCAACCTGTGATGCCCCTCCATGACTGACCCCTCGGCCTTATCGGAGGTTCATTTTCTTATCGGAATTTTGTGCCAAGCCTTGAAGCCGAGATTTGCACGGACCAGCGAGGCTCACCCTGGAAAATGTTAAAGTGGGTACCAAAGGTATAAGCCAATCAAAGCGTGCAAAAATTATGCCCTAAGATTTCCGACGCTCAACCATTGCACACAAAACCTTCACTCCGATTTCCCTGTCTCTGTCCCCAGCATCAACGACGGCCGTTCAGCAAATACCGCCAACATGAAGGTGAGAAAACCTGCTAAGAAACGTGAAGCAATTGATACGACACGGTCATCTGATTTTGAGGTTTCGTGTTTGCGATTTTTGGTTCGATGGTACTAACGAATCTCGACACAGCTGAACATTTCGCATCCCGCGAACGGCTCGCAGAAGCTGATCGATGTGGAAGATGAGAGGAAGGTCCAGCACTTCTACGAGTACGTTTTGTCCTCTTTAGTATCTTGAGAAACACTAATGGCTAACGATATTTTTACAGGAAGCGCGTACGTTCGATCGAATCCTATCGAAGACACGGAGTGATACTGACTTTGAGGACTAGATGGGCGCTGAGGTCCCGGCCGACCCTCTCGGTGATGAGTGGAAGGGCTACATCCTCCGCATTACCGGCGGCAACGACAAGCAGGGTTTCCCGATGAAGCAGGGTGTTATCGCCCCGAACCGTGTCCGCCTCCTCCTCGCCGACGGCCACTCCTGCTACCGCCCTCGCCGTACCGGTGAGCGCAAGCGCAAGTCCGTCCGTGGCTGCATCGTCGGTGCCGACCTTTCCGTCCTCGCTCTCTCGATCGTCAAGCAGGGCGAGCAGGATATCCCCGGCCTGACCGACACCGTTCACCCCAAGCGCCTCGGCCCCAAGCGTGCCACCAAGATCCGCCGCTTTTTCGGCCTCAGCAAGGATGACGATGTACGTGCTTCATGCCACCTATATCCCGTCATCGCCTACTCTGGAGCTGCGTCGATTCCCATCGCGCAGTTCGGGTAGAGTCTGAGCGCAACGACCCTAGAAGCTAATAACGATATTCGGAATTATAGGTCCGCAAGTACGTCATTCGCCGCGAGGTCCAGCCCAAGGGCGAGGGCAAGAAGGCCTACACCAAGGCCCCTCGCATCCAGCGTCTGGTCACTCCCCAGCGCCTGCAGCACAAGCGTCACCGCATTGCGCTCAAGCGCCGCCAAGCTGAGAAGGTCAAGGACGAGGCGGTACGTTGCCCGGTTTTGAAACTACACAGCACGGGGAAGGACCGAACTAACGTGTTTTTTATAGAACGAGTACGCCCAGGTCCTGGCGAAGCGTGTCTCCGAGGCCAAGGCCCACAAGGCCGACGCCCGCAAGCGGAGGGCCAGCTCGTTGCGCAAGTAAAATTGGGGCGTTTGGTAATGGGTCTCTGGTTGTTGCTTTGGGAAAACGGTCACGGCGTGTTTGCTCGGCGGCTCATTTAGGACGTGTACATGGGATAAACACCTTTCACGAATTTCTCAAAACGAGTCTTTGCTTCGAGCACAGGGGCGCTTAAGCGACGCGGCACGAGATCTATCCAACACCCTCACTTAAATCCAGGAACTGCGCCCAACTTGATCCTGTGAATCGTAAAGATAAATTTGGCGATGGATACTAGGCTGATGCAGTTGTGGCAGCTCGGGTTTCGACGACGTAGTTGTAAAACTGCTGCCACTAGTAGTTAGCCGCTGCTGCACCGACTGCGGCGCTCATCGTCTGACTGCGACTTACACTCACGGCCCGGCCAATTTTGCGGCATCAGAGACCGGGTATCACCAATCTTAGTCTGCTAGCTTTTCAATTGCTCAAGGACCCGGACATTTGTAGGCTTTAGCAGAGGAAGAGGAGCCCATGTCGTTTCCATTGTCTATTTATCCTAGTTCCTACTCCTCGATTTGTGGTGTACAATTGAATGAGAGAAAATTCCTTTGTTCCGTACTATGGATTTCCGATATCTGACGTTAGCTGTTGGTCCAGCCTCGAACGGGGAAGCGCCCGCTTCTTCGCTTGCGCTATGCGTGCAATGAGGGCCCATGTACGGATAGTTAGGTCGTATATTACTAGGTGCTGGTTTTGCCTTACTCGCGAGCCCTGCTTCGGAGTCCAGACTTTCGGACCGCTTAGTCGTGTTAGGTACCTGCCTCGTGGGCAAGCGTGGTGTTGGGCGGGTCGGCGTTGGGAACGGGCAGCGCCGCTTTCTCCGTAAGCACCTAACCCTGTCACTCCACTGTCTTGTCCGTTGGTAGCAGCAGTCTTGCCCCTCCTTGGTCAAGTGGGGTTCCAGCAGAAAGTAATGGTAGGTCACGGGTGTACCTTTGCGTTTGATGTGTTTTGTCTGTATAGTCATAGCCGCGCATGGAAAACTAGCTTGAATTAGGGTTTCCAATTGTTCCGGTAAAAACAAAGGACAAATTTTGGCATGATTGAGGGGTTCAGTGTGTGTGAAGTGAAGCAAATCGATAAGAGCTGCCGCCCCACCCGTTGGCAAGCCAGGCTCTTTAAGGTGGCGGTAGTTGCCGTGCCTGAACTTTTTGGCTGCTTGGGACGGGGTTGCTTTGTCCCTGACCACCTGCTGCCGTCATCGCCTTTTGCGAACCTTCCTCCACTACCTACAAAACGGTCCCAACTGCTTTCTTATTACAACCTTCGCACACAACACCATTACCACTGCCATCTTCTGGCGACGACAAGCATTCGCGATATCGACTGCGGCCTCCGACTTCGCCCATTCTGGTGAAAATATCGACGTCTAACTCGGGTCCGATCCCTAAAAGCATCTCGAGACGACCTGCACTCGTCCTCGAGCTTCTTTTGGCGTTGGGGTAGCTTTGCCGTCGCCTGCCGAGAACTCCAGACCAACCGACCTCTCGCAGGCAGTTTTCAACACCATCACCAGTCCTCGAAAAAAATATTCCCCGAGATTGCGCGACTGCTTTTGCGCCGACGGCTTACTACTGCCGTTATTGACCGCAATATTCCACACCTGACCGCTCGCACTCCCGCACCCTTGCGGCTCTTGTTTACAGCAACCGTCCGTTGTCGGGGCGTGTTGGTAGTGGAGGGGGAGCGACAACGTTTTTCAGCCCTCGCGGCTTAGCCGCTTCGTCAAGATGGGCAAAATCACCAAGTCAATGCAGTCCAAACACAGGGAGAATCTGGTGAGTCGCCGTTACCTGTATTCCTGTTGTTGTTTTTTTGTTTTGGTTATGCTGACTCCCACTCCCCCGCTTAGTCTCCTTGGGTTCGGGACTTTGCTCTGGCCGCGGCATCGACACCGCTGCCCCTAATACCCGACAAGCTTGCCGAGTTTCCGACACGATGGCCGTTCCCGCGCGGAGACCTGTATCACTGGATCCCGCTCCTGAACCGCTTTGATAGCGTTCTCGAGGCTTTCTGCGCCACATACAAGTTGCAGGACGGGTTCCAGATGCAAGATTTCAAGTGCGCCCTGTTGTTGAATGAGGGGGCACCGGTGGAGTATGCTGAGGAGAAATCTTTTACCAAGGAACGTCTGGTGCAGCTCGGGTATCAGGAGGACGGAGACCGCCAGCTCATCATCTCCGTCCTCACCTTCACCAAGGTCCTCTTGCAACATTGCGGCAACCGGAGCATATACGCGAGTAGCCCGCACCTCAACGATCTGCTTCAGGCGACGGACCTGACCGTTGTTCATGCGACTTTGGAGGTTGGTCTCGAGCTTGCGCAGCGCTATCAGGCGTCTATTAAACGTGTGGGCACTCCGAGCCGCCAAGTCAGCACTGCGCTCCTTGCGAACCACTACAATATTGAACTCGAACGCGTGCAAACAATCGCCCAACCCTTCGTCAAAACCCCCGTTTTGCCGGGCCCTAGGTTCCAAGACGTTTCTCCCACAACCCCAGGTTCAGCCAGCAAAGGCAAGGAGAAGGTCGCCGCTTTTGGCTCTCGCAACGCCACATCGGTTTACGCAAACGACCTTACCTCGATCGTTACCCCCGGGACGCCTGATGGTAATCGTTGGGCTGGCTGGGGAGACATCAAGCTTACATATTACGCCAGCGCCGCCGAGGGCTCCGATTTGGTCCCTGCAGAATCTTCCGCTGGGGAGAGCGGCTCATCGTCTGTTCCTGCAACCCCGACCCCGCTTCGACGGAGTTCCACCGGCATTTCTCAGACTCCTCGTTCGGGTAGGGCCTCTGGGGCTGAGGATAGCCCGTCGCACCGGCATCAGGGGTCTGGTGCCGATGATCAAGCTTCTTCAGGTCCTAAATCACTTGAGATTCGCCAGACGACCGTGGTCTCGACGTCCATCTACGATCTCCTCAAGCTTTGTCCATCCGACATGCCGAAGCCATCAAAGTATGAGTTCCTCAACCGGCTGAGAATCAGCAAAGCTCTTCTTGGGTCCACGAAAGATCGGCAATTGGCACTCTCTGTCCGCTTGCTGGCCATTACCAATCTTGCATACATTCACCCTGAAACAACCTTTGCGGAGAAGGTTCTGAAGCAAGACAACGACGAGCCACGTCGCTATCAGCTTGTGTACCAGCTGGCTGAGTTGGTGCACCCCTCAGCCGATGGGACCGCCGAGACGCCGCTGCGACTGCAAGCTATTGCGCTTGCAGCACTAGAGGCCATCACTGGCATGGCTAGCAAGTATCCAGAGGTGGTTGCAGCTCTTAATGCGAACGTCAATCACGGCGTCCTTCTTTATGTCATCCGGAAAGCCGTAGCAAGCATGAAGGAGGATAATTCGGAGATGGACGACGGGAAGGTAACCGATGCCGACCACTGGCGGTCGAGCCTCTTCGGCTTGACCCTCCAGATGGCCATGGCTTCCCGCATCGGTCAGGAAATGTCCTCTGCGGGGCTCCTGGAGATTATGGTTGAGATTCTCAACATTCGATCCCAGACCGCGACTCGCAATTACAGCATGGTGCTTGCATTCCTGGACACCATAATCTATGGGTTCAATGGCGCATTTACCGTATTCAGCACGGCAGGCGGTCTGGATGCTATTTCCAATCTGATCATTGACACCGTGTCTCGCTCGAAAGAGCTTGTGAAGGCTGGCGAGGGGATGAAGCCCGAGTTTCACTCGCATACAGTGGACTACGATATCCCCTTTTATCATCAGCAAGCCCTCAAGTGGCTTCTCAAATTTATCCACCACATCATGACCAATGCGTTTTCGTTCGGAACCAACATTGACCGGCTTTTGCGGAACTTAGTTGACAACTCGGCCTTGCTCGGCAGCCTTCGCGTTATCACGGAAGATATGCACGTCTTTGGTTCCTTGGTGTGGACCAATGCGGCCGGGTTGTTGAGTGATTTCATCAACAACGACCCAACAAGCTTCGCCGCCATATCGGAGTCCGGCATGGTGCAAAGCTTCCTCTCAACGCTCACCGGCCGGCCTGTTTCTCTACCGAAGCCGGCTGAGACCCCGAAGGCGGAGCCCGAGGGCGAGGATGGTGCGTCGCCGGCATATACGGAGGACTCGGTCAACTTGGACCGTGATGACCGGCCACACCCCCCCACACAAGAGACGCTCGAAGCGCCGAGGGACCGCCTTGCCGCTGGTATTCTCGCATCCAATGATGCCATCAGCATCATTCCCACTATCATAAATTCGATCTCGTTGAACAACACCGGTATGAAGATGATCGTTGCGTCCAACGCGCTCGAGACCTACCTGGAGATCTTTGAGAGCCCTGCCCACGTCCAGGTCTTGACGGAGATGGAGTTGGCCAACATAATTGGTGGTAGCTTTGACGAACTCTCTCGCCATCACCCGGCTTTGCGACCCGCGATTTCCAACGCCATCCTGGACATGGTCGCCCGAGTCCTGCATTTGGCCAAGACGAAGTCTGAGACCGCGGGCTGGGGCGCGAAGGTCGCCATGCTTGACTCAAATGGAAAGGCTGTCACGGCGGACAAGGGACTCTTGGCGATTGCGGAATCTTCCACCAGTGCAAAAGGCAAGGAAAAGGAGGGCACTGGCGACTTGGACGTCGAGATGGCCGATGTGAGCGCCACGGCCACTTCCCTCGCTGGCGCGGCGGAAGATCTGGGATCTGACACTCACAAGACGTCAAACCCGTCACATGCGATTACGCCTTACATTTATTCCGTCGCCAACTTCCTCAACGCCATCTTCCACAACTCGAATCTCAAGTCGTCCTTTATTCGCGATGGCGGCATCGAGCTACTCTTGCAACTTGCAGAAGCCACCAGCCTTCCCGGCGATTTCGAGTTGACTGGCGGGTCCGCCCAGCTTTCTGTGGCGCTCGCGATGGTCATCGAGTCAAACCCAGTCTTAGGCTTGCCGTCTCTGCTCACGCGTATCCATGCTGCCATCGACGATCTCAAGCCACTTCTCAGCAAGGAGAGGACGCAACCGTTCTTTGCCCCTTTTGTTGCTTCCAATATCTCCCTGCAGAACGACAAAGGGGAATGGGATCAGGATTTGGTCGGCAAAGTGGCTGGTGGCACTCGCGTCGTGAAGGCTTTGGTCAGGTTACAGATCCTCATGAAGACACTGTATCAGAGCTTCCCGCATTCTAGCAGACAGGGCACGGTAACGATGCCTGGGGCTAACGTCTTTGACTACTTCATCCGCCTCATCAAGCGGGTCGGTCCACTCCTGCGTGAAGCTGGCACGGAGGATATGGCCCTTGCGGCCCTTGTCCCGCAGCATTGGTTGGGGAATCGGTCGTTTGCCGTGCACGACGACGGTGTCGTTCCAGTTCCTACCCCCGACGCCCCTGCCCCTGCCATTACGTCTGGTGAAAACGACCAAGCCGCAGCGCAAGTCGCAACAGACACCAGCGGCGATACATCGGCGGCTAAGCAAACGGAACCCCAAGCAGCACCCAAGGAGCCCAAGGAGCCCACGCGTGAGGAGCGCTCGTCCCTTCGGTTCAAGAATTACTCTGTGATTAGCCGGCTCCTCAACTCGCTCACCCCCAGCATCTTCCCATTCCTCCAAACAATGGGCAAAGTTTTACTGCCGAGGCGCGGTCCGGATGCTTATCTTCGGTCTCATCACTTGACTATTGCGGAAACGCTGGCGGACACGATTTATGAGCAGCTTCGTCTTCCCCAAGATGAGAAGTTGATGGTCCGGGACTTGCGGTATTGGGACGTCGTGTTCGACTGTCTCAACCACATGCTGATCGACCCCATGCGCCAAACGGACCGCACCTCCGTTCAGCTCATCTTGCCGGTCCTGGTGGCATTCAAGGACCGTGGCGGCATTGAAATGCTGAACTCCATGCTGGAGAGGTTCGCCAAAGAGCTCCGTGTCGATACGACTGAGACCCTAGATGCCCAGAAGCTGCAGCTTGTTACTGCAGGAATGAGGAAGATCTTGGAGATCTACAACGTCATCGCGAACGGCAAGAATGTCTATGAGTCCCTCGCTCAAACTAGCTTGATCCCCCGGTCCTCGGACAGGAGCAGGGATCATGGCCACCAACTCGTTGTGGAGCTGAGGCTGGCCATTCTGCCGACCGTCCGGAAGCTCTGGGAGTCCGACTTCGCCGAAAAGGCGCCCACATCCGCTCTAAGCAAGGTGATCGACATCATGAAAACAATTGCGGCTGCCGACCAAGAGACTCAGGCGTGGCGCAAGACGGACAAGACTTCGCCCGCGTCCGTGTTCAAGAATCGCGAGCCCGTTCGTTTCAACTGGGCCGGCTACGTCGCCTTGATCACGAGCCTCAGCCAGACAGGCTACGACGTTGAGCTCGCCCGGGAGGCGGTCTTCCGCGCAAATGGCAAGCCGGACGATTCGATGGAGTATTGCCGCGGACACTCTAAAGGTCTGGCTGGCAAGCGCAACCCCATCCCTGAAGAGGATGCTTACCGGAGCCCGCCGTCACCCCAGCCGCAGGAGACAAAAGACCAGCCTGCAGAGGCAACGCCCCCCACCAATAATACCTTGGCGGAAGACCCCATGGCTTTGGACCTGATGAATGACCTGGTCCGTGAGGAGATTGCTGGCGCCGAGGATTCCTCTTCTGACGAATCCAACGACATGAGCAACGATGACGAGAGCCAGGCCTCAGCTACAGAGGAAGCAGCGGGGACTTCTTCGGCGCAGGCTCAAGGGGCGCCGTCCGGCTCGTCCGAGGAAGCCTCAACGCCGCCCGCAATCACAAAGGACGACCTTGACAAAGAGCGGGCCGATATCCAGAATGACCTTCTTGACCGTTGCTTGGATGTCGTTCGGACGCACCCGGACTTAGTCTTTGACGTTTATGATCTCATCGTGGCCACTGTCCTTAAGACGGACAATGAGGACAAACAGGTTGAAGTTGGGGAAGTGCTTGCGAATGCGCTCATGTCATTTGCACCGAACGATGAGGAGGAAAAACGCACCAACGCCCGGGGAATCGCTTCCTTTGCCCACCTGTTGTCTCTTCTGCTTCAAAACAGGCCCTTTTTCAAGGCAACTCTGCCGGCGCTGAAAGACAATGTCGGCGAGTACCTTGGGTTCCTGAAGGTGTCGCCTGCGGCTTCTCAAGAAGACCTTCCGTCCTGGATTCCGTACATTCTGCTCATCTTTGAGATTCTGCTTGCCGACGACGAGCAGCCGGTCGAGGTCGCGTGGAAGATGCCGACAAAGGAGGATGAGGTCGTTGAACCGCCCGTCTGGGTGGCCAAGGATCTCAGCATTTCTGCCGAGCAGCGCTCCAGCCTGCTCACGGCAATCCTGGATATCCTCCCCAAAATCGGCAAGCAGGAGTCTTTAGCGGTTTCCGTGCTGCGGATTCTTGTCATCCTCACCCGCGACCACGCGATAGCGAAGACGGTCGGCGAAAAGAAGAACCTGCAGCGTTTGTTCGTCATGGCGAAGCAGTCATGCGCGGGAGGCTCAGCACGTCTGAACCAGGCTCATATCACGGACAACATCATGGTTGTTCTTCGTCATATAGTGGAGGACGAAGACATGGTCCGGCAAATGATGGAGACCGAGATCAAGCAGTTCTTGTCTTCGTCGCGAAACCCCCGCACCTACCATGATCTTCAGAGCTATCTCCGCCAGCTCTCCCATGTGGCGCTCCGGTCTCCCAAGCTCTTTGTTGAAGTGACCACCGATCTGGTGAAGTTGACGGGCTGGTCGGCGATGTTTGACCCGGCTTCCCGCCCTTACAACCTATCACTGAAGGAGAAGTCCGGGGAACAAGAGGCGCCGCCCAAGGAAGGCTCTGTTGTGTCTACCGTGCAGGCGACCGAAGATCTCACTATCAGCGATGTCAAGCCGTCCACTGAGTCTGCGGACAAGGAGATGACGGACGCTCCCAAGACGCCATTCGAGCTGAAGCGGCCGGTTCTTGAGAATCCCGATGGCGTCATCCACTTCTTGCTCTGCGAGTTGTTGAACTACCGGGAGGTTGAGGATAAGGAGCCCGCCAACCAGCCGGCTAGCCAGCCGACCAAGGTCTCGCCAACGGAAGGCGGATCTCCCGGCGCAAGCGGAGAGGCGACGCCCGGGCCCGAGCAGCCACCCTCTGAAGTGAAGGACAAGAAATCGTCCAAGACAGCATTCAAGTCTGAGGATCACCCGATCTTTGTCTACCGCTGCTTCTTGCTGAACTGCTTGGTGGAGCTTCTGCAGAGTTTCAACCGAGCCAAGGTCGAGTTCATCAACTTCAAGCGCAGTGTGCCGATGCAGACGAATACGCCCATCAAGCCTCGTTCCAGCGTCCTGAACTACTTGCTGAACGATCTTCTCTGCTTTGGACCGGTCGGTGCCTCGATGGACTCGACTGTAGTCAAGAAGAAGATGGCCACGTCGGCGCATGCGCAAAATGTCCTCGTTGCGTTGGTTGCTCGCACAGCTGAGAAGCCCGTCGATCGACAGCGGAATCAGTTCGAGTACGATGATGATTCGGACCTCTTGTTCGTCCAGCGGTTCGTTCTTGAGACTGTCCTCCGCGCCTACAAGGAGGCCGCCACGCCCGGAGACCCGATCGAAGTCCGGTATGGAAAGATGATGTGCGCGGCGGAGCTCATGAGCTTGATGATTGGCGAGAAGGACAGGGAGGGCCACCACAGAGACGCTAGGGGTGTGGAGGCTGGGCTCTCCCGCTCCCAGATGCAACTCAAGCGCCTCATGTACGAGAAGGGCTACCTCGCGGCCTTGACCGCGTCGATTGCCGACATCGACCTTACGTTCCCGAACGTCAAGCGCACCATTAAGTATATCCTGCGCGTCCTCAGGGCCTTGACCAAGACGGCCTACCAGCTGAGCCAGTCGGACGTCATCCCTATGAACACGACCGATCAGCCGGAGGAAGACTTTGCGTCGACATCTTCTCTATCGGACGTGGATGACGACCGCGAGGAGACGCCCGACCTCTACCGCAACTCCACACTTGGGATTCTCGAGCCGGGACGTGAGGAAGATTTCTCTGATGAGGAGGAAGATGGTATGTTTTCCAATCGCATGGAAAGCAACCTCATACTAATTGTGGGTGCAGACAACGATGCGATGTATGACGACGAGCCGTACGATGAAGAACTTGACTACGGTGATGACATGTCGCAGGACGAAGAGGAGAATCCTAGTGACGAGGACGATGACGAGCTCGAAGGGATGGGACCAATCGAGGGTCTCCCTGGCGATCCGGGAGTCGTGGAAGTCATCATGGGCGAAAACGAGGACGACATGGACGACGACATGGATGAGGAGATGGACGATGAAGACGACGAGGAAGATCCCAGCGACGAGGACGACGAAGATGATGAAGAGGAGGAGGAGGACGAGTTGGGCTCTGAGGATATGGAAGACATTGAAGACCGCATCGAGATCATGGATGAGGAAGGGCATCCCATTGCCGATGAGGGAGCCTCCTGGGAAGAGACTGATTCTGGCGCGGACGAGGAAGACGAAGAGGCTGCAGGCGATCTTGGTTTCCCAGCGGAGGCCGTCCAAGACTATCACCAGCTTCACGATGTAATCGTTCAGGGACATGCTATCGACCCCCTGGGCCGCGTTCCCGATATTCTCCGGAATGTCGTCGATGGCGGCGATGACCTTGATGCGGAGGATATGCAAGATCTCGATGAGCACTACATTGATGAAGGCGCCGAAGACGATGGTAAACCCTCTATCCTAACCTCCCCCTTTTCTCAAGCATGAATCACAGAAGGTATGGAAGCTGACTTGAAACAGATGAGGAGGAGGAAGATGAAGCTGAGGAGGATGAGGTCTACTACGACCCTGGTTACCACCGTAAGTTATTTTGTGATGTGCTTGATGCCTACTTGACGTGCGAAATGTATCCCCCGGTGTCAGTCCTGACACGAGGTAGACGATGACCACCCCCCTGCCAATATGCCCTCCAACCTTGGTTGGGATGTTTCCCATATTGAGCCCCACCACCGCTTGCGGCATGGAGGCGCCCGCAGCCCCTTCCCAGCTGCCCCCTTCATGGGAGGCCACCATCGTGATCCCATGGGCCCTGGTACGTTGCACACTTTATTTTGGTGCCGTCGCCTCGTTTGTTTTCTTTTACTCCTTTGAAGAAAAAAACATGGGACTTTGAATCTGGATATGTTTTATCTGCTTTTTTCTTGAAGAGCGTTCGTCGAGTGGAGTTGAGAGAACTCTATTAACATATCATCGCTAGATTTCCGAAGCTATTTCCGCCACAGTCATCCTCGGCCACCAACGAACCCGACCGACAACGGCATCAACCCCCTGTTGCTTTCGGGTAACCGAGGCGGGCATGACGCTTCAAGGATCCCCAGCGGAAACACCATTAGGTTGGGCTTCTCGGGTTCTTTGATGGGTCATGGCGTGGAAGCACCCCTTGCATTCATCAACGACTTGATGCAGAGCATCCCTCTCCCTGGCCGAGATGGTCCAGCGTTCAGCCTCCAGTTGCGGTCTCCGGACGGGTCCATTCGCCAGCTTAGTATTCCGGTGAACATGGCCCAGCCTGATCGTGAACCGAGGTGGGATCCACGCCGCGAAGTGTACCAGGAACCGCAGAATGCGGTAGCGTTCCGGGCCGACAGCACAGCTCACCGGTGGCAAGAGGAGGCCAAGATGGTGTTCGGGTTTGACCACAACGAAAAGTCGAAATTGCTGTCCACCCTCATTTTGGGCATGCTTACCCCGGCTGCTATCCAGCACGAGAAGGAAACCAAGGCTCGTCTCGAGAAGGAGCGCAAGCAGGAAGAGGAGCGGAAGCAGCGTGAAGAGAAAGTGCGCCAAGAGCGGGAGGCGAAAGAGGCGGAAGAGAAAGCCGCTAAGGAAAAGCAGGAAGCCGAAGAGCGGGAGCGTGAAGAGCGAGCCCGCGCTGCGGCGGAAGCTGAAGCTGAGGCCGAGGCTGCTGCCGCCCGTGTCGCCGAGGAGGCCGTTGCCGTGACAGAACCCGCCGTGGAAGAGGAGCCCCAGGCGATGGAAGGGGTCGAAACTCACGCTGAGCCACAGGAGACTGAGCCTCAAGCCGCTTCGTCTGCGGAGCGTGTCGTCACTACGATTCGCGGCGAAACTGTGGACGTCACAGAACTCGGTATTGACCCCGATTACCTTGCCGCGTTACCTGAGGAGTTCAGAGAGGAAGTCATTGCTCAGGCCGTGAGTGCCAGGCGCTCTCAGGCTCGCGAGCAGGCTGCCACTGCTGAGGGAGAGAACACGGAAGTATTCCAGGAGTTTCTTGAGGCGTTGCCTGCTGAGCTTCGTATGGAGATTGTCCAGCAAGAGCGTCAGGAACGCCGCCGCCGCGAACGCGAGGAGCAACGGAGACAGGCCACTACTACTGGCCAGGACCTTGGGCCCGTCGAAATGGATACGGCTAGCATTTTGTTGACTTTCCCGCCTGCGCTTCGTGAGCAGGTCCTGCTTGAGCAGGGCGAGGATATCATGGATCAACTGCCGCCCGAGCTTGCCGCCGAGGCCCGCGCGATTGCTCAACGTCACAACATTCATCGCGTTCCGCCTGGGGGATCCCGCCCTCGCGAGACGCTTCGCCATCCCGAAGCGGCGGTGGAGGCCAAACCGCAACGGCGCACTATTGTGCAGATGCTCGATAAGGCGGGTGTTGCCACACTCCTCCGGCTGATGTTCATCACGCAGCAGAGCTCGATCCGCAACTATCTGTTTGACGTTTTCGCCCATGTTTGCGAGAACCGCCAGAACCGCCTGGAGGTCATCTCGACTGTCCTCCAAATCCTCCAGGACGGGAGTACCGACATGGACGCCGTCGAGCGAAGCTTTGGTCAACTGTCCCTGAAGGCCAAACAACCGCGGGACAAGGACCCCAAGACGCCTCTCGCCCTCAAGCGGACCTTCACCAACATCAGCGTGAACACGCAGATGCCCAGCAACTCGGAGGTTTCGCCGCTCCTCATCGTCCAGCAGTGCTTGGATCTTCTGCAGGAGCTCGCCACTAAGAACCCTCATGTTCCGTCTCTGTTCTTGACGGAACATGAAACTGTGGCTTCCACTCTCAAGCGGAGCGCGAGTCGCAAGGGTAAGGGCAAAGACGTCAGCACCAAAGCCCAAAAGTATGCCATCAACTCGCTTCTCGGTCTCCTGGATCGCGATCTCATCATGGAGAGCTCCTCGGTCATGCAACTTCTCGCGGATCTGCTCAACAAGATTACCTATCCACTGCAGGCGCTTGAGCGCCGGCGGAAGGAAGCGGAAGAGGAAGCGAAGAAGAAGGCCGAGGAAAAGGAGAAAGGCAAGGAGGAAAAGGAGGAGAAAGAGGAAACGGCCGAGGCTGTTTCTGCGAGCAACGAGCCTACAGGGGGACAGCAGACCGCTACTACCGAGCCTACGGAACAGTCCACGGCTACTCCGGCCGAACAGCAAGCGCCGACCGAAACCGCGCCGGCGCCAGAGGAGGCGGAGGGTTCAGCAGGCAAGGAAGCCAAGGCTGAGGATAAGACTGAGGACAAGAAGCCCCGGCAGCTCACTCCTCCCACGATCCCCGACCAGAACTTGAAGCTGGTCATCAACGTATTTGTCGCGCGGGAGTGCAGCTCCAAGACCTTCCAAAACACTATTTCGACCATCAAGAACTTGTCCAACATTCCGGGTGCCAAGAAGGTCTTTGGTGAAGAGCTCGTCTCCCAGGCGAGGGCCTTGAGCCAAAACATCGTGTCCGACCTCGAAGATCTACTACCGCATATTCTTCGCGCGGAGACGGGCACCGAGATTCAGGGAATCGCGCTGGCCAAGTTTTCCCCGGGCGCATCGGAGCAGAACAAGCTGCTTCGCGTTCTGACTGCGCTTGACCACCTCTTCGACACCAAGAAGAAGTCCAGCAGCGGCGCCGAGGGCGATGAGACCACAGATGATACGAAGGAAGATCTGCTTGGGTCGCTGTATTGGAACCCGACCTTTGGCACCATGTGGGAGAGATTGAGCGCTTGCCTTGGCGCGATCCGGCAGCGGGAGAACATGCTGAACGTGGCAACGATCTTGTTGCCGCTCATCGAGTCTCTGATGGTGGTGTGCAAGAACACAACGCTGAGCGAAGCGTCTACGGCGCAACCCGCGACCAGCAAGGAGATGCTCCTGTCCAGCCCGCCCCCTGAGAACCGGATTGCCAGTTTGTTTTTCACCTTCACGGAGGAGCACCGTCGCATCCTCAATGAACTTGTTCGCCAAAACCCCAAGCTCATGTCAGGGACCTTCTCCCTTCTAGTGAAGAACCCCAAGGTTCTCGAGTTCGACAACAAGCGGAACTATTTCAACCGGAGCGTACACGCGAAGTCTAGCCAGCAGCAGAGGCCGCAGTACCAGCCGTTGCAACTGTCCGTGCGTCGTGATCAAGTCTTCCACGACTCGTTCAAGTCGCTGTACTTCAAGTCCGGTCCGGAGATGAAGTTTGGCAAGCTCAACATCCGCTTCCACGGCGAGGAGGGTGTCGACGCCGGTGGTGTGACCCGCGAATGGTTCCAAGTGCTTGCCCGCCAGATGTTCGACCCCAACTATGCTCTGTTCATTCCCGTGTCGTCCGACCGCACCACTTTTCACCCGAACAAGCTCAGCGGCATCAACGATGAACATCTGATGTTCTTCAAGTTCATCGGGCGCATCATCGGCAAGGCCCTCTATGAGGGCCGGCTCTTGGACTGCTACTTCAGCCGTGCGGTCTACAAGCGCATCCTCGGCAAACCGGTGTCGGTCAAGGATATGGAGTCGTTCGATCCGGACTACTACAAGTCTCTAGTCTGGATGTTGGAGAACGACATTACCGACATCATCGTAGAGACATTCTCGGTGGAGGATGACGAGTTCGGTGTCACCAAGGTCGTGGATCTCATTGAGAATGGCCGTAACGTCGCCGTCACGGACGAGAACAAGCACGAGTATGTGCGCTTGATCGTCGAGCACAAGTTGCTTAGCTCGGTCAAGGAGCAGATGGAGAACTTCTTGAAGGGTATGTTTTCCCCAGTATGGCTTAACACCTGCGTAAAACTACACATGGCTAACCCGGTGGTGTGACTTTAGGTTTCCAAGATATCATTCCCGAGGATCTCATCGGCATTTTCACGGAGCAGGAACTCGAGCTTCTCATTTCTGGCCTGCCGGACATTGACGTGGACGACTGGAAGAGCAACACCGAGTACCAAAACTACAACGCGGCTTCCCAGCAAATTCAGTGGTTCTGGCGCGCGGTGCGCTCCTTCGACAAGGAGGAGAGGGCCAAACTTCTCCAGTTCGTGACGGGCACGTCCAAGGTGCCTCTCAATGGTTTCAAAGAATTGGAGGGCATGAACGGCATCAACAGGTTCAACATCCACCGAGACTATGGAAGCAAGGAGCGTCTTCCTACCTCGCATACCTGCTTTAACCGTAAGTTGTGCCTCCATTCTTACACTACATCAAACACAACATTTACTAATCAATCGCAACAGAGCTCGATCTCCCTGAGTATGAGAACTACGATTCCTTGCGCAAGCAACTGCTCAAGGCCATCACGGCCGGTAGCGACTACTTTGGCTTTGCCTAAAAAAAGACGGTGTTTCGGCTCAAGAGATTTGAGAATGAGGAGGAATTGACAAGGAGGAAGGGAGGGCATAAACTGCCCAACCCGTCAGCCAAGCAGATGGGAGATGTCCGACATATTGTTGTTGCATTTGCAGGTAATTGGGCAGCGGAAGTGGGTGGCGGAAAATCCACGATTGCGCTTTTTATCGGGCAGTAGTAGACTTGGTCATGTATTGTTTTGTTTTTGTTTTCGGCTTGGTCCATTCATCAGAGCCACACCAGGTTCCTCACCAACGAACGGCCTGGGAGTCTTGGGGGGGCAGAAGGCGGAGTGCAGGCCGGTTTCTTGTTACCTCATATTCCTGGGCCTGGTGGTGGGATTTGGGACGGTGATTAGGTAGATAGTCGTTGAAGGCTCTTTTCGGGAGCTGGAGCACAGATACTAGAATGGAGTTGGGTTTTACATTTTTTATTACAGTTGGGTGAGGTGACTTTGATATCACTTGCATTACTTTGTAGGAATAGTAGTGAACTTCAACTACTGTACTTGCCATTTGCAAGGTCTCCTTCTCTACTTCAGTCCAAGCCTTGGCTGCGTCCAAACCTCAACCAGGCTCAATTTTACCACGCCAACGGAACAAAAAAGAAGTGTCTGGGACGAAAGTAGTTATTGAAGGAAAATAGAAGAAAATACAAAAGACAAACAAAACATACAACACCGGGGATTCCCCAGTCGTCACCGACCTGAGTACTGATCCGGCCCTTGCCAGTTTAACTAAGGGAGAGCGGACGGGATCCCGTGTTTTCTGGCAGGTATGGTCGTATGTGATGGTCAGTAGCCATAGGCCGGTTGAAGAGGGAGTGGAAACTTGTGGTTGAGAAAATGTCCAGCGCAAGAATGCATTGGAGAGGGAGTCTTGGTCCGTGCGCTCCGAGATCTTGCCCGGCTCCACCTCGGTCCACTCTTGGCGTTCATCCGTTGTGGCCCGTGCATTGGCCCACAGGGCTCTGGTCGGCAGCGGCCCAACTTGGCGCCGAAAAATTTCGCCCACAATTCCAAAATCCATCACGAACCTCCCATCCCACCTTTTGACAACCACTCGACCAACGACCAACGAGGTAAGTCATTGTCCAGGTTCGCATTGCCCACACCCGACGCACCACAACCTACTCCCCGTCGTTGAGAAATCTTGAGAACGTCGGTCCTCCCCGAGTTTGAGACGAATTTCCAGAGACAAACGCGCCCACGCGAATTTCTCAGCGAAAGATTCCGCCGACCTCTGTTTTGCTAACTCGAGCCTCCTTCGACAGACACAGTCAAGATGGGTATCTCTCGTGACTCCCGGCACAAGCGTGCCGCTACCGGTGCCAAGCGAGCGTAAGATCATTATCCCCCCTTCTCTCGAGGTTGTAAAATTTGAATTGTGTCGGCGGTCGCTAACTTTTGGGTTTTGCTCTCCAGCTACTACCGTATGTCCCAACCTCCTTCCGCTCCCTCGATGCATACACAATACCATACATAAGCCCCTCGCCATGAGGGGCAACTCGAAGGTCCGCTTGGAAGGTTTTTGCAATGGTCTGTCTACCTCCTTGCCTGCCTTTTGCTCTTCTCTTGAAAAAAGAGAGGGTGAATGGCTACGCCAGGCAGGCAGACCACTTGCAAGAACCGACCCCATGCGTTCTGAGCCTGTTCAACGCACATGGAAATGAACCGAAATTTCTGACAACTGCGTACAGGGAAGAAGAGAGCCTTCGAGGCGGGCCGCCAGCCTGCGAACACCCGTATCGGTGCCAAGCGCATCCACACCGTCCGCACCCGCGGTGGCAACCACAAGTACCGTGCCCTTCGTCTCGACTCGGGTAACTTTACCTGGGCCTCTGAGGGCTGCACCCGCAAGACTCGTGTCATCGTTGTGGTTTGTGAGTTTTACCCCCCAACCCGTCTGCTGGCTTCTTGGGGAGATGGATTTTTTGGTTGCTGACCGTTGATACCCAGACCACCCGTCGAGCAACGAGTTCTTCCGTACCAACACCCTGACCAAGTCGGCCATCATCCAGATCGACGCTGCGCCCTTCCGTCAGTGGTACGAGGCTCACTACGGCCAGCCGCTCGGCCGTCGTCGCCAGCAGAAGCAGGGTCAGGCCCTCGAGGAGGTCAAGAAGAGCAAGTCGGTCGAGAAGAAGCAGGCCGCTCGCTTCGCCACTGCCGGCAAGGTCGACAACGCCCTCGAGAAGCAGTTCGAGGCCGGTCGTCTGTACGCCGTCATCTCTAGCCGTCCCGGCCAGTCCGGCCGCGCCGATGGCTACATCCTGGAGGGCGAGGAACTCGCCTTCTACCAGCGCAAGCTCCACAAATAAACGTTGGGCGAGCGACGGTGAATGAAAAGGATGGGCAGGAAAGGGGGACAATAAGCCTGGACAAACCGGGGAGGGGGGCTTCAGCCGGCCGAGGGCGTTCATCGGCGTTGGGCCTAACGAAGGTGTTTGTGTGTGCGTGTTGATCGATGGATCGCTCCTGGTTGTATCCTTCGTCTATCTAGTTGAGGACGACGGCGGGGCGGGACATCTACGGATTTGCAACAAGTTTTTTTCCCGGTTGCTTTCGTTACATGGGAGCATGGCAAATGGGACGGGGTTAAGGGAAACGGAAAATGAAATACCACACCATCATGAGTAACACCTTCACCCTCCCCACAGAGTCAAATTGATCCAGGCTTGATACGTTTTATGTCCCAATTCTGTGAGACCAAGATGAGATGCACCTCAGCGTTCCGCAATAATGTAAACAATCAATTGAGCTTATCTCCAGATCAACTCTACGCCGAAGCCATGACAGACACAACCACGAGTTTTAAGACATCGTCTTATCTGACCACGAATGATGAAGACTAGGAAAGTCGGCTGGGTTAGTGGACTCCCGGGCGACACAAGACACATACGGATTCCGGATATCCGCTATTTAATTGACCATAGATCTTCCCCCGTCAAGTACTTAGAAACAAATCACTGGTTACCGACGGAGGATTCAGCAAGCTCGATTGCCTTCCTGACCAGCTCGCGATCATCCTTGAATGTCAATATCTCCAGAACCGTATCGTAGCGATGAAATTCCACCTCAAACTTGTCCCTCTCATGTTGGCCGACAGGCTCGTCCTCATTAACAGCAGCCACAAACCACCAAATCAGTTTCACCTCACCCTCCCCGACATGTCGCGTCTGCAACGCGATGGGCTCACAGGCACAACCTTCAAACAAGCGTGCCTCGTCCGGAAGATGCTGATGCTCATCATGTTCCGTCTCGATGGCGGTCCCGGCGGGGCAGACGCGCGAAACCAAGTTGACAGGTAACAGGCGGCAGGGGATACCGGTCTCTTCGATGGTTTCGCGAATCGCAGTGGTTTGGCGGGATTCGCCCAGGTTGCGACGGCCCTTGGGGAGGATGTATTCGTCACGGTGGAGCAGTGTGTGAAGGATGCAGACCTCGCGAGTCGAGAGTCGGAGTAGAACGGTGCCGGCGCTTTCTACGAATTTCTCTGCTGTGTATATCGCTGTCTTGAATCGTGAAGTTGCCATGATTACACCGGCTATTCGTAATAGTGCCGATTGTCGTTAGCGAGACCGATTTGACTAGCCATGATATGTTGAGATCTTACGCGAAGCGTTATGGGAGTAAGGATCGACGGTAACGTTAAAGGCTGTGGCCGGCAAGGTGATTTGAGTTTTGAAGGGAGAGAACGAAGGGAGCGTCGGGAGAGTAAACTTTTCTTTCTTCGTTTTAGGGGAGTGTGACGACCAACAGGTCGGCACGGTGTTGGTGCGGCCACCACCACCACGATCTCTAGCCATATAGGCCAGATTGTGACCAAATGGCAGAGAGAGCGAGAAAAAAAAAAGTGGCTCTGTTGTAGTATAAAAAAAGAAACCTATGAAAAAAATGCTACCCCCAATATCCCATCCCCATCGCCATCCCATCCTATCCCCAATATCTGATCCCCCTTCTTCAACCCATCCCAGTGAGTCTCTCTCTTGCTTGCCCCCTTTCCTCCACACATCACTCAATCACCATTCCCTTCCCGTCTCCCCACATCCCACGTCACCCGTCTGTCCGTCCGTCCCGCTAGCCAGCCCAGTCACAGCCAGCCGGCCAGCAAACCAACCAAGCTATGCGTGCGATTGATTGATTGATTGATTGATTGAAACCCAAGAAAAAATGAGAGAAAAAAAAGACAAAGGCTCCCAGTCTAACTTTTGCTTTGTTGCCTCGGTCTCTTTCCCCGCGCGCCCGTTCTACTTCTCGTAACACCCCACCGACCCGCCCAATGCTGTGTGTTTAAAATGACGATAATGATGTTGATGTTGATGAGGACGATGATTGGTTTCACAGCTTATCGTATACTATTCTCTAGACGCTTCCCATAATGGCGTCCTTTCCGGCATCCGCGCCGCAGATCATGCTACACTCCAACTCCCTCACTCGGATCACCCGGCCGTGGGCAGCGGGCTTATTGGAATTGCCGCTTGAGGTCGGTCCATTTCCGGGTGAGTGTCTCGTGCTGCGAGTTAATCTGTACATAATTTGTCAGTGACTGTGCTCAATGGCCTGTTGTCAGGGAGGGGGGAAAGGCATACCTCAGCATAATGCATCTTAGTCTGCACCAACTCCTCCTCCAACTCGGACAACTCCTTCTCCAACCTCTGATTCTCATCATGCACCTTCCCATTCCGCTTCATCAGATCATCCCTTTCCAACTGCCACGCCGTCTCCAGCTCAGCCGGCTGTTTCTCAATCACAATCCGCAGCTCCTGCACCTGGATCTTGAGCCCTTCATTCTCATCCCGCAGCTCGTCGTTGTCCACCTTGGTGTGCACCAGCTCCGTCGCGAGGGACGCCTGCTCACCATCCGCCTGCTGCAGCCGCTCCTCCAGCTTGCGCAGACGCACCGCGTAGCTGGTGTTGCTGGCGCGTAGGGCCTCCAGCTCGGCCTCGCGTTCACGCTCCGTGCGGGTCTTTTCCTCCCACTCGACCTGGTAGGCCTTGAGCATATCGGGGGTGATTTTGACCTCGCAGGCGTCGCGGATGAGTTGGTCGGCGCGGTAGACTTCTTTGTCGATGCTGCTGCTGGAGGAGCCGAAGAAGCCGTTTTCGAGGATGGAGTTGGAGGAAGGGGAGGCGTCGATGTAGACGTCGAACAGGCGGTCTTTGAGGAAGGTGGTGAGCTGCGCCATGTCGGTTAGGGCGAGTAGGGCGGAAGCGTTCTTTTGCATGAGCACGGTGCCGAACTTGAGGATGGCGGATAGGCCCTCGGAAAGGATCAGGTCGTAGATGCGCAGGACAAGCTGTAGTGGGAAGCGGTAGGCGAAGAGGGTCAGGAACCATTGGGTGGCGTAGAGATGGGGGGAGATGCCGCGCCGGCGGAGATGGCAGTACAGGGCTGGCTCGAACTCTTCGAGCAGGCGCTCGAATTGGTACAGGTGGAGATGGAGGCCAGGCATGTCCTGGATGAAGAGATCACGGAGATGGTACTGGTTCATGAGCCGTACCAGCAAGCAGAAGGCTTCCTCTTCGGGCATCTAAGATCAACTGCTGTTAGAGATCGGTTCATTCTCGTTGTAACCTGTCAGGGAAAGAAAAAAAGAGGTAAACTCACATTGAACAGGAGAGGCATAACAAGGAAATTCATGCCCTGAGCATACCCAACGCCCTCGTCAAACAGCGCATACGCCTTGCAAACCCCAAACAACCCCTCCTGCAGCCCCTGCGCAGCCGCAAACTTGGAATAACTCGTCCTAGCGCCGAGATCTCTCCTAATTGTCTTCTCAAGCTTCTGGAGCGAGGCCAAATCCTCCTTCTCCTTCTTCTGGCGCTCGGCAAGCGACAGAGTCTGGCCGGTCTGGCTCTTCTTGACCGAGTCCGAGTCCTTCTCTGTCGGGGACGGCGCCCCGCCGTTCAAGCCGGAGTTCACCGAATGGACGGACGACGCGGAGGATCCAGACCCCTTGGTGCTTCCGTTGAGGGAGGCACTGATTGTTGTCCCGCTGCTCCGCCTCTCCTTCTCCTTGTCGGTGCCTCGGATCACAAGTTCTCGGTACACGGCTTCGAGCTCCTCGTTCTTGCTCTGAGCCAGGACCTGCCAGATCACACCGCGGATGGCGTTGGGGATCCCGGTTGCGATTGACTTGTTGAGTTCCTCCGCGCTGGTCCGCGCTACAGCCGCCGGTCCTTCGTTGACAACATCCTGCCAGAGATCCCAGTTCACCGGGGCCTCGGCGATGGTTGACGGGCCGGCGTTGACCCCTGAGGCCGTCCCAGGAGCGAGGACCTTGCCTGGGCTCGATGGTAGCGGCGGCGATGAGAAAGGCCTAGCTGCGGCCGCAGCATCGCCCTCCGCTTCTTCGCCCGCAGGCTTGCCGTCTTCAGTTGGTCCTGTGGTTGATAGACTCGCTTCCTCCCTCAGACGTAGCGCCTTGAACCGGTCTTTTAGGCTGTTGCGCGTCCCCTCGTCTCCTTCATTCTCTTCCTCCAGCTTGCTTAGCATCATCTCTGGATTGCTAGTCAGAGTGGCGACCGAGCTGACGGTGTTTCTTCTTGTGGATGGCGTGGCCTGTACTGCTGGGGGTTCTTTCGAGGACGAGGCCCGTGAGAGCCAGGAGAAGGGGCTGTTGAACTTCCTGCCGGTGGCCGCAGGGGCAGCGGGAGGTGCAGCTGCAGCTGCAGGGGCTGATGCTGGAGCCGGTGCCGGTGGTGCTGCTATAGAAGTAGCTGCGGGCGGTGGACTTTTGGACGGGGAGTCGGTGGCCGGGGGTGACCACGGCATATTGGGTAGGACGTTGGTTATGCTGCTGAACGACATGGTCTTGGATGCCTTCCCAGGCGGTGATGGTTTTCCTGGGAACATGTCAGTCTGCCGTTCGGAGCCACATTCATCCACCGAGAAGGGCTTACCTGACTGGGTCTGGGCTGCTGTTACCGCTGCCGCATCGTCGTCGTTGAGATTGACATTATCAAGCGACCCAGCAGACGCCTGTGACAGCGGACGTACACCCTTCTTCTCCTCCGCGACCGCTGCGGCTGCTACCTCTTGCGAGTCTGGGCGGACGTTCGTTGCGGCGGTCTGTGATGCGTCGTCACCGTATTCGGAGTCGGTATGGTCCTCGGCGGGCGTTGACAAACGCTTGACGGGTTGTGGGCGTTTGGTTAGGGACCGCAGGGACCCCGTCTCGACTGCGTCTTCGAAAGTGTCCTCCTGCAACACAACGTCGCACAGTCAGTAAAGTGTCGGGTTGACAAACCCGATAACGGGAAAATGGCGTGATCCGCATCCAGTACCCTGCGGCAGGGCCGTTTGGTGTAGCGGGAGGAGACATACCGTGTCCTTGTCGGAGCCATCTTTCGAGACGGGTCTTTGTTGTTGTTCCTCTGTATCTTTCTCTGAAGCACTCTCATCTCCAGACTCATCTTCAGACTCCTCGTCGTCTTGATCGCTCTCGGGTTCGTCTCTTGTCTTGTCCGCCTTGATTGTCCCCCGCGTGGCCTGGATCTCGGATTTCTCCTGCGCCCGCTCTTCTGCCTTAACGGTCTCTTCGGCGGCCGACATCGTTCTTGTGGGGAGTAGGAGGCTCTCTCCCAGACTCTGGTGGGGTTGTCTTTGACGAGTTCACAATACCCAATATCCCGCCCGCGGAACTGGTTGTTTCTGGAAATCTAGCTGTCGAATTGCTCAAGAGCCGGGTCGTGTGCCCCGAGAATTTGACCGATAGCGGTGGGGGTTGTTGAGAATGAGAAACGGTGGGAGGGTGCACTGTGGATTGCTTTCGGTGTGTCGATCGACTCAGGGATCTCGTGGAATCTCGTGCTCGCTGTTGCAAGGCCGTGTGCTGTGGTTTTGGGAAGAAGCAGTGCGTTGTTGAGATGGCCGGCTACTGTCAGAAAAGTATCTTCTTTTGGAGAACATATGGAGTGTTTTGCACAAGTTGTGGATTAATGAACGGCCTGGACCTCCTTTTTTGCATTTGGGACTTGGAGGTCGCAGAATCCAGGGGACAGCAGATGGAAATGGGCACAAAGTGGAGGAGGCCAGCCCCTCGGATGGGGCCACGGGGGGTCGTGCGACAGGGGTGTCCCACTGGGGTGAGGTCGGCCTCTTGGGGAGTTTCTTTGACCTGGAGTTTGGGGACCTGCGGGCGTATGAACCTGCAATTACAGAAACGGGACGTTGGATATAGGTCACCACGGCGCAGCCCTGCCGCCAGTGCAGCGAAACGCTTTCCATGCAGGACCGGACGAGATTGGACGGACCTCGCAGATGGATTTTGGCTGCATTTGGGGGGGCCGGCTGCAGGTGACGCATGGGTGGTCTCTCTTGTCTCTTACCGCAACTTTCAGAGCCGCTTGATCCACGATCCGCGCTTATCGGAGTGGGAGCAGCACGCACGGCGCCTTCCAACAGTTCCAGATCGGCGGAGAGATCCGTTCGTTTGTACGCCTCATTTCTTGGTATCGAATTCATGAAAATTACGAATATCCGTACAGTTCACCTTGTCCGTTTTCCTGTTCGGCTACGTGTTCGAACCCGAAAATCCTCCCGAATCATCATCCATCCCAGGCAGCGAACAAAAACAACACCCCCTTCCGCCTGCATGAGAACGAAAGCGCCTCACTTCCATTGACATTCTACGGGCGCAGCCGCTCCGACAAGCCACACACTGCACGTCTGAAACGAAACGCGACAGGGGTAGTTTCCGGCTGTCGGCTGCGGGCCAAGATCTGGGGCGACAGTACGACTGTTCCCGAGCTTTGAGAGGCCAATGGCAGCCAATGCCGTAGGATTGCCAGCTGCAACGCGGCCGTTGACATTTGCCGTTGTTGGCTGCATGTCAATCTGTCAGCGGCAACCTTCAACAACCGCTTTTGGAAATCCTCTCTTTGTGCACACAGCAAATATCCTAATTTGGCGCTATAGTTTTTGGCCATTTTGGCTGGCCGGCCAGAACCCAGCCGGCCGTCCCCAGACCCTGAAAGCAAAACCCTCCAAACCCTGGCCCGCGACAAAGAGGCGACCATCCAGGGGGCCACTAGGCGAGATTGAGAATGCCTTCGGGACGAGGGGAATGAGTTATTGATGAGAATCATCCGGCCCGCACGCCCGCCTCACATCCCGAGTGTCTGGGCATCGATCGCCGGCCGCTTTGTGGATGGCTGCTCGGTGGTTCGGGTTGTTTAGTGAAATGGGCTTTGTTCTGCCTGACAATGGGAACAAAGCAGGAAGCATGCGGAACGTTGACATCACAGAAAGACCTACGAGCAATGAACTTGGTGGTGCTTTCAATGGGGATCTTAAACTCACAAATCTCCTGCCAATAAACAGGACAAGAATAAAATAGGAATACGGATCCGGACACTGCAAGCTACCAAATCGTCGGGTCCACGCCAATCTCGGTACCAGCCGAGTCGGCCCATTGCGGAGCAAGCCTTATATTGAATGGCGCAGGGTAGTTATATCATGCACATATGATGCTAAAAAAAACACAACATGAATGCACCAGCGGACCGCTCCAGATCTTTGTCACAGAAACACCAGAACCAGAACCAGAACAACCTCAACAAAGTCATCAAACCCGTTTTCTTTCCGCCGAGCCTACCCCTGACGACTGCACCTACGCCTAACAACCTCTACCCCCCTCCCCTATTCACTATTCACTAATGCTCTCCAACCAACGCTCCATATCCGCCCGCAACTCCCTCCCCCACCTTTCAATCTCTTCTTCATCCCACCCATCGTCTCCCTCCCAGGCCTCCTCTTCCTCCTCCTCGCCTGTTCCCACCATCTTCCCTGGCACCCACCGACCAAGCGCATCGCCTCCCTGAGCATTGATAATTGTAGGATCCGTCTGGCGCTGGGGGTCGACAGGTGCGAAACTCACGGCATCGGGGTTGAGGTTGGAGGCGGCTACGGCCGGGGTGGAGGAGTGTGGGTGTGTGGGTGCGAGCGCCGGAGGAGCGTCGAGAGGGAATGAAACTTGGGATCGTGCGGTGCTTGGGGTATAATAACCTGTTGTCTCCTTGGTGGTCTTGTTGACTGCTCGGGAGTTGTTGCTGACCGTTGTATCGGCGTGTTGACCTGGTTGTTCACGGGAGCTGGCGGGGTTGAAAGAACTAGTTAATGAGACACAAATGTTAGCAAAAAGGACCATGGTATGTAAGGTAGAGGATGTATGTGTTTGAGATGTACTGACGCTGCCAGCGGGTTCGTGCCACTCTGCCGGAAGTCGGGGTCAGTCCTGGTCGAACTAAGCAATCAAGGGGGTCAGTGGTAAGACAAACAAACCCGCGCGAGTCAATAGTCACAGACTTACACCGAAACTTGAGCCTGGTAGTCGATCTGACCCCCACCATCCCCAACCGGGCTAATGTTGACATAGCAGGTCTCTCCAGGGAAACCCGCGTAATACACGCTTCCATATCCGGAGCCGTTCGCATAGCCGTAGACGTAGCCTGGGGGATAGGCATAACCCTGGCTATAGCCAGAGGAATAGCCATGACCAGGTCCATGCCCTCCAACATAATACCAGTTTCCAGAACTGCCTGGCACCCCGGCTGGTCTTGTGACGTTCGGACTGTTCCTCATTCCCGTCCTCCGGCCGCCAGGCCTTTCTCCCGTGGCTCTATTCCTTTGCCACTCCTTGTACATCGCGATAGCAGTTCTAGTTCCAGGCTCAAAGCGCTAATTATTACCGTGATCACCACCACTGCTACTGTTATTTCGGTCTGCCGCAGGACCTGTTGGTATTGATGATGTTTCTGTTGTTGCTGCTGTTGTTGTTGTTATTTTTGTTGTGGTCGGTGCCTGATGGTGTGGAATAGATCGATTTCCAGACGCGTGATGCACGCTAGGGGGTAGACGCGCGCCCTGGTTTTGGTAGCGATTTCTGTGCTGGTGTTGATGCATGGTCGCTGGGATAGGTTTGCGCGGGGCCGATTAAATACTGCAAGAGGATTGGGTGCGAAAGAACGCGGCGGCCGAAATCTAAGAACTATGAGAGCAAGAGGATGAGATAAAATAAAAAAGGTGGTTGTGGGAGTGAACACGTGGGCTGTGTAGGGTGCAAAGTTTGACAACTTGGGAGGCGCGGTTGGGACGAATGCCAGCGCTGAAGGGCTGAGGGAGCGTGGGAGCAAAGTTTTACCGGCGCTGGAAGGAGAAGATTTTCTGAGCTTGGAGTAAGGCTTGATCAAACCTTGAGTAGGAGTGTTGAGTGTGCCTAGGGGCCCACCGACCCAGGCCAGCTCGGTTTCGCTTGTTGTTGTGAGTTCCTTTCACTACTCCGTGGCTTCGGGTCAACATTAGGTTTAACTCTAATCTCAAGGATACTGGCCATTGTGAATTGATACATAATTAGCACGACGAGTATATCACGAGGGGCGTGGCCAGTGCCATATCTGAGGCGATCTCATGCAATTCCAAATCCTGAGCGTGAGCAGAAATCAGAGTTTGGAAGGAGAGCCCAGTGCTGCGGTGTAGTTCACACGGCTTGTAGCCAGTCTTGAGAGAAATGGTGACTTTAGACAACACAAAATAAAGTCATGTGTTACCAGATGCCTCAGCGAGTTAATTTGGTATGCCTTACTATGATTACCTTAGGGGTGATAATGAAAGCGAGCTTGTGGTTTACGGGTGAGAAACATGTTTACGGTAGTACGCTACGGCTTGAAGGTCTATTCGTTCTATGTTCCATGATTAATGTAATTATTGGCATCTAGAATCAAGAGTCAAGACAGAAACAGGACCCAAGTCTCCTCAGAAAGGGGCTTCTGAGACGTCGCGTTACCAAACCCTTGAACCCGGACGATCTAACTCAAATCTGGACTCTAAACAGTCTATGGGTTTGGCGGAGGGTCACATTGGTGCGGACTTTCAAGGGGGATTATTAACGAGTTCAACCTTTGTAGAAATAATCAAAAGCTTTTTATTACATGACTAATTCTTGTGACTTTGTGAGGGCGTAGTGATGCTTCACACATTCTAGGAATATTGTGCGAACGAGCGAGATAAAATGAGATCATCACGCCTGGGTCCTTTAGCAGAATAGCTCAGGGGCAGTGGTGAACTTAACGTTGTGACTTGCGGGTCCAGACCTACGTTTCTTGTGCAGTTAGCAGAGGGAGCTTTGTTAAAAGGCACAGGCTGAGGACAATACCGGATTTGTTTCGTTCTTGATTTGCGTGTTGATCTGCTAATCAGAGTGAAGCGGAAGAGAAAGAGCTAGCTAAAATGCAAAAATATTTAATAAATCTTACCTTGTCTTGAAAAGGGGTCGGACAGTCATGCTCTTTCAAGTCAGCGTAACGCCTCACGCCAGGAACACCCAACCTTCAAAATGTTGCTCCAACAAACGCCGAGCCATTTGACAACGCCGGTACCGGTACCTGAGTTCTTGATGCTTCCGTCCTCAACACTTCTCCTTGGAGACTCCTATAGAGAGCTCCTTAGAGTTGGTAGAGCCCGTAATAGACCGCCCATCAATGGGCAGCCCAATCAAGGTCGAGGCGGTGCTGTCGATACTTCGAATCCGTCGGAGCGAGTTTGCGGGTACCCCGTTGGTTTTCTTCTCTTTCCAAAGGCCGGAGAGAAACGTGCGGTGTTGTCCGGATTGGAGTTGTTGGATTGGTGGGTTAGGTTGAGGTGAGGCCCAGCAAGAAGAGCAGGGACACATGGTAATGCCGGCCATCGCGGGTAAGACCAAATAGTAATTATCGAATTAAGTTTGATTTTGATAGTTGATTTCCTCTTCGTTTGGATTTTCTTGGGAGAGGACGGGTGTATTTAAGTCCCCTTTTTGGGCTGTGGCGAATGGAGCTCGGCTCTACCTCGCGTTGAAACCTCAAAAGTTTTAGCCGAGAACCCGAGAAAAGCGTGTAAGTGGATTGGCTTGGCGCCTCGTTATTACCTAAAATGGTACTCTGCAACCCACTCAGAACAGAAAGCAGTTCTCTTGATCAGCATGAGTCATGGGAATGATGGTGGATAGATAGTAGCACGGGGAAAAGAGAAATTTTGTTCAGGTTTCCCAACGACACAATGAGGCATATTATAAACAACTCCTCACTCTTACCCTTCCCGTCCTCGGACTAGTGTACTGTAGATAAGCCACCAATGTGCCAAGAGCCAATGCAATACCAAGACCTCGCCCAGATCCTTTGACGCCAGCTGGCAGGCGCCACGGCGTGGTTTATCGAATCCCAACTCTGGAAAGACAAGCCGTCTTTTCATCCAACTCTTGAGCACATTATTCAACGCCATCCACAGGCCTCCATCTTGAGAAGCAGAAACTACTCCCAGGATCTCAACACAATACAACACAGACACATTGGCTCAGTCAAATGGGGGAAACAACGTGTATTTATCTCCCAAAACCCCCCTTTAACGCCTTCCTACCCCCATGCCCAGACCAGCTCAGGCTTACCCCTATCCCACAACCCCCAACCCCCCTCTAAACTCCACAACCAGCGCGGCAGTCTACCATCCCCCCTCCCTCACCCCCTTTAAGTTCATCCCCCCCCAAATTTAACGCCTCAAAACCTCCCAACTCTTAAAAGCCCCCACATTAAAGTTCTCCTTGCTGTTCGCCGCAAAGTTGGCCGCCGACATATACCCGCCACCGTTCGCCTCAGTGTAGCAGCGCACCAGCGTGGGGTACGGGCACCCGCTGGTGAAGCTGACGTTGGTCGGGTTGCTGGAGATGTTCTCGAGCTTGTCGAACTCGTAGTGGAAGCCGACGGAGCGGCCGTTGACGTAGGCGTTGACGCGCCAGGGCTTGGGGGCGCTGGGGGAGGGGGGTTGGTGTTAGTACATGCGATTCTGGGTTGTTTTGATTTTTGAATTGGAGGTGGATGACGGGATGGGGATGGGAGAAGGGAAAATAGGGGGTTGGTGACTTACGGGGCGGGCTGGGCACGGCGAGAAGACATGGTGACGGTTGTTTGAAAAGATGGAAGGATATCGAGCTACTCGATGGTGTAAGAATGTTGGAGATGCTTTGAATGTTGTTCAGCGCCGGGCTGTTGAAGTGAAGTGATAGAAGTGATGATGATGATGAGAATGATATGAAAACAAGACCTGCTCATTGACTACGGACAACTCAACCATTTATACAAAATCAAACCACACTAACTAGCAAGCAAACGTCACCAACAACTCCGACTCCGAGCTCACCTAGGTGTCGATCGACACTAGTTGGTGTTCCGAACCCTTGCCCCGAGCCCCCGGCCGGGTCTTAGGGCCCCAGAGTCCGAAGGCTCGGTCCGTGATCAAGCACCGAGCGCATCAGATGCCTAAAGCCGGAGCGCCCGCGCCGCAGCCCCCAGTATCAGCCCCCTCCCAAAAACTTCAGACTATGCTCGGTTTTTTTCGAAACCTGCACTAACTTCTCACAGCAGGGGGGAACATACATACATGCCTTGGGGAAATAATAAGCGAGGCAGGCAAACTATGATATCATCAGAAACCAGGTCCAGCGAAAGTCGTGGGTTAGGCAACAAATTCACGTCTCGTCCTCATCCGACAGCTTAGGCACAAACGCAGCATATCCCGGGATGCGTGCACAAGATCAAACAGCTTCCCCTGGAATGCATGCACAAGATCAAACTTAGGATTCGCATGTACAACATACACAGGCAGAGAGGGTAGCGGTCCCACATAAACAAAAGGGAAGGATGAAGAATTACCGCCCTTTGCCTTCTGAGCCCACTCGGATATCCACATGCCCCCCGTTGACTACCGCAGCCTGCCTCTCGGTCCACCAAGTCTATAATGCCCAAAACGTCCCACTTCTACTTCTCGACGCCTTTGCCGTCAACCGCCGCAGTCCCTCGCAGGGGATGCGCTTAGATGCCCAGGGTGAACTCAACACCGACGTCAATATCGCGAGCTGTAATAATAGCACCAAAAAGTCAGTATAAGATATACAAAGTTGAAAAAAGATGGGCACTGAAGAGTTAAAAAAACAGAGCAGAGGCTATAATCCTCGCCTCTCTCAAAGTTCACGCACCCAACTTGACAACCTTGGACAGCTGAACGGCACGCTCGGCGGCGTTCTGCAGGTCATCAATCGAGAAGATCTTCATGCCCGAGTCGCTGATGAGCTGGTGGGCCTGCTCCATGTTGGTGCCCTGGAGACGGGCAATGATGGGGATCTTGAGGTCAAGGGTCTTGACGGTGTTGATCAGACCGTGGGCGATGGCATCGCAGCGCACGATACCACCAAAGATGTTGACAAAGATGGCCGTGACCTTGGGGTCGCTGGTGATGAGCTCAAACGCCTCCTTGATAGCGGCCGGGGTCGCACCACCACCGACGTCGAGGAAGTTGGCCGGCTGCCCGCCGTTGAGTTTGATGATGTCCATGGTGGCCATGGCCAGACCAGCGCCGTTGACCAGGCAGCCAATGTCACCGTCCAACTTGATGAAGTTGAGCCCGGACTGGGCGGCCCGCACCTCCTCCGCATCCTCCTGCGTGGTGTCGCGCCAGCTGAAGACCTCCTTCTGGCGGAAATCGGCGTTGTCGTCGAAGCCGAACTTGGCGTCCATGCACATGACCTTGTGGTCCGACGTCTCGGAAAGCGGGTTGATCTCGATCTGGGTCGCGTCCTTCTCGAGGAAGATCTTGTACAGGTTCTTGATGGTATCCTTAGCGTCCTCGATGCACTGCTCGCTGAAGCCGAGCTTGGTGGCGATGCCGCGGGCGACCTCGTCGGTCACGCCGACGTTGATGTCGATGTAGGTGGTGGTGATGGCCTCCGGGTTCTCCTTAGCGACCCCCTCAATGTCCATGCCGCCCTGCGACGAGGACACGATGACGGGGCTCTGCGAGCCACGGTCCATGAGGATGGCCAGGTAGAACTCGCGGCGGGCAAACTTGCGCTCGCAGATGTACACGGCGTTGCACAGACGCCCGGCAGCGCCGGTCTGCTTGGTGATAAGCTTATGGCCGATCATCTGGTCGGCAAACATCTTGGCCTCGGTCGGCGAGTAGATGACGCGCACACCACCCTTGAGCCCGTTGTCGAAGCTGCCCTTGCCACGGCCACCGGCGAGCACCTGGGCCTTGATCACCATGTCGTCGGTGCCGATGCTCTTGGCAACCGCCTCAGCCTCGGCGGCTGTCGTTGCGACGGAACCCTTGGGAAGGTCGATTCCATACTGTCCGTCATTGAGAAGTTCGCATCAGTAAAAAAAGGTCCCTTCTCCGTTTGCCTTGTCACTCCCTCCCGTTTCTCCGATTTTGATAGCTTTTCCCTGTTTTTTTCTTCTCTTTCCTCAGCCATGGGGTCTCTCTCACCTGGCGAAGGAGGTCGGCCGAACGGTACTCGTGAATGCTCAGGGCTCTCCTTTGTTGTTGGGCGATGCTCTGGAGTCTGGTGGAGGGAGAAGCCTGTGTGGTGGGCGGGTATCGTCAGTTCCCTGTTTCAGCTTCCACTTCAAACGCCGCAACACCCCTCCCAATGAGGGACACTCCAGCGAGCTGTGGAAGTCTCGGCGGGAAATAAATTCGCACCTTGGGCGTGGCAAAGGCCGACGCCAATGCGCGGCTACGACCGAGTCTGTACATCGCGGCTGTCTCTTGGTGGGCGGCGGTTTAACGGCTTGTCGTGGTGAGGAGGGGAAGAGGTGGTGATGTTGCCAAAAAGACTGCTGTTGGTTGGAAGGGGGTCCCGATTGAATCTCACACTTGGAGAAATGACGCTCCCGGGCCCCGTCCTTCGTGTCGCGGTTGGCTGGTTGGAGCTCCGTCTCGGCAGTGGGGTCATCCCGGCCAATCGTAGACCCCGTCGATCTGGAGGGGCTCTTCCACGCATCGCTAAACCTCCCGATCCGGCATTTGGCCCTCGGCCGGAAGATATCTAAATTGATGCATCTCGACCGTTGTACTGGCTGACCGCCAAACCTGTTTCTTGGGGATTTAAAAGCAAAACGAATTTCAATCTTCCGGACGCCAATCCCTTCTCCCTCCGTAGATATTTGATCACAACTTCTTGACAGCCTAATGTATCTCTAATCCTGATAAAACTTCTTGAAAACCACCGACCCACGATTTAACGACTACTACTATGTATTTAACGGACAGACCGGAACCCTGAATCTTTTGGAATTGGGGCTCAGAAATTTCTCACCAACTTTATACTTGGGCCGGCAATACCCGGCTTGCCGGTTCTCGAGCCCTGTCTTTCCCGTTCAGTGGCGGGGGTTAGGGTTACGAGTAATTCACGGGGTTGCCCTTTTTGGCAACATCTTCTGTCGGGGGTATATAACCCCCCGGCGCAATTCTGGCTTGCAACCAATACACCGTCGCAGCGAGCCACCTCCTCGGTGGTGTAGTGGTCGAGCTGTGTACCTAGTTGGATACTGCCCCGGGCCGAAAGACCGACCGGCGCCCTGTCTGACCACAGCTCGGTTCTTTTTGGGTTCGATTCCTGTTGCGAGCAGGAACAATTTTTTTGGCCTTTTTTGTTCTTTTCCGCTCCTTCCACTTTTATCTCAGGTTCCCAGGTCAACGTCGGACTACCTATGCTTAGGTAACTTAAATTAGGTAGAACAAACCTTAAGAAACCGGAGCGTCTCTAACTTGGGAGCTTGGGTACAATACTGAATGGTCATCAAGCCAGCCTCCCGGTCACCCTAACTAAACCACCAGCCGTCAAGAATAATGTGATCCAAAGGAGTGAGGCCTCTCAGATTCAGACGCAGACAATGCTCAAACTCGCACTTGAATTGAAATATGTTGATTAATAGACCCCAAACACAAAAACACCTCGGCGACCTCGCTTTAACCAACAAAATTAAACCTATATCCATACCCCAGCCCCAACTCCCCAACACCAACCGATCCAACCCACCCCCAGGGCCTCAATCACGACCAACTCGCCACATTCTTCAAATACGACGGCGTCGACCCCCCCACCACCTCATGATGCTCCTGACACTCAAACCAATCCCTCCACTTCTCATACCGCCTCAACAACCTCTTCTCTCTCCTCACCGGATCCTCCCCAACACTTCTCCCTTCCTGCCCTTTTACCGAGTCTAAGAACCCCTCCTGTTCCTTTTCTTGCCCCTCCTCCAACGGCCGCTCACAAATCAACTGATGCACCAGCTTCCCCCATGGCCCTGTCCGGTCCCGGTTATACTCCAGCATCACCTGTGCTACGATCCCGGGGCCCATGCGCACGAGGGCTTCGTACTCGGCGCAGGAGGTGTCAGGGTCTAACTCTAGGGAGTTGAGGCCTAGGCCTGATAGGATTCCGCTGTGGGCTACTGTGGTTGATTGGGCGGAGGGGGAGGACAGGGGGATGGGTGGTGGTGCTAGGGTTTGGCTTTGTGGTGTCTGGTTTTGGGGCTGGGTTGGAGATTGTTGTTGTTGTTGTTGTTGTCGGTTAGCGTGGCAGCGGGCTTTCCAGGCGTTGAGGTGGGCTTGGGCGCGCTGGAAGCGTTCGTAGTTGAGCTCGACGATGAGGTTGGCGTGTCGGGTCAGGGTGAGGTAGTTGAGGATGTCATCTGGGTGGACTTGGGTTTGGGGGTCTGTTTCGAGGTGGTTGTCTGGTTTCTGTGTTAGTCACCTGCGGTCTGGGGGGGCAGGGGATGTACCGATGGGGTGGGTGATGCGGTGATTAAGCGAAATGGACGTACATAGAGTGGTAGCGATGAAGTTGCCCGGCTTGGATAGTTCATGCACAACCAGGGGTGTGATCTTGGGTCCCAGAAACAGAAGAGGGTCGTACTCGGGCAATTCGCAACGTTGTAGGGCGCTGCAGTCACATTGTTAGCATCAAATCTCCCCCCACGCCGGGCTCGTCCCCCGGCTAGTTTAAGCTTCACAGGGTGATGTGGTGTGGTATGGTTACCTTACTGCCCCCGGACTTTCCGGATCGAACCATCTCGCTTGCCACGCCGTGAATTTGTTTTCGAAATCAGCGACAAACTCGGGATAGGCGTGCTGCAGGTCCCGGTAGAATTTCTCGGCCGCACCCTTGGCCCTCCCATCAAGTGGGGGGATAGGGTCGAAATGATTCCATTCTAAGTTCACCATGTTTGTCAAGGGGGGGTCGGGTAAGTGTGCGTCTAGCGAGAAACGTAGTGGCTATTACACGGGAGTCAATGAATGAAAATAACGGTGAGAACGGATACGTGACCTAAAAGCCAAGGGAAATGGCCAAAATGAGACTTATGCTCGGCCAGGAGAGAGTCGCTTCATTCATATTCTTCAACTTCCAATTCGGTCCATCCTTCCCAGGTAGGCAACACGAATCTTGAAATACGTAAACGAGTACCGTTGGCCTGGGGCCGTTGCAGAATGCAAGGCGCCAGTCAGCCCAATTCCATTTTGCTCGCTTGGGATTCCGGGAAACCTTGCTGCCTGCTTACGTTTTTCCCCCAAGTCCCGGAGACAAATCGTGGGGTAGAAAAAAATGTCAGACGGCAGCGTCCTCGCGATCTCTCGGTCCCAGGCAGCCGGATAACCAGTTTTCGTCCCGACGCATCAGAGCCTGCGGCTCGGTCTTGAAAGTGGGCACCTCCTGTAAGCAACTTGCATGGCCGACCATCGTATCCTGGATTTGTGTCAATTCTTTTTGATTTTCACTCTTTTTCCTCCCACATCAGCCCAGGCAGAATGAACGTCAATCGTCAAACTAAGTTGTTTCATGTTGCATCGGAAACTTTACAGCCAATCAATGCAACGAAAACATGCCGGTGACGTTGGGGGCCGATTCCTCGTAGGTTGCTGTCCCTCAATAACGGCCTCCTATGGTAAACTCGCAAACGGCGGCCAATTCGAACGATAACGTACTTTATAAGCGAGCCGAACATATAAGCGAGCCGAACACTCTCCACCACTCTACAAAC